TTATAGCCAAATGTCCTTCATAAAGAACAAAACAAATGTCGTCATTAAGTCCTGAACGTTCAATACGTAAAACATCGTATTTGAACCCTCTATGACTGTGTACCATGGAACAGAACAGTGGATCAGTCGCCTTTTACGAAACCCACGGAATGATATGAATATTCATACACCGCCACTATACAGTAATTGATAATTTCTCGAAATATTTCATTTATCGAATCGTCTTGCAGTCGTCGTTACTCTAGTGCTCACTTGACCTTCATACAAATAATTGGATAATTTTTTATTTTTGGATAAGAACATAGTAATGACTAAGTTATATTTACCACCTTTTAAAAAAATTGTCTTTGGCCTGACCTACTATACTCTTTGGCTTGACCATAGTTCTAACTATGTCCAATAAAATGTCAAGGTCTGAGAGGTTAAAGAGAACAAATTTCGTTACCACAACATTACTCAATTTATGCTGCATGTTTTGCAAAAATGTTATAACAGATATTATGTACATACATTACGCTGTAAAAACAATAGTTATTTTCATAAAAATACTAATATTTGTATTAGATATTTATGGATGTACTCTGGTACTCACGTTGTTTAGCAGGTGCCGTCATTCTTACCCACAAACTATATAGAAACCCCGTTCGTGGCCGCTGACAACAAATATGGCGACTTGCTTTCGATTCGCTTAATGCTTCTGACAGGGACTAATATATAACTATTGAAATATCGCCGTTTTTTTCTAAAATTTATGTCGCAAATTAAAAAAACGAATATGTTCTATTCATAGAACGTTTGGTCATAATGATATCTCTCATTAGAGATGAGACTTACTTGCAAAATTTAATACCAGGGCTTCTAAGTACGAGTATGGAAAAATACCAGGGTCGAAAACCAGGTTTTAAAAATACTTGAAAGTATTTGTTAATGTTAATATATATATGAATGCCTAATTTGATTCGGGCAAAAATGTATACTGAACGTTTTTAAATTTTTTTTGGTAACGAAATGAAATCTTTCCTTCCTAGTTTTCAGCTTAGGACTCTTTATAAATAAAAGTTTTAAAACTGTCTCTAAATTCAATATACACGCGAAATAACTATTTAAAAATTAGGTCACGGTCAGTAGGTTACGTAAACAGTTCACAATAACAATTGAATTTACAAGAAATCGAAACAAAACTTTTACTTCCTCGAATATAAACATAATTCTTATTACTTACTAGGTACATATAATGTACTCTGTGCTAGGTACTTACGCGACGTGTCCAGCCGCGGTGTCAGTTTCAAAATACTTGCAAAGAGTATAGTAATATATAAGGAAGAATACTTGCATAGGAATTCGACCCACTTTCCATGTTAGGCTATTATGACTAAGGAGCAAAGTTGTATAAATAAAAAAAATACTTTGAAGTTCAAAGTTTTTTTCTATAGTATATAAGTATTCTCATACTTACAAGTATTTTTTGGTCGTAAAAGGGCGCCGTACTTAAAAGTTAAAACCTGGTAGTGTAAATACGTCTCATTGCGACACGAGGGACGTGTCCAGCCGTGGTGTCAAAATTTGAAAATACTTGTATAGGAATTTCACCCGTATTCCATGTTATCCTACTATGAATAAGGAGCAAAATCGTATAAATAAAAAATATACTTTGAAGTTCTAAGTATTTTTCGTTCACAAATATGATTAAGTTCCTTACTACTATTGAGATATGGATAATTGTCCTATGCAAGTATTTTCATACTTGCAAGTATTTTTTGCTAGTACCAGGGCGCCGTACTTTGAAGTGAATACCTGGTAGCGTAAATACGTCTCATTGCAACACGAGGGACGTGTCCAGCCGTGGTGTCAAAATTTGAAAATACTTGTATAGGAATTTCACCTGTATTCCATGTTATCCTACTATGAATAAGGAGCAAAGTCGTATAAATAAAAAATATACTTTGAAGTTCTAAGTATTTTTCGTTCACAAATATGATTGAGTTCCTTACTACTATTGAGATATGGATAATTTTCCTATGCAAGTATTTTCATACTTGCAAGTATTTTTTGCTAGTACCAGGGCGCCGTACTTTGAAGTGAATACCTGGTTTTAAAACCTGGTAGCGTAAATACGTCTCATCTTTATCTCTCATTCCGCGATTGTCAGGACTTAACAATGGCTGACGAAAGTTCGGTCTTTATGACAACTAATATTTAAAAAGCCCGGGTCTTAGGAGGATATATATTATTCCACAAGTTATTTCTATGTGTACCAATACATCATATAACAACTTTATTATGTTATGATGATTTCTATGTGATACACCTCATGCTGTTCTGCATAATTTCTCTTTATTTTCAGATTTATTTGCACACGTTTTTAAATCGCTTATAGCCGATGCGGCCCTTAATAACTTTTTTTTCTGTTACTTTATTAATTCAGTGGTTCAAATTTAAACATTTTAAAACTGTTTTAATCAGTAATCAAAAAGCTATTTAGCATACGTACCGTAAGCTATTTGTTCTCCCAGGCTTAGAAAAACGATGCAAGGTGATGTTACGATCATGAGCAGGGGAACATCCACACTTGTAACATTTTCTTTTGTTTTCTTTCATGATGGAAGATGAAATTGAGTCCCTGTCTCTAGCACAATGCACAGCACTTGTTTTTGAGTCTCTTTCTCACTGTAAACACTAAAACGGAGGAACGGGATGTTCAACTCAACGTTAGTAATGTATGAAATAAGTTTATATCAAAATATAAACTTAATTTGCAACACAAATAAACAAGAACACAACCGCAAGCGCAAGGGATCTGCCATTTGTAATTGTAATCATGGTTCATGGTCATGCTATTGTATCTTCTTATGGCGGCTCTTCACGTTGGCCAACATAGTGGCGAATGTGTTGGCAAAGATATTGGAAAAGTACTCTGTGGATATTGGTCAAGAATTTGTGATCGCGTCCACACGTTGGAATGTCGTTCAGTTTGTTTCGGTCATGGAGGTTTCGGTTCAGGCTTATGTTTTTTTTTTGCTCCCGAAGCAATTGGAAAAAGGCTACCCTCCCTTTACGTAGGGAGGCGGAAAATGCATAACGCATAGCATACAACGACAGCTGATCTATCGTGGTTATGAGGGACTCACCATAGATAATATACTAGGACTCACTGCCTACCGAGGAACCTAAGTGATACCCTCTAAAAACCGCCTTTGGGGACTGGCAACCAGCTGTTTAAACCTTCTTATGCCGTATCGGAAGCGACCCTATTTTGGGAAAAGCAGGCGCAGGCAGGCCAATGTGCGGAAGAATTTATTAAAATGATTATTGAAGCGCTCACGGCTGTTGCGGTTTATTTATTCACAGCATACCACTATTTTTTATTTAATTTTCACTTTTTTAATATTTAATATTTTTAATATAAATTTTTAATATTTCTTTATTATACACTAACGTTATACAGATAAGTAAACTATATAAATATTAACACACCTAGGCATAGGTATAATTAAATAAGGCCTGGAAAATATTCGAAGCCTGTCTATGAAACTGTTGTAAAATTTTTTTTTGGTTTGCCGTTGTTTGCCAAGCGTGTGGATGAGCCATAAGTTGTTGTTTTTATTATTCGCTCGAGAGAGCAGGCAAAGGAACTATGCCATACAGCCTTGTATTTTGTAATTATCCTTCATAGTTCACTGCTTCACAATATGTTGATGCGTCACACTGTGCAGTTCTTAGGAGATTTTGACGGCAACTTGATCCAGTAGACAGCTGACAGTTGGCGATGGTATCTAAAGGCGCCTATGCAAGCAAACAGCTTATCTTGAGAATCCATCACCATCAGAGCACTTGTTTCACTTTTCACAGTAATAGTTCACATGCGTAGACAATTAATACACAAAATCGCACCACTTTTACATATCAAAGTCTACTTCAAACCATTATTTAAACAATAATACAAGAGCAGCAAACCGCCGCTAGTCAAGTTCCCGCCAAAACTCCGATGAGGCATAGGATGTTGACACCATATCTTCTTCTTCTTGATTATGGAGTGTAGAGTAGAAGGAGGACCATCTCTGTATATGAAAAGTGTCCCTAAAACGCGTCCAATAAGGGTGGCGCTGCAGTAGCATAGGATAAATTAAAAAAAGCGGCAAAATTCATTAGAATAAGATATAGAAATAAACAAGGACCGACCAATCCGCTTGGTTTTGTACTACGTAAATAGTTGAGGTTTTGTATACTGGCATTTTACTAAGTCATGAAATTTTTTAAATATTTTAATTCAGCTGACTTCACTCCGTCTACAACAGCTATATTCATATCGTAGTTTTTCAGACGCCAGCGCTATTGTGGTAGGTATTGGAACATCTATTTTCAGTATATATTGGGACACTTTTTCAACTTTCGCGCCTTATAAGATGGATCTCCTTCTACTCTACACTCCATGTTCTTGATAACTGGCTTTACGGCTCTGGGATCTAGCCCTTCTGAGCCTGAAGTTACAATATTATATTATAATAATTATTCTTCATAGTATACTGCTTCACAATATGTTGATGCGTCACATTGTGCAGCCCTTGGGAGATTTTGACGGTAACTTGAGCCAGCGGACAGCTGACGGTTGGCGATGGTATCTCAAGGCGCCTAAGCAGACAGGCACCTTATTTTGAGAATCACATCACTATCAGAGCACTTGTTTCACAGTTTCCAATAATAGTTGTTGACACCCATAGATAAATATATATATGAAGCGAGCTAGTTGACACTTGACATAGCCTATTTGTCACACTTTGTTATGAGTAGGACAGTTACTATCAAAGAGTATAGTAATATATAAGGAAGGTTACTATCACAGAATACTTTACTCCTATGGTTACTATACTCTTTGGTCATGAGGTAAACAGGTAAACAATAAGAATTAGCATTAGCAGTGTACCAGTGTATGAAATTATTATTCTAAACTAAATAAGTTATGTACAATTAATATTGCTTATGAACTCTAGATCTTCAACAAAATGGTAAGTAGTTTTGCGGTTGATATTACCATAAGATTCTTTGTATAGAAAAGTAAAATCAATTTATAACACAGGATATAAAAACTTTTGCGGAAGAAAATTTCGATCCCAAAAAGTGGATTAACAAGGCGTGGATTGCTAGTGGTAATCAAGAAAAGGAGGTAAACAATACTTCATTACACCTTTATACCAGCGAAATGTAGGGCTGCAGCTTACTAGATTTAATGGAGACCAGGAAGTCGATGGATTCAGGAGGCTTATGTTCATTTGTGACCTTGTAAAGCGGTGTGATGATGATAATATAAGTATAAATTATTTACTTTATTTAGACTTGGTACTGCCCTTACTCTTAAGTTATTAGGGGTCGGCACAGCATGTCTTCCTCTTGCATTCCCCTCTTCTAGCAGTCATCTCTTCACTCACTCACTCCTTTCTTACGTATATCATTTGTAATACACTATCCATCTATTGTTTGGTCTTCCTCTACTCTTTTATCCATCTACTTTCATAGTGAACATTCTTGTTCTCTATTTCCATTTGTACAATATGCCCATACCACAAAAACTTATCACTTGTCAACTTTTCCATGACGGGGCATTCCACTTTCAAACTGCTACTTGGTGATACTCTATATTTTATGTTATCTATTATATCTATATACCTATAATATATATATATATATATATATATATATATATATATATATATATATATATATATATATATATATATATATATATATATTCATAAAACTCTGATTTCAATGAGGAAACTACAAAAATAAATTCAAATAATATTTCTATGAATAGCTACAATGAGAGTAAAAAATAAAATATTATACATATAAGTATATTATATACCTATATAATAAGCAATTAATTATTTTTATAAATATATGTACATATTATGACACCTCTTATATAATAAGCCGGGGAAAAAGTTTCTACATATTGTGTTTCTATAAAATTGAAGGAAAATCTCACTTTCGCCATTTTGCATTCTACATTATTTTTTCGACCTAACTCTTGGCCCTACTAGTTCCCGTGGCAATTAGGTGTAATTGGATGTTATGATCTTTACAGAATTTTGACAAATCAATACTTGAATGATTGGGTCACTAGAAATGATTGAATGACATATGTCAATTTTAATGCAAAATTGATTTTTAACATGCTTATGCATTTTTAATCTTTGCAAAAGATTAATAGATTTCATCATTTTCTCATATTGCACATAGTCTTTGAGGCAATAGCAAAAACTAACCTATTTCCCATTATCTTAGTGGATAGTCCTTTTCGACAATTGAACTACTTGCCTAAAGATCACTATTGTAGAACTGCAGGGTATTGTTTTTTTAGTTGAATTATCATGGCGTGGCCGGTCGCATGTGTCACGATTTGAGAAAGTGTTATAGCGCTATCAATTATATATTTTTGAATAATTGAAGTATTTCTCCCTTTGCTATGCTTCTTGCCTGGGCTTCTTTAATTATCTGAAATAAACAAATTTAAATTGATTTTTTAAAGGCTGGCATTTAAGAATCTCTCTACCACATCTGCATTGTTAACTGCAGTTTTTTATTATTATTTTGAGTTGTGGTGTTTAATATTCATCTGTCGCCATTTACGACACTCATGGGAGAATTCATTTATTTTTTATTTAAACTTTTGTGCACAAAAAATATAATCGAAAATATAGGATATACATATGATGATATGGGATAGTGAATTCTCTAACGCCACCGCTACACTACACTTATATGGAAGTATTCTATAGCCTTTATAGAAATTAAAAGGCCTCACCATGAAACTAAAAAATTTTTATTTTTTACTTGCAGTTTGACAATTGATGTAACTAGGTATTTGCATTCAGGCGCTACTTATTAGCAAAACCTTGGGTCTTTCAGATTTGAAATATTGACTATAATGATTTCATTATTGTTATCATGCATAATCAACTTGGATAATTTTTTTTCGTTTTATACTACTTCCTATAATCTTATTCTCTCTATATTACTTCTACTACTTACTAGTGAATTGTTTGCAAATTAAGTAAGTACATCTGGCTCGAAGAACCAAATCAATATAATAATATACTTTAGTATCATAATACCCCAAAACCTCACAAGAGTAAAACTCTAAAGACCCATATAACTTTGGACACAGTCATTAAATATATACTGAGATGATGGAAGATTGTGATGTTTTAAGAGTTTAAATGAAATATTTTAATTTGACTCATGTTTGGAGGCAATAAACAATTGCTCATCTCATCATCATTACAGCCCTCATAGGTCCGCTGCTGAACATAGGCCTCCCCCAAGAATTGCCACAAAGCACGATCCTGAGCCCCCGGCATCAATCGACTTCCTGCATGTCTTACCAGGTTCTCACTCCATCTAGGGGGGGGGGGGGGAGGGGGCGCTCTACACTTATTTACTGGTACGAGGCTGCCACTCGAAAAAGTTTTTTTTCCCAATAATTGATCAATTTGCAGATATTTGTCACCAATACTGTCACAAGGTTACAGCTCTATATGAAGCAGTTAAGTAATTCGTTGGACGAAACAACGACGCAAGTAAGTTGTCAAATTTAATCTTGTTTTACAATATATACATTATATTATATCCTCAAATTATTTTTATTTACTCCTTGATTTTTTTTTATATGAGAGGGGATATTTATATAATGAACATGTGGCTCACTTGATGGTAAGTGACTACTGCCACCCATGAACAACTGCAACACCAGTGGAATCACAGGTACGTTGCCAGCCTTTAAAAAAAAAATATATATATATATATATATATATATATATCGTATGGTGAGTGTAGAGAACACTCACCATACGAAACACAGACCTATTTTACTGGAAAAGAGGCATTCTATCTTAGTCCTCACGGCTGACAATGCATCTGCATTTTGAGTCGCAAGCGAAGATAGATGTAGATGTCTATGGGCCACAGCAACCACTTAACATTAGGTGGACTGTGTAGAGCAAAGAGAATATAACCACTACATTTTAACTCTACTATATATATATATATATATATATATATATATATATATATATATATATGGTGTAGAGTTTAAATAAAAAGGAATACAAAGTTTTCTCGTCACATATCAATATGTAGATGATGAAATTTTTACCTATATAGAAGTATTCAATCTTCTCTATTGCAGATCGTAAATTCAGTACCTAAAATTTTACAAGATGCATCCAGTCTACAGTTAGAAGGCGCCTTGCTTCAACAGAAGCTTCTTAGTTTGGAACAACAAGTCCAGGGTGTTGAGCAACAGACTGGTCAGTCCATAGAGAGCTTGCAAAGAATTGACCGATTGAAGAGTCGATTGGAGGTTTGTGGTGTTTATATATTTCTTGCATTATACGCTAGTGTTTAAATATATCCCTGTGATTTAACTGAATATGGTTAAGTACACTGACTTAGCTTAACCAAAGTCACTCTTACCTTGAAAATCCGACATTGTAATGGGACGAAACGACAGATTACTTTAATCCAAACCGTTTGGTTCGGACTCGTGGTGTGTCAACAACAAATGGGAGGATACTAATCGAGCATCAGGTTGTCATTTGGTGAAAAAAAAAAACACTCCGGAACGTATCCTGAAGAACACCGAAAGGTAATGGACTGGTAATGTTACGGACGGTGAAAAGAGCTGTCCCGGGTGACAGCAGTCTCACAGTGAAGTATAATGAACGCTTCTGTGGCGCAAAGAGTGTCTTGTGCGTAACTCTCCTTCCTAGCTTCCTGGTACTGGTATCGGCAACTGTAAGTAGAGTGAAACACACCCGCCGCCTCAGAGACGGCCATCGTTTTTAATTCTTGTGTTGCTTTTTTTTTTTTATAGGATAAGGGTGACAAACGAGCACACTGTCCACCTGATGGTAAGTGGTTGCTGCGGCCCATAGACATCTACATCTGTCCTCGTTTGCGAATCAAAATGCAGATGCATTGCCACCCTAAGATGACTAAGATGGAATGCCTCATTTCCAGTAAAAAGGGCCTCCGGCCACCTGCACTCACCAAGCGAAACGCAGAGGTAAACCTCTACTTCACGCTGGTATTCTGTGAGGTCGTGGTACCACCCCGGTTCGAGCCGGCCCATCCGTGCGACAGCAAAAGCTGCCGCGTGGCTCTACCACTGTTTAAACCACTGTTGTTGCTTGTTGCATTAGGCAAGAGCTAGGTACACACCCTAGCGTACAAACGCGCTAAGTGTATAGATGTTTGTCTTAGGCACACAGCTCCCCCTCCGACAGGTGGGTGAACTTGGTAAAGGGTTTTTCAACAAGAACTTTGTTTTCTAAAACAAAATAAAACAAAGAGTTTAGATGAAGATGATTCAAATTTTTATTGTATTACGAAGAGAAAAGTTTGGCAATTATGACTGAAAAATGACATCTGGCAAATGTCCACCACGACCACGCTGACAGATGTCGATTCTTTCATCAAAGTTTTTAATCACTTTTTGGCAAAATGGCGGGTCTATTTCGTTAATCACGTCACGGATTTTGAATTTTAAGGCCGCGATCGATTCGATTGGCTCCGTATAGACTCTGTCCTTAACATAGCCCCACAAAAAATAATCCAGTGGTGTTAAATCACACGATCTGGCTGGCCATTTAACAGCTGAATTTCGTGAAATTATGCGATCGGGAAATTTGGTTTGCAATAAATTGATCGTTTCGTTGGCTGTGTGACATGTGGCACCGTCCTGTTGAAACCACATGTTTGTGATATCGATGTCATCAATAATAGGCCAAAATTGAGATGTTAACATCTCGCGATAGCGTGATCCATTGACTGTTACCGCATTTCCAGCCTCATCTTCGAAAAAAAAACGGCCCAATCACGCCTCCAGACCACATAGCGCACCATACAGTGACACGTTGAGCATGCAAAGGCTTCTCAATAATCGCTTTAGGATTTTCAGAAGCCCAAAGGCGGCAATTTTGCTTGTTGACGTACCCTGACAAGTGAAAATGGGCTTCGTCTGAAAAATTGATTTTTTCAGAAAATGAATTGAGCGAATCTACGGCGATGTGAATGGTCGGTCAGCTTCAATTCCTGCACCAGTTGAACCTTGTAAGGCTTCAAAGCCAAATCCTTACGCAAAATTCGCCATGTGGTGGTTTTGGATAACCCCAATTGTTGAGAACGTCGAGGAATTGACAAATTTGGATCTTCTTCAACACTGTGGCGCACGGCTGCGATGTTTTCGGTTGAACGACCCGGTCGAACACGCGTTGGTGTTGGCGCATTTTGTACCGAGCCTGTCGATTCAAATTTAGCGACCAAATTCTTAATAGCGGTCTCAGAAGGACGATTATGTTGTCCGAAAATATCACGAATTTTACGAAACGTAACTTTAACAGAACCACCATTTTCATAGTGGATTTTAATTATTTTAATGCGATTTTCGAGCGAAATTGAATTCATTGTAGCAATTGCCAAAGCATCTACTACGAATAGGTCAAAAAACTAAATGTCAAAAGTGTCATGTTTTTGGTGTTGCCCCAATTGAAAAACAAAGTTCTTGTTGAAAAACCCTTTATATATCTGTGCTTGTGTTAGCATAGTGAACAAGATGGCGTCGTTTACAACCGACGAACTAGCCGACTTTTTTAGTCGAGCCTGCCCCGACATCTGGGCTGTGTTTATTGCACAGCGCAATGCCCGTCCCTCGCCCGAACCCGTACTCGAGTCTGGGCCTCTAGTCGGCCCGTCCACCCAACGTGCTTGGCGCCTCATCGACCGTCCGACCGTGCGAACCGAGGATCCTCTGTCGCCGAGCACCGGACCTACAACTACTGTGTCCATAGATACAGGCGAGGAAATGGGTACAGTGGTCGGTGTGGTTTGAGGGCAGACAGGACGGCTTCTACCTCCGCGTTGCTTCCTTCGCGCCGCTTTGGAACACCCGCGATAATTAACTTTGTGTCCTTACTCGCCTCTAGACTCGCCTCTAGACTCGCCTCTACCCACGTTCACTACGAATAGAACTTCATTTGCAATAAAAGTAATCATAAGGATTTTAGCGTGTTTAATTTTAACTTTTATAATTAATGACGTTTCGGGCAATATACAGAACCCATGGAGAGGGGGGCGGGGGCTTATTTGTTGTCTATCAGATCTGATATAATGGTTGGGACGATACTCAACATATTGACACACTTTCAGACTTCTCGGAGCGTCGGTGCTTCACATCAGCAATACGTTGTTTTACCAGTCTGCTGACCTCTCATTCAGATACATATCAGGCCTCCGTCCACTCCCCTCTTGGCTCCTCTGATCATTGTCTAGTCCGAAGTGTGGTGCCACTCACAATAACATCACGATTACATTCTGCAGGCTGGCTAAAAAGGCGACCATATGCCCATCACCATCAACTTGTTCTCCAAAATAATGGAATCCATTATAAACTGCCAGCTCATGCAGTATCTTGAGGATTTCTAGCTGATTAGTGACCGCCAATACGGTTTTCGTCGGGGTCGGTCAGCTGGTGATCTTCTGATCTACCTGACTCATAGATGGGCGGAGGCATAAGAGTCCAAGGGGAGGCATTGGCCGTTAGTTTGGACATTGCGAAAGCCTTCGATCGGGTTTGGCACAAAGCGCTTCTTTCGAAGCTCCCTTTCTATGGGCTTCCCGAGAAATTGTGCAATTGAATCTCCAGCTTTCTTGCAGATCGGAGCATCTCCTTTCAAGGCACTCCCCTTGTTGCCTCAGCCAGTATCGGAATCCTCGACGTCGACATATCGTACGTACAAGTTTTGTGATCACTTGGAAGAGAAGGCCAAATTGGCCTCTAAAACGCTTTGCGTGCTCACAGAGCGGGACAGTATTTCATGCCGGCCCACAGCCTGCAACTTTACAAGGCGCAAGTTTGGCCTCACATGCAATACTGTTCCCATCACTGGGCTGGGGCTCCCCAGGACTTTATTAAAAATATAAAGTTGTTTTTGGTACCAACGATATGGTTTTCTTTAAGTTTTTTTTTTAAGAAATCTCTCCCTGATAAAACAATATCTAAGGCCTATGGCCAGCTACGCCTCGCCGCCGCGACGTCGCCGCCGCCGTGAAAATTTTCAGGCCACGCCGCCGCCGTGGAATTGGCCTTCGGCGCTCATATCTACAATACACTTTCAAACCACGCCCACTCTCAATCGACAATATAAAAATCCCAAGCTATCGTTAGGTACGATCACCCTGTACAGCCGCCAGATCCCCTGGCAATCAACGGCCAAATATCTAGGGGTCACATTTGACCACGGACCACGGGGACCACCTTCACCACGGTGTGACATTCGCGAAACACATTCGCAATGCCACATTCACCTAGTGCCACACTGTTAAGACTACAACGGATGGCACGCAGCCAGTCCGCAGACGGGCGCGCCGCACACCACTCCACACCGCGTACACACCGTACACCCATGTCCCTGGGCGGTTCTCACCGCCCAGAATATAGAACGATACGAGTTAGCCGTCAGAGCGGGGCCCCGTCTCCCCCTGTTCAGACGGCCGTCAGATAACTCATTTACGTGCACTTTAATCTGTCCTAGGAGCCATCGTTACGCAAGTAACGACGCAGAATAATAAAAATTCATCCCCTTTCTTAGTCCTGAGCCCGATGAAGCAGTAAAAGCCAAAAGGCTAACAGCACAAACATCAGTCAGAAACCAGCAGCTAGGAGTCGTTCGATTCCCAAGCGTCAGTAAAGAAGACTGAAGAAAAGTACCAAGAAATCTCCCTCTACTGTTTCCCATATTAGTCAGAATTAGTAATAAATAGGACTGCCTCATAATTGTTGTTAAATTGTCCCATCTTTATTTTATACAGTCCTCTTAGCTCAGTACTCAGTTTAATAGTAAAGTCACTTTAATAAAATAAAGTTATCGAAGTAAAATCAATCTCTGTTCAAGAAGTAAATTAATCTTAGTCATACTGTCCACTGACAACAACTCAACTCCACACTATTTCGACTCCACCTAAGTTCATAATATATAGGTAAGGTTGGCTTTGAACTGATTAAGCTATAAGCCTCTTATATCAAATAGCTCCTCGCTTTGTAATGGCGGAGTGAGAGAGTCCACAGCTCCATATTATGCCGCGGGTGTCTTAGGAGGTGACAGAGGGACACTGAAACAGAAGATGGGCAGCAGCATCTTCCTGATAACCCGTCTCCTAGGTGTTACAACTCTGGCAAAATCTTATGAGACAATCTGAGAGGTAGACGGTGGAGGACAGAATGAAAACCAGCAAATAATTTTCTTTTCAGAATGCCGCATCAGCACTTCGCGAGGCAGACAAGTGGACGGCCTTGGCTACCTCTCTGGAAGACATCTTAGAAACTGGGGTACCCACTGACGGGGAAAAGCTGGCTGAGCTCTCTGAACACGTGGCTGCCATGACGACCAGTCTAGATGTATGTATCCATTACCTTCCTACATCTATAAGTTAAAAGAGAGTTGTTTATTTAATAGACTTCGCATGGTGTGGTCTGAGATAACTTTATTCTCATAAGAATATTATACATTCATCTACATGAGAACATAAAATAACATAACATAAACACTCACGCCTGTCACCCAGTAGGCAGAGACTATGGACTTCCATTTGGCACGATCCTGACACACCTCTCTCGTTTCCTCCACATCCATATACCTACGCATACACGTTCGTCGGTTAAAGGTACTCTTGATTTGGCCCATTTTCAATATATCGCCAATTTGGTCGATAAAATTTCGCCTAGGCCCTAGGCCCTAGACGGGAAGGGACGCCCTAGGGCCTAGGGCCTAGGGCGTCCCTTCCTGGCTACATGAGAATTGTTTAAAAATAAAACATATTATTGGAGTTATCTACCAACTTCAAAAAAATCGGTTGTCTGTAAAGTCGGTTTACTGACGATAGTTGAACGTCACAACGTCATAAGAAAATGTTGCTATAAACAATTGACACCACATTCACTTTTCACTGCACTTCATACTTGACGAAAACATGTAAATGTATTATTGTATAGCAGCTGTCTATGCGGACGCATCGCTCACTCAAGTAGGAGAGAGACAGATGTCGAACGCTGCCGAACGCAGAGGCCGATTGTGCCTCTTTGTCACTCGTTCCGCGCTCTCGCTTGCACTTCAAGCCTTAAATGGAACGCCTCAGAGCCGTGAGTCATGTTTTTTCGTGCGTGTAGCCAGCTTCATCGAATTACAAGACGTTGTCACGTCAAAAAGAGACGGTACTCAACTCGACTGTATGTTTTTTTTTTAATGTGTGTTACCTCATAACTTTTGTCTGGGTGAACCGATTTCGATGATCCTTTTTTTATTTGAAATCTGGTGTTTCTCATGTGGTCCTACATAAATTAGATCAAGGTCTGACTAATAGTTTTTAAGTTATTTTTAATAATTTATATTGAAGTTGGTTGTATAAAATTTTTATTATAAGTTATTGAATAAGATAAATACCTGTTTGTTCGACACTCGAGCTAGAATACAAGTTAACATGTTTTTTACACAGATCAGGCGTGTCTGGAAGTGGCTCATATTATTGCGGTGTATGAAATGTTCTTATTATATCATGTTTGAGTAGTTTATTAAAAGTAGATATGTTTTTGATGTGTAACATCTTTCCACTCGCTTTCTGTGTTTCGATGTCCTTTAAGTCAACAAGAAAGTTATGATAGACTTCGATTGGCCTTTCACGATGAAACCCTATCTCGTGCCACTGTTTACAACTGGTTTAATGAGTTTAAACGTGGTCGCACTAATGTCACCGATGATCTTCGTGAGGGACGGCCTTCTACGGCGACGGCTAAACATAATAACATCAGTGTTGTGCGGCGTATGATATTTACAAAAGGGTGACTTAGCAGCAGATTCAGACAAGCTTAGGCATCGGTATGAGTCAAGTGTACGAAATCCTCCATGAACATTTAGCGGTCAGGAAGCTTTGTGCCCGGTGGATACCTCATAATTTGACAGAGGCCCAAAAACTCCGTCGTGTTGATTGGTGTCGTGAAATGATTCAAAGATTTAACGGAGGTGACTGAAACAGTATTGCTGTGTTCGACATACTTACGGGTGACGAAAGCTGGATTTATTGTTATGATCCTGAAAATAAGAGACAGTCTGCGGTCTGGGTGTTTCCTTCCAAGGAGTTGCCAACTAAAGTGAAGAGAGGTCGAAGCATGGGAATAAAGATGGTGGCTTCGTTCTTCGGAAGGACAGGTCATTACGCGACAATTGTTTTAGAGGATCGAAAAACAGTTACTGCAGAGTGGTACACTAACAATTGTATGCCACTTGTCTAGGAAAATGTTCGAGCGAAACGACCTCGCAGTAGGATCCTCCTACACCACAACAACGTCTCGTCGCACACCGCCAAGCAAACAATCGACTACTTGGCGACGTCAAACGTAGAATTACAGTAGCCTGAAGGGTGACTTCTTCCATAAATCATGAACCCAAATATTTCTTTTCAATTTTCTGATATTCGTCAAATAAGCAATATGAAAATAATATCCAATCAACCATTCTTGTCAAATAAAAGATCTAGACTAAATAACTGAATGGTGCATTCGCGCGCTTTCCCGCGCGACGAGTTGAAATTGACGCTTCCGTTCCATGTACATTGAGCCTAAGGGTGGCAAAATAGGTTATGATGTTTTTAATGTAGTTACGACATAGTTGTAGTACGACATTGAGATGCTTTTCCTTAGTCCACTCAAAAGGGTATTTTTTTTAAATAAAAAGCTAAGCCGACTTCTACGAATAAATATAAAAATGCGTGAGTGTCGTGGAACACTCGGTTGGAACGAAGTTCCTTGCGTAGTATATTATTATTGATAAACGTAGGTATTATAATATTATTGATTAACAAATACAAATAAATGGATTACTAACGTCTATTAAAATGAAGCGTCATTTGAAATAAAATAATATTTCTTTCATGGCAAGATAAGAAAAAGTGCGAGTGAGATGGATATTATTCCATCTCACTTCCTTATTTCGCAAGTAAATTGATTTTTTGTAAATATTTGTATGAATAGTTTAGTTTATGGTTTAGTATATTTAGTTATAGGATAAAATAGTTGTTTATGTTTTAGTGTAATTTATATGTATAGTATAGAAAATACATTCATTAACAATTTTGAAAATATAATAATGATAAAACCAGCAAATAATTTACAAAATTTTTTCGCTCCCAGAATTTATTTAAAATTATACGTTACATTTAGAGTTTTTTCCACTCTTTAATTTAATAACTGATAGTTTAGAGACGGTAAAAAAATAAGACATTATATTAAAGTAAAACACTTTTAAATCTATACAAATAAATATAATTGTCTGTTTGTTATGTCAAAATTACAGCTTTTTACTAAAGGCACATGGAAGTATATACGGTACTAATAGCAAAAAAATTTAAAGTTTTTGTATGTCTGTCTGTCCGTCTGTTTTTTCCGGCTAATCTCCAAAACGGTCCGACCGATTTTGACGGGGTTTTCACTGGCAGATAGCTGATGTCACAAGGAGTAAATTAGGCTACTTTTATTTTAGAAAAAGAATTAGAGTTCCGCGCAAAAAAATAAAACTCCAAATAACACGCGGGCGAAGTCGCGGCGAACAGCTAGTTAAAAAAATAAACAAAAGGTATAAGTACTGTATTTTTTACTATTTGTTGAAAGGCCTTTGTAACCACAAAATATCGTCTGTGACGTAGTAAGGGAAAAAGATGCAAGGCTATACGGATACTTGCGCACAGCGATAAGGTTTAATTTAGCTTGAGAGCATGATTTATGTAATAAATAATAATTATGTAAGCAATTAAAACGTCGGCAAGCAGTCAACATCAAAGGAGTGCAACTTCTGTACATAGTACTATTATTTATTCTGTGCAACGGCCCTATTTTTTTTAATCTTCGTAAAACTCTTTCTCAAGATTTATTAGAGGTCTATGTACCACAGTATAGCATACTAACAGGCTGTGTGCTTATTTGTCACCCTCACTTCTATAAAAAATGGCGTTCATATTGTTTTTACTTTTTTTACAGGTACTAAGTGATGCTCCAGACTACGACCACAAAAAAATTCAACTGGAAACTCTATACAACCGCCTCGAAGCGGCAATTAGCCCACCACTCATAGACGCCCTTACACAAATGGATGCCGGTGAGTTTCTAATTAATTGTATGATCTTTCGTATGTTATCAGTAATTTTCAGAAGTAACTAATCTATATATTAATGCGTGCAGAGAAAACTTTGTAACTCTAAAGCCGCTTTCTAACTTGTCGGTGCGGGAGCGGCGCGGGATCTATAATGTTTGTACCGAAACGATACCGCGTTGCCTTCAGTTACTCACCTATCTGTATAAAGTCCTGCAGTACCGAAGATGTCGTCTTCGAGTGATGACGATATTTTACCTGATAAATACATATGTGATAAATGTGTTTTATTAGATATCTCACTCCAAATCCTCTCAGTGACATCCTTTCTTGAATATTCAGCCAGTTTATAATTATACAATACGGGATACTTTTCAATTTCTAGTACTAAATGGACGTGAATATCTCGCTCCGCCATCTTGTTTGCACGATCGTGCGCGGTAAATGTCGAGCGGCTCCTGGACATGCATCCCGAGATGCGGTAAAACGAAACGGTCCCTCCCCACTCCCGCACATACCGCGCCAATTAGAAGACGTACATTAAAATATATTATGCGCTCGCCAAGCTTTCGGTACTACGTATATCGAGCGAAACGAATCTGCACCGCTCCCACACCGACAAGTCAGAAAGCGGCTTAAACCCTAACTTTGTTTGAGCATTGGAGGAGTGTGTGATTGAGCAGAGTTAAAGTTTATATGGAGAAAGAATGCAATAGCTAAAATTTATGTATGACTAGCGATCCTCCCCGGATCCGCACGGGTGATTACTGGATCTCGACAACAGCGCCACCTACCGGGTCCAAATGTGAATCTAAACTATCTAGGCACTCATTCAAACACAATAAATTTGAGACTAACGGACAGCAATTGATTTTTATATATGTATACAGATGAGTGTTACAAATACATACATTATATTAAATAAATAAAACATTAATTGTTTACGTTCATACTGCTATTGTCAACACAATCCGCTCTGTGGTGAAAGAATTTGTAAATGTTGCCAACAAAAAACATTGTAAGATCGACTGAACGAACTGTGAATTTTGTGTGATTACAAATGTTACTTTTTTATTAGTCTTTGGAGTCTGTTTTTTTATAGAATAAGGATGACAAACAATCACACATTCCACATGGTAAGTGGTTGCTGCGGCCAATAGACATCTACGTCTATCCTCTATTACAAATCAAAATGCAGATGCGTTGTCACCCGTGAGGACTAAGATTAAATGCCTCTTTTCCAGTAATAAGGGTCTCCAGTTCTCTACACTCACCATACGAAACACAGCAGCATTAAGCTGCTATTTTACACTGGTATACTGTGAGAGCGTGGTCCTTCCCCGGTCGAGCCGACCCATTCGTGCTACAACTATACTACTAAATATAGCTGCAGCATGACTCTACCACGTAATAGTTAGTGCATTAAATGTCTGTATTTTATATATTTATGTGCACTTGAGGTTGAAGTCAAATACATCTTGCTTAATAGAATAAGGGTGACAAACGAGTAGACAGTCCACCTGATGGTATGTGGATGCTATGGCCCACAGACATTTACATTTATTCTCGACTACGAATCAAAATACAGGTACATTGTCACCCGTGAGGACTAAGATGGAATTCCTCGTTTTATTTATTCTGTGTCTGGAGTATGTTAATAATGGTGTCGGCACGGGATGCATCCCCAATTATAGTTATACATAGTACTATTTCCACTAGTAGCACCAGAGTTCGTGATTTCATAATCAATGCGTGCTGTTTCACTGTTTCTCAATTTGAGTATGTATGTTCTTTTTTCTAAGTTAAAACTTCTTTATGCCTCGCCACACACATCGCGATAGAAATACTTATTGCGATAAAACTTCGCTTTTGGCCTACCGCCAAGGTGTCTGGCCACATTGCGCGTTGTAAAGTTTATTGCACTAAACACAAAATGAACGCCACGGTCGCTCTTTATTATATGGCAGCGAATAATTATTTTTTATTATTGTTTTTTGTAAATACGTCGCAAACCCCAATTTACTTTAACACATCCTCTATTCCCGATGTCTGTGGGCCGACTGAAGCAGGGGGGGTACAGTTTCATAGTAATGCATTTGGTCATAGAAAGTAACGCCATCAAGTGTATGATACGGGTCATAATTTCCTCAGTTTAGTTAGTTTAATACTCACTAGATGGCTTTAATATCTTTGTCACCTGTCCATTAAAATTAGTTTTACTTATCTTATAAATTATAAACTATATATTTTGTAATATGTATGCATGACAAATGAAAGTTGTTTAATCCATGATTTATAAAGTACATATAAATTATACGTTCCGATTATATTTATGTTCGATTGAAATGATTAGTCTGTACTACAAGCTCTGTAGCCGAAAATATGAATGTATCTGCATCTGCTGTTGCGAAAAAATAACCTAAATTATTACATATTTTTATGAAATTAAAAAAGAAAAAGTTTCAAAATTAATTTTTGGCTTAGCTTTCCATTGACGTCAGTGGAGTTTGGTGTTGATACGTATTTTTACAGAAAGATTACACTATTATAAGCACACACACAAAGCCTCAATATACGGAAACGCGTAATTTTTGAGAAAAGAATAATTGAAAATCAATTATTCTTGCAATGTTTATGTCTAATCTGCTAATAAACTGGCGCCATTTTGTAATGTCATTTTCGACGTCAATAGGGATGTCGATTCTTTCCGAAAAAGGTCGATTTTTAAATCGATTCAAATCGTCAGCTGATGTATCGGTTCACAAAAAATCGATTTCTAATATATCTATATTTTTTTAATATTTCTATTTATAATGTAAATATAAACCCATTTTATGAAAAACAAGAAAGATACCATGATAAATGATCTCTTATTGAAATTTGTTTTATTTAACAGTACCTATTAGGGCAGATAACAAATAAAATAGGTTAGGTTCAACTTATGTCAAAGAACCGAATTGATTGACCCCAACTCCACCTGGTACGAGTCTGTCCTACCCTTAGAGTGGTTTTATAGAGCCGGAGGCGCGTAGGGGGAGCAGCCTCCGCCTGCTGTAACAAATCGTAGGTATCGGACGGCTGAGGCTGGTCGCCGAAGGCGACCAACAAGCCGAAGCTGCGGAGGCGAGGAGGGATGCCTGCGATTTGTTACGCTAAGGCGTAGAGGTTGCTCTTCCCGCAGCGCCGGAGACGTAGCAGTCTCAAAATATATACAGAAATCCTTATGAATCAGTCCCCTTATTTTTTTATGATGAAGGGGATTTTTTTCTCATAAAATGGATTTATATTTACATTATAAATGCAAACATGAAAAAAATATCGATATTTTAGAAATCGATTTTTTGGGAATCGATACATCAGCTTACAATTTGAATCAATTTAAAAATCGACCTTTTTCGGAAAGAATCGACATCCCTATTGACGTCGACAATGACATCACAAAATGGCGCCAGTTTATTAGCAGATTAGACATAAACATTGCAAGAATAATTGATTTTCAATTATTCTTTTCTCAAAAATTACGCGTTTCCGTATATTGAGACTTTGTGTGTGTGCTTATAATAGTGTAATCTTTCTGTAAAAATACGTATCAACACCAAACTCCACTGACGTCAATGGAAAGTCGTACCTAATTTTTCATCAATTAGATATTATTTTAAACGGGAATGTTTCAAACCATTTTCAAAGTGAATCGAGTTCGTTTTGTTTAACTTTTCTAAGCCAAATTCAAAAGTTTGATGTCGATTTAGTTAATTTCGTATTTCGTAGAACAATTACTTAAGTGTGGTGTTACTAGCCAGTGAATATTTAGTTTATGGTGATTTATTAGAGTCGTTTTACTTAATGAAAATGTTTTACGAATAATAATGGGTTGCTGAAAACGGTGTGTTCTAAGATGCTTCCATAATCATCTAAAATTGAGTGCCCAAGTTTATTTCTGTGTATCTAATAACTGTTAATAATATATTTAAATCTCTATGAAAATAATTGTTTTATTTCTGTTTGGTCAAATTAACCGTGTGCCATTGCAATTTTCTACTTATGTATGAATGCATAGCTAATTGTTAACTTTAATCTAACTCTTAAGCTTTGCGTTATTAAATTTTTATAAATTCCAATATGTACCTATTATATTCATTTATTACTGTTTCCATTTCAACTTTTTACGAATGTAGAATGTAATTTCTACATTCGTAGAAAATTGGAATGGAAATAGTAATATGTCTAAAATATATAGAATATTGAATGTGAGGGTAGGCAAAGAGCATTGTACATATACACACGCACACATTCACAGAGTGCTCTCGTGTGAGTGAATTGGTATATACACACACACATATAAATATTATAGTTGGCGTAACAATCATCAGGTGGCGCTGTTTCCAAGGAGCACCAGTTTTACTCGCAAGAGGGCTCTCTTCTTCCTTATATATTACTATACTCTTTGGACTGAAGTATGGCCGCACAAGCGAAGTCCATTGCCATAAAACGCTTTGAAGTGCGAGAATTTACCGATAGCGAAGCGATTTGCTTGCGAATTCGCGCGAAGTGACGAAGTAATCACGAAGGAACGGCCACATACATTGCGATAACGCGAATATTCGCGCTATCGCGATGTCTGTGGCCGCGGCAATAGAATCGTTGTGATTTGATACCCAATGAAACAAAAAAAACGACACTAAAAGAGACAAACATATACATCTATAGTATTTAGCCTTTTTTTTCTACACGGGGGCAAGGACGGGTTATGTCGGACTCGCACTGACTAAAAATCCATGGTGTTCCACCTTCGCCACACATTGTCAGGGCCACGGGAACGCTTTCGCACACATCCGCGGGCCCAACAGTGCTGGACGCCCCATGGCAACCCCTTCTCGAGGGAGGACTTCTTCTCTCAGGCAAAGCGCATCAGGAACACAAGACACGACTTCCTCCACCGCCTCGAACACCATCTGCGTAACGGGCCCTCCCGAATCCGATACGCGGAGGCCATGGGGCTAGGAAAATCGAGCGCTCGGTAGCACCCGTTTTATCGACCCTAGCGGCGGATCTGGCCTTTGGCTCCGCCGCCAACCAAGATTTGGCCGCAGAGGGTAGGGAGACCGGCGCCTCGCAATACCGATACTCCTCTCCCCCCGCGGCCCCACCACCACCGCATCAACGGTGTGGACCCGTCAGTGGAGGATAGAGCGAGTGGGGCATCGGCATACCAACACTCCTCCTCTTCCGCGACTCCACCTCGGCTGCAGCGGTACGGTGAGAGGGCACTACTCTCGCGGCAGCCCACCGACACACATCCGAAGTGGGCTCGTCAAGCCCACTCGGAGTGGCCACCTCGGGCCGGCCCTACACCACGGGTTAGCCAAGGGGTTCCTCTTTGTTCACCGCGGGTGACCAAGCCACGGCTACTAAACTCCCCCACCACGTCAAGGCGAGAACCCGTTCGGGGGGGATAGGATTTTACCTACGAGGGAATGAGATAGAATACAGTATACAGTGTTTCCTATTATCTCTGTTTCCTTTTCTGAAGGTTTGACTTCTACCGCGTGTGAACTGCACATATATTTTTTTGTATATACACGTGTTACACGATATTTTCGCTAATTATTGCAAACTGATTTTAAAGATATTTTTTATTTAGTAGGTTATATTTCAGGGGTGTACCGAAATATAGAAGATACTCGTAGATGCCTGAATACTCAAACGTTACCTACTCAATTTTATGACGCCGTTAAGTCTCATGCTGTCTCTATCATTTTAAGTTAAAGTGACTGTGACATCGCGAGATTTAACGACATCTTAAAATTGAGTAGCGTTTGACTATTTCGCCAAGAGTTTTTATTAAGACGTCATTTCATTTGTTACCTTGAATTTGTGATATTCTTTAGTTCGTTCATATGGGTAGAAATTGAACTTTTAATTAAGAGTAAAAGCAAACTGTTAAATTCGACTTCAGAATATGCGGCGCTAATGTTTTTTAGTTTTCTAACTCTTATTAAAAAATTAAACTTTTTCGAACTTTCTTTTAAAATTCGATGTTAGAGCGCACGAGTGCGTACGTGTCGCTGTTCCGCGGCATGTCGCGCGTCACGTCTGCTGCGCGCTGCTGGCGGCGCGCGACTGCCGCACGACACGCCGCCGCATGGAGGCGCGCCGCCGCGCCCGCGCCGCGCGACCTCACCGCCGCACTGCGCGCCGACGCACAGCGCCAGGTGAACACATATACACACACGCACGCACGCACTTCCACACACACACACACACACGAATGTCAAAGCCATTTAAAATTGTTCTTTTTTCTTAAATTGTTTAATTTTTGTCATTTGATCGTTCTTTTTTTCGTTGTTTACAATTTTAGCACAAGCGAGCACACAATCGACCTGATCGTAAGTGGCTGCTGTGGCCCATAGACATCTACGTCTATCCTCGTTTGCGAATTAAATACAGATGCGTTGTCAGCCGTAAGTATTAAGATGGAATGCCTCTTTTCCAGTAAAGAGGTCTCCGGTTCTCTACACTCACCATACGAAACACAGCAGCATTAAGCTACTATTTTATGCTAGTATTCTGTGAGATCATGGTCCTTCCCCGGTCGAGCCGACCCATTCGTACTACAACCACAGAGTAAAGAGTAAGGACCAGAGGGAAACTTCTTAACAAGGTTGAAAATGTATACCTATTCTAATAGGGTTGTCATAAGACAACATGTGCATTAATTATAACTTATATTAATCTAACAACATATTTATTAATTGTTCGATATCAAGAGCTGTTTCGTATCGATTAATTATAAACAATAAGGAAAAAACTAAAATATTACATAGTGTATAAAATAACATGCGGATTAATTATTACTTATGTTACATAATGTAACAACATAATATCTATTAATTGTTCGAAATCAAGAGCTGTTTCGTATCGATTAATTTTAAACAATATATATTATTTACCTATATAAATTTATAACTTAATTATATTAATTAAAAGACTTAAATCTAATTATTTAATCATTGCAAAAATACTTAATAAATTAATTGATGTATAAAATTTCGAAATATTGTTGGTCTATTTATTTAAATGCGCACGACTAACAGCCCTTTCATGCATACTCTGACTGAGCCGGCGCAAACCGGTTTGTACCCCGACGCAGCGTCGGTGAACCTGTCGGTGAGAGCTCACGCACACATCGCTGCGCTATGTATGCGTGTATTCGCCGCGAGCCGTTTGTATGTAGCTTCCCCTCTGGTCGGTTTCTTTACTCATGTGCTACAACTGTACAATTAATATAGTTGCAGTCAGTAAGTCTGCTTCTTTATTTCTTCAATCGGCAGGTTGAATGGTTAACCACGGTGCTAAAATCGGAGACTCCACACGCGGAGCTTGTCAGATTGTATACAGACGTGCTGCTCTCTTTGGAGCCATCACCAACTAAGGTATGTAAGAGATATTTGTGTTGACATATCCAATTTTTTTCTATGTTCCAAAAAGCATTCCTATTTAGTTTTTGTTTTTTTTTTTTATATACGATCGGGTGCCAAACGAGCACACAGTCCACCTGATGGTAAGTGGTTACTGTGACCCATAGACATCTACATCTAAGGACTAAGATGTAATGCCTCTTTGCCAGTAAAAAGTGTCACTCACCATACGAAACACAGCAGCGTTAAGCTGCTTTATATATATATATATAGTAGTAGTAGGGCAAACAAGCATGCGACTCACCTGATGGTAAGTGTCTACCGTCGCCTATGAACAACTGCAACACCAGAGAAGTTGCAGATGCTTGCCGGTTTTTTTTAAAGGCGTAAGATCGTTTCCTGACGGTCTCTAAGTCGTATCGCTTCGTTAAAACCGTTGGTAAACGATTCCAAAAGAAATCGTGTGAGGAAGAAAACTCCTAGTAAATCTTACAGTGCTTGACCGCCAAGAATCCAGATGGGGTGGATGGTATCATGATTTTTTAATTATCCGAACATTCCTCTGATCACTCCCCATGGTAAATGCGATGGAAAACGCAGAGGCATGCAACATCTCTTCGGAGTGCCAGATCAGTATTCCATGTGAGGCCGAAGCTGCACTTTGTAAAGTTGCAAGCGGTATGCCGGCATGAAATACTGTCCCGCTCAAGCTTTTTTTAGCCAATTTAGTCTTCCCTTCCAAGTGACTACGGATTTGTACCTCATTCGATATTACAACGCCGAGGATATGCTGGCTGTGGCAGCAGGGTGCCCTAATTGAGGTGATACGACAGTGGAGTACTCTTGAGGGTTAAACTGAACTAGATTTAGGCGTTCCCAATCCGAGACCGTTTAAGAAAGACTCGACTTTAGACACTAGTTTGTTCCGGTACTCGGCGAGAAACATTGGCACGGCTGGTGTAAAAGGCATCACAAAGGTTACTGGTTCACAAGATGTCATTGACATGTAGAAGAAAAGAGAACATCATTTTTAATAGGCTTGTAGTCGGAGCATACACCCGTCTCCTACGACCTAGGTGCTTTAATCTGCAAGGAAACTGGTGATACAATTGCACAATTTCTCGGGAAGTCCATAGGAAGGAGGCTTTAAAAGGTGGTAGAGCCATGCTGCAGCTAAATTATGGTTGTAGCACGAATGGGTCGGCTCGACCGGGGAAGGACCACGCTCTCACATAAAACCAGCGTAAAATAGCAGCTTAACGCTGCTGTGTTTCGTATGGTGAGTGTAGAGAACCGGAGACTCTTTTTACTGGCAAAGAGGCATTCCATCTTAGTCCTCACAGGTGACAACGCATCTGCATCTTGAGTCTTTATTGAGGATAGATGTAGATGTCTATGGGTCACAGTAACCACTTACCATCAGGTGGACTGTGTGCTCGTTTGTCACCCGATCCTATATATATAAAAAAAAAAACGCTTTGTGCTAAACCTGATCGAAGGAGTTCGCTATGTCGGAACTAACGGTCAAGGCCTCTCTCCCCCTTGGACTCCATCGTCTCCTCCCATCTATGAGTCAGGGAAGATAATCGGCTGAGCAACCTCGAAATATCTTTCTCGAAGGAAATAAAATGTTTTTTTTTTATAGGATAAGGTGACAAACGAGCACACAGTTCACCTGATGGTAAGTGGTTGCTGTGGCCCATAGACATCTACATCTATCCTCTATTACAAATCAATATGTAGATGCGTTGTCACCCGTGAGTACTAAGATGGAATACCTCGTTTCCAGTAAAAAGGGTCTTCGGTTCTCTACACTCACCATACGAAACACAGCAGCCTTAAGCCGCTATTTTACGCTGGTATTCTGTGTGTGTTACAAGAAGCCAATATAGGTTCTCACTAATAGATATATAGTAACATAGTCGTCGTTTAAAGGACAAAGTGAGCAACAAAAACGAAGTTCTAATTAAAATTAAAGAATTTAATAAAATATATTATACGGGGTTATTTTGCAATAACCAGCCAAATTTGCAGAGAAGGTTCATAATAAGTAATGTAGGCAAATGGTGAAGAAAAATAAATTTAAACAATCTCAACAGTTCTGTCCTTTATTCATCAGTCGATCAGTAGGCAAAAACGTTGCCCATAAATCACATTCAATTTGGGATAATTTCAAATAAAAGTAGAAGCCTTATTTACTGGTATTTTCAAAAACTGCAATAACGATATATCATTATTTATATATTTCAACTTAAGATTAAAATTAGGCTACTCTTTAAAAAATAACCTTGTATACTGTAGATTAAAAAGAAATTTTAGATGAATCGCTCGAAATATTGTTGCAGATAGTGTTAGCGAACTTCAAGTTACGCCAGACTCCCGAGGAAGGGATGGCACTACTCACGGAATTAAAGGGCGATATAGATGAGCTCATTTCCTGCATAAGGGCTGTTATAGACACTCCGAGACCAAATAAAGGTATTTACACACTCTTACTATATTCGACAAATATAATTTAGAACCGCGTAATAGTGGTGTAAGTAGATCCACTACCCCATATCGTCCCGTGGGTATTGTAACAGTGCGGCACACTGAAACTGAAACAGGAGATGGACAGTAGTATCTTTCTGTCAACAACTTAAAACAATTTAAAAAAAACAAACGTGACTGTCGTGGAACACTCGGTTGGAACGAAGTTCCTTTTGTAGTTATATTATTATTGATAAACGTATTATATTATTGACTAGCTGTTCCCCGCGACTTCGCTCGCGTGTTAGGGTTTTTATATTTTATAAAAGCTTTTAAAAAGTTACTTCGCAAACATCCGCTCTATAAAATAAAATGATGTGTCTTACCTAGTATGAAAAGCAGTGAGGTGCTCTTCACACTAGGTAAGACACATCATTTTATTTTATAGAGCGGATGTTTGCGAAGTAACTTTTTAAAAGCTTTTATATAATGGATTTCTGCAAAGTAACGCCTGATTCTATTAATTATATTTTATATTTTTGCGCGGAACCCTAATTCTTTTTCTAAAATAAATCTAAAATAGTAAAAAGCTGTAATTTTGACATTACAAACAGATACTTCAATTTTATTTATTTGTATAGATCAACATATACAAATAAATAAATTACTAGTGTCTATTAAAGTGAAGCGTCATTTAAAATAATATTCTTTCATGGCAAGATAAGAAAAAGTGCGAGGGAGATGGATATTATTCCATCTCGCTCGCACTATAGAAACGGGGTCGTGACGGAAAAAATCTTACACTTTTTCTCGCCTAGCCCCCATTTGGCAAATTCGTACCGTGCGATAAGGTACTTCGTTCCAAAAATGCAGTGGCCAACCCGCATTACACAAATATATTCCGCAACTATAGCAAAATTCGCCTTCTGAGGCTATCTGTGGGGTGGCCTATTGTATTGTATTTTGTTGTAGTGAATTGATGAATAATAATTTAGCAATGTACTCATTCCGGTATATTTCGGTTTGAAAAATGTGCACAGCTTGTTCACTCTATTCAAATTTCTGGTACCAAGTTTTTGTTAACTCGCGTTCTTTTCTGTTTGTCTGTTCTATACAAATTTTGAAATTAATTTAAAACTGTATTAATATATTTACATTTTATGATATATGTATAGAATACATATATATACACATTCTGGTTTATTCGAACTTCGTTACCTTTTTTCTCATTATTAGTTTACTAGTATTTTTATTTTATTAGTACTCTTTCTGCACTACCTCCCATATGTTTATTTCTGCTTAGCCTAATGGTTGACTGGGAGAGAATGCATTAAGGCATTAAGTACGCCATATGTAGGATTTTTCTTTTGTGAATAAAAGTTTAAATAAATAAATTAAATAAATAATGTACGGGACATGAAACTCGGGAAGTAAACTAGATACTTGAAAGTTTAATTATCTCTCAGAGCTGGATGATAATACAATACAAACTCGCTATTTGTCTGACTGTTTGTTTGTCTTCTGGATATAAATTTTGCAATCGATTTCAAACTAACTTCCTGACGAGCTAGTTTTGAAACTTTAATTATAGCTCAGAGCTGAATGACAAATAATATAATCTCGTCGTTTTTCTGCCGGTTCGTTTATTTCACTTTTCGAAAAAAAAATTGCAATCAGTTTTAAATTAACTTCTAGATAGGAAAGCTTTAAATTTAGCATAGATCTTCAAACGTGGTAAAAATTGTTCGCTATTTTGAATTATATTTTTTTTTGCCCAAAACTACGGCTACTTTGACATATATCCCCCCCTATGTCGCCATCTATGGAAGAGGACTGCACCACTAGTTCATCATTGTTACTTTTCTGTCGACTTTCAAAAAGGAGACGGTACTCAATTCTACTGTATGTTTTTTTTATGTGTGTTACCTCACAACTTTATACTGGGTGAACCGATTACGATAATCTTTTTTTATTTGAAAGCTGGTACTTCTCGTGTAGTCCCATTGATCAAGGTCAGACCGATAGTTTTTGAGTTATTCTTAATAACTTATATTGAAGTCCGCTGTACAAAATTTTAAATTATAATTGGCTGTAATCGTAACCAAAAAGTCATAATTTTTAGATTAGTAAAGTAAATATCAGACGGGAAAAATAGGCTTTCACACTTTATAAAAAAATAGCAATGTTAACAAAATTACTCACCTGTCCACCTTGATGCAAGCCAGCTGTACTTTGAAACCCATATCCAGCAGTGGACTTGAAGAGGCCAAAGAAGTTCGGTGAGCAAGTATCGATTAATATTTTTTTTATTTTCTACCAGAAACTCTTTCCCCCGCATTAGTGAGGGAGCTGGGTCGAACAGTGTACGCGCCACTTAGAGAACTGATGCCAAAGTATACGGAGATCCAGACACAGCTATTCCTCGCCAACTTAAATGAGCAGCAGCTTAAGCAGGTAATCATCATTCATCTAATTAATCATTCATCATCATCCTTACAGCCCCATCACGGAGTAGAGGTTTGCCGTCAAAGAATTTTAAAATACTGCTGTTAGTTGTGAATTTTGTTTGATTTCGTATTGATCAATGTGTGTTTAAGTGACCAATGTGTCTTTTTAAACAGAATGCGGAGTGTATGTAAAGACAAAAAAATGTTTGATATTTATTATTGTGTATGTTATACTGTACTAGCTCTTCCCCGCGACTTCGCCCGCGAAACAAAAATTAATTTTTATATATTAGATGTATTATTATATTATTTTATATTTCTTATTTTGCATTTTATGTAATTACTAGGTGTGTTCTGTGCTACTGCTACTGCATCAAAACTGTAGCTATAAACTGTTGCGAACTTTACCGCTAGATGTCAGTGTACGGAAAATACACCGCGCTATGGTTATGGAGGGCAAATATTCATAAATAACTTTGTTTACTTCGCTTACCTGTAACTACACTGTACTAATTTGAATTTTTGAATATTCCGCTTATGAAGCGGATATGTTTTATGTATATTAATGTATATTATTTATATATTAGATTAGATTAGATTAGATTAGATTAATGTATTATTATGTTATTTTATATTTCTTATTCTTATTTTGCATTTTATGTAATTACTAGGTGTGTTCTGTGCTACTGCTACTGCTACAAAACTATAGCTATAAACTGTTGCGAACTTTACCGCTAGATGTCAGTGTACGGAAAATACACCGCGCTATGGTTATGGAGGGCAAATATTCATAATTAACCTTGTTTACTTCGCTTACCTGTCTCTACACGGTACTTTAATTAGAATTTTTGAATATTCCGCTTATGAAGCGGATATGTATTGTGTATATTAATTATTAATGTATATTCATTTTATAGGATTAGGGTGACAAACGAGCACTAAGTCCACCTTCATCTGATGGTAAGTGGATGCTGTGGCCCATAGACATCTACAGTTATCCTCAATTATCCTAAATTCGTTGTCACCCCTGAGGGCTAAGATGGAATGTCTCGTATCCAGTAATAAGGGTCTCCGGTTCTCTACTAGAGATGAGACATACTTGCAAAATTTAATACCAGGGCTTCTAAGTACGAGTGTGGAAAAATACCAGGGTCGAAAACCAGGTTTTAAAAATACTTGAAAGTATTTGTTAATGTCAATATATATATATATGAATGCCTAATTTGATTCGAGCAAAAAAATTTAAAAACGTTCAGTATAGTTTTTAAATTTTTTTTTTGGTAGCGAAATGAAATCTTTCCTTCCTACTTTTCGGCTTAGGACTCTTAATAAATAAAACTTTTAAAACTGTTTCTAAATTCAATATACACGCGAAATAACTATTTAAAAATTAGGTCACGGTCAGTAGGTTAGGTAATCAGTTCACAATAACAATTGAATTTACAAGAAATCGAAACAAAACTTTTACTTCCTCGAATATAAACATAATTCTAATTACTTACTATATAGGTACTTACGCGACGTGTCCAGCCGCGGTGTCAGTTTGAAAATACTTGCAAAGAGTATAGTAATATATAAGGAAAAATACTTGCATAGGAATTCGACCCGCTTTCCATGTTAGGCTATTATGACTAAGGAGCAAAGTCGTATAAATAAAAAAAATACTTTGAAGTTCAAAGTATTTTTAATTCACAAATACGATTGAGTTTCTTATTACTATTGAGATATGCATCATTTTCCTATGCAAGTATTCTCATACTTGCAAGTATTTTTTGGTCGTAAAAGGGCGCCGTACTTTAAAGTTAAAACCTGGTAGCGTAAATACGTCTCATTGCGACGCGAGGGACGTGTCCCACCGTGGTGTCAAAATTTGAAAATACTTGCATAGGAATTTCACCCGTATTCCATGTTATCCTACTATGAATAAGGAGCAAAATCGTATAAATAAAAAAAATACTTTAAAGTTCTAAGTATTTTTCGTTCACAAATACGATTGAGTTCCTTACTACTATTGAGATATGGATAATTTTCCTATGCAAGTATTTTCATACTTGCAAGTATTTTTTGCTCGTACCAGGGCGCCGTACTTTGAAGTGAATACCTGGTTTTAAAACCTGGTAGCGTAAATACGTCTCATCTTTATTCTCTACTATCACCAAACGTAACACAGCAGCGTTAAGCTGCTATTTTACACTGGTATTCTGTGAGAGCGTGGTCCTTCACCGGTCGAGCCGACTCTTTCGTGCTACAGCCATAATATTGCTGCAGCGTGGCCGTCGCTTTACCACGTGTTAATTAGCAATCCACCCCGATTTTGCATGGGTGATTTCTGGATCGTGACAACAGTGCCATCTAACGGGTTTAATTATGAATCTAAACCATTCTCGAATCAACTTTATCACACACACAAAATTTCATCAAAATCGGTCCATCCGTTTAGTATTTAAGGCGACACATCGAAAACCGTTGAAGCGGGCTATCGCCGGACTGACCCGAGTGAAACATAATTTGTAGAAAAACTTCAAAAACGCCGTCATAAGGTCTAAAATTGCGTAGCGCCCGCGACAATTAAGACCGCTTAGAAATCGCTTAGAATCTTAAGATATTTTTAAAAAATTATTGATTTTAGTAATCAAAATAATAAAAAGCAAGTAAATTACGAATATTGATGTTATGAATATATTTGAGTGGTTCCCAAGCATATAGATTAAGTTTAGTAATTTCGTTGTAATTTCAACTGTAGTGATTTTTTAGAGGTGTTTTCGTAAATTATTTTGATCGAGTCCAAATTTTACAATCGTGTTTTTGAACAAGAAAATTCAAGATAAAGACATGAATTTACCTATATCAAAATTCCAGTTCTTTTAGTCGTGTCATACTCCTATACTATTCTATGAAAGGAGGTACATCGCGGTGTCGCCTTAAGCCACATACGCACTGGCAGAGGCTGTGTATACGTATAAAGATTTGCAGTTGAAATATAAAATACAGCTTGCTTAATATACAAACTTGAAAATCTAATGAAACAGATATTAAATCAGATATTCTTCCATGTCCAACTGTTTTAAATCTTTCCAGGAGGACCTTCTGGAACATTCGAAGGCCCTTCTATCTGTTGCGGAGCGCTGTGAAGGATGGCTTAGTGCTGCTTATAGCAGGGCACGGCAAATAGCGGGCAACGCTGCTATGCCTTTCTACTCACCAGCTGTAGAGGTATAGTATTTTTATATCAAAATGGCGGGTTGGTCTTACTTGTGTGTGTAGACACACATACACAACCATGCATATTGGAACGAAGTTCCTTATCTGACGGTACGGGTTTGACGGATGGGAGAGCTAGGCGACAAAAAGTGTAAGATTTTTTCGTCACTACCCCCTGTGTCATAGTGTAGACGGCCTTGACGAAATAAGGAAGTGAGATGGAATAATATCCATCTCCCTCGCACTTTTTCTTATCTTGCCATGAAAGAAATATTATTTTATTTCAAATGACGCTTCATTTTAATAGACGCTAGTAATTCATTTATTTGTATTTGTTAATCAATAATATAATACCTACGTTTATCAATAATAATATACTACGCAAGGAACTTCGTTCCAACCGAGTGTTCCACGACACTCAAGCATTTTTGTCTTAGTGTGTTAAAAATTGTTCGCAGTAATGTAAGTAAATAATTAATGTGTCCTTTGCTAGGAGCGGAACGTTAGATTGGTTGTAACGTGTAATTGTATGTGTTAATTTTAGAGTTTCGTACCGAAAGGTAACCAACGTGACCCTATTACTAAGCCTCCTGTCCGTCCGTCCGTCCGTCCGTCCGTCTGTCTGTCAGCGGGCTGTATCTCATGATCCGTGATAGGTAGACGATTGAAATTTTCACAGAATGTGTATTTGTTGTCTGTTGTCGCTATAACAACAAAGAAGAATAAATAAAAATCAAAGGGGCTCCCATTTGATTTTTATCATCTTCATGCGCGAGTCCGACTCGCACTTAGCCGGTTTTTTTGTTAAACTTGACCCCCACCATAGGTTTTTCTCCTGTATCGTGGAGGCAGTTTACATACATAAATTTCACAAGGACAAACATCCGGACCCAGAAAAATTATTTGTAAGGCCGCTGTTCCGTGCGAGATTCGAACCCGTGGCCCTTAGCGATGCAAGTTATTGCTAAGCCACTGCGTCACGGAGCCGTCATATTCTATTTCTAATTTTCGTATTGCTTATTATAAAGCCGTCAATTTATTGCAAATTTAGCAAAATCCAAACTGATTTAAATATAAATTATTTTATTTTCCAAACGAAAAATAATTTTATTCCTACACTACTTCCTAAACTGTGAATATATATATATATATATATATATATATATATATATATATATATATATATATATATATATATATATATATAGATATAGATATATAACCTTTCATCATCATCATTACAGCCCTTCACAAATCCACTGCTGAACATAGGGCTCCGCCAAGGAATGCCACAAAGCATCGACTTCCTGCATGTCTTACCAGGTCGTCACTCCATCTAGTCGGGGGACGTCCCTCATTTTCTTAGATAACCTTTATAGCACCCCAAAGCAAAAAGTGGACAAAAGAAGAAGAAAATAGTTTGGAAAATCCAAAAGTGCACGCCTTATGAGCGTTTCATTTAATTTTGATGAAAAAATTAATTGTATTCCTAAATTTTAAAATATATGTATTATTTACGAAAATAAATAGATTACAGAAAGTATAAAATCGATATAATATGCTGTATAGTACATTAGTCCTTTGCCTTTCAAGAATATGAAAGCGCCTTTAATTTTTTTAAACTTGAACATCATTTTATTAACATTGATATGAAATAGGGAACCAGTTGATGTAATTCTGTAGGTAATAAAAAAAGCCCACTCTCGACACGTCATTTTTTTCGGGAGTTATCATGACCACATCAACATCCGGACGTCCACTTCATGTTTTTTCTTCAAAGTAGCAATATTAGATGCTTTTTTAGAAAATATTAAATGGATTAATTTGAATATGGTTATGATAGAGGCATTTTAAGAACACAAAAATGCTTGACTTTGACGTGTCGAGAGTAAATTACTACCTAATAACGCTTCGCGTTATGAGGCGTGCAATATTTATAAATATATCCATATAATATATATACAAATAAACAACCCATAAATATATGAAAATATTAATATATTATACGAACTCTAAGATAGTGATTGTGTAGATGCTTCTGAAAAAGAAATAAGGACTGGGCGAAGGAAATCCAAAGAGACCATTGCAGGCTAATCTTTGCTAAAAACGACAATACCGTTGTTTTTTTTATTTCACTCGCATACAAATTTCTTCACGTTCGTTTCCTTCTCTAACGAGCACGTGATAAATCAGCACTTAAAATTACAATTAACAATTGCGGGTGATGATAAAATCGGGTTGGTCGCTTACTGTGTTATTAAAATAATAACGCTCTAAAATTGGTAACCGTGGCAAAACTAACATTAAAACAATATATTTATCCAGGAACTGACGTCGGCTATTCTTTCCCTGATCTCGGCACACAGTCGCCGCATAGAAACAAACTTTTTGGCCGCGGTCACAGCAGGCAAAAGCGCTGGGGTCCTGAGCGAGAGCTTCCCGGCAGCTTTGGCCTTGGAGTCGGCCGCGGCCGAGTTACTGAGGGTGTTGGCTTCTAGACAACAAATAGAAAAGGAAGAAGAAGGTGAGTGGAGTGTGGCAGAAGTGTTCGAAGTTGTGCGAAGCGCTTCCGAAGCATGGCAATGTCCTCCAGACCGGATTTCAGGATTATAGTGCTTGAGTGTAATGTAAGCATAGATGTTTATACGTGGTAGAGCCCTGCTGCAGCTATATTAGTAGTATAGTTGTAGCAGGAATGGGTTGACTCAACCGGGGAAGGACCACGCTCTCATAGAATACCAGCGTAAAATGGTAGCTTGACACTGTTGTGTTTCGTATGGTGAGTGTAGAGAACCGGAGACCCATTTTACTGGAAAAGAGGCCTTCCATCTTAGTCCTCACGGGAGACGACGTATCTGCATTTTGATTCTTTATTGAGGATAAATGTAGATGTCTATGGGTCACAGCAACCACTTACCATCAGGTGGACTGTGTGCTCGTTTGTCACCCTATCCTATAAAAAAAAAAACTCTATTTCCTTACTCTCATAGTCCGATGGGACGGTTAACCGACGAAGCTGGGGAAAAGTCGGACGCAGGACCGCCGGCTTTCCCAGGCACGTGGGTGAAACACCGCCAAATTCCTGACCTAGGGCTGTTACTGAGAATTCCTTGATACCCAAAATCCAATAACTGAATTTTGGCCCGAGGCCGGAATTTGAACCCCGTTTCTCATGATCAACAGTCGCGTCCACGACCACTAGATCAACGAGGCAGTGAAAAGAAGCATTAAGCCTGGCGTCGACTACAGCAGAAATGCGTCGAATCAACAACAACAAATATTGTGTGAATATGACCTTTAGAGGGAATAGAGAGTGCACCTGTGCTTGCACCTATATTTGGGTACTATAATCCTGTCCTGCGCTAATGTTTAGTCTCTGTTGTGACTGGCCGCCGTGACTAAAATTTGGTCTGTAGGACTAATGCGCGTGTGTGCGTGCGCGTGCGTGCGCGTGCGTGCGTGTGCATGCGTGTGTGCGCGGGTGCGCGCGCGCGTGTGCGTGTGTGTGCGCGTGCGTGCGTGTGCATGCGTGTGCATGCGTGTGTGCGCGGGTGCGCGCGCGCGTGTGTGTGCGCGTGCGTGCGTGTGCATGCGTGTGTGCGCGGGTGCGCGCGCGCGTGTGTGTGCGCGTGCGTGCGTGTGCATGCGTGTGTGCGCGGGTGCGCGCGCGCGTGTGCGTGTGTGTGCGCGTGCGTGCGTGTGCATGCGTGTGCAAGCGTGTGTGCACGGGTGCGCGCGCGCGTGTGCGTGTGTGTGCGCGTGCGTGCGTGTGCATGCGTGTGCATGCGTGTGTGCGCGGGTGCGCGCGCGCGTGTGCGTGTGTGTGCGCGTGCGTGCGTGTGCATGCGTGTGCATGCGTGTGTGCGCGGGTGCGCGCGCGCGTGTGTGTGCGCGTGCGTGCGTGTGCATGCGTGTGTGCGCGGGTGCGCGCGCGCGTGTGTGTGCGCGTGCGTGCGTGTGCATGCGTGTGTGCGCGGGTGCGCGCGCGCGTGTGCGTGTGTGTGCGCGTGCGTGCGTGTGCATGCGTGTGCATGCGTGTGTGCGCGGGTGCGCGCGCGCGTGTTTGTGCGCGTGCGTGCGTGTGCATGCGTGTGTGCGCGGGTGCGCGCGCGCGCGTGTGTGTGCGCGTGCGTGCGTGTGCATGCGTGCGTGCGCGGGTGCGCGCGCGCGTGTGCGTGTGTGTGCGCGTGCGTGCGTGTGCATGCGTGTGCATGCGTGTGTGCGCGGGTGCGCGCGCGCGTGTTTGTGCGCGTGCGTGCGTGTGCATGCGTGTGTGCGCGGGTGCGCGCGCGCGTGTGTGTGCGCGTGCGTGCGTGTGCATGCGTGTGCAAGCGTGTGTGCGCGGGTGCGCGCGCGCGTGTGCGTGTGTGTGCGCGTGCGTGCGTGTGCATGCGTGTGCAAGCGTGTGTGCGCGGGTGCGCGCGCGCGTGTGCGTGTGTGTGCGCGTGCGTGCGTGTGCATGCGTGTGCAAGCGTGTGTGCGCGGGTGCGCGCGCGCGTGTGCGTGTGTGTGCGCGTGCGTGCGTGTGCATGCGTGTGCAAGCGTGTGTGCACGGGTGCGCGCGCGCGTGTGCGTGTGTGTGCGCGTGCGTGCGTGTGCATGCGTGTGCATGCGTGTGTACGCGGGTGCGCGCGCGCGTGTGCGTGTGTGTGCGCGTGCGTGCGTGTGCGTGCGTGTGTGCGGGTGCGCGCGTGTGTGAGTGCGTGCGTGTGTTTGCGTGCGCGTGCGTATGTGTGCGTGCGTGTATGCGCTGGTGCGCGCGTACACGTGTGTGTGTGTGTGTGTGTGTGTGTAAACTTAAGTTTAACCAGAACCTGTTAGCTAAAAATTTAGAAGTGAATGAAAATTAAAGAAAAATAAAGTTTATGGTCGTTGTTCTAGATGAGAGATAAAAGCGATAACGCTATACGATGCAACCAAAGATATTTAAACTATTAGAGGTGCTCTGCGGCCTTAATACATTCCCCAAGTTACGGTCAATTAACCGTAACTCCTTTAGTCGAGTCGAGTGCGAGCAGGCAAGAAGACTAGTTATTTGTTTTGTTAACCGCGAAAATTGTTTTCGACAATCTAACACTGATTTTGTTTAATGTCGCCATGAAAACGCTGTCATTATTTATGTGCGCACTTTGTCAACGTGATTTGCTGTTTATTTCAGATAAGTATGTAACTTTATTTTGTATATGCCTAAACTAAACAGTAACTGCTGTATATGAAAATACAACTGCGTGGCATATTTACCGTGCCAGCTACTCGCGGGCGTGTTCCACAGCGGTGACACAGTTTTTATTCTGAATTGTTGGTGTAGCAGTATGTTTAGAAGTCTCTGTATACGGCATATTTATGATGACGCATGCGTTCCGAACCCAGGCATCAATACTGTATGTATACCATTTGATATGAAATCACACCGTCTAAATTCCTCGACTGGATTCCTCGTTTCAGGTTATAAACCAGATCACCCGTTGCTGGATCTACAAAGCCACCTCTTGGAGGGCGAAGCCCGACAAAGGGTGGAGACGCGCGAACTGGCCTCGGTCGCAGGACTCCAGAGGACCTTGGAACAACTGAGGGGACTCGCCAGGGCTATATTAAGGAACCCTGTAGATGTGCAGTTGGGTATGGATAGTTTAGTTATTGTTTTAGATTTAGCCGGACTCATATCAATACATACAAATAAAATTGATTTGTCTGTCTGTAATACCGAAATAAACTACCTTTAATTTAGTTCAAAGGATTATTTATATGCTATAAAGACATGAATAACCATTTCTAAATTTTGGAATGAAATTCCTTATCGCACTGTTCAAATTTGACGGATGGGGGCTAGGCGAGAAAGTGTAAGATTTTTCCGTCCCGACCCCCTATTTATAGTGCGAGCGAGATGGAATAATATCCATCTCCCTCGTACCCTTTCTTATCTTGCTATGAAAGAAATATTACTTTAAATGACGCTTCATTTTAATAGATGCTAGTAATTCATTTATTTGTATTTGTTAATCAATAGTAATATACTACGAAAGCAACTTCGTTCCAACTGTGGAACACTTCCACGACACTCACGCATGTTTTTTTGTCTATGTGTCGGAATGACTGAACCGATTGTAATGAAACTTTACGAAATAGAAAGCACGTGCCAAGTTATATCTTTATATATAAAAATTACGCGTCACGTCGTTTGTCCCCGATGAACTCCTAAACTACTGAACTGATTTCAATGAAATTTTGCACACTGTGCAGTTTGATCCAACTTTAGAGATAGGATAGTTTTTATCCCGATAAGTGATCCTCAATTTTTTTTATTGCTAATCTCAGGAGTTTTCTTTAGGAAAGCAAATGGTCGTCGGAAAGGGCAGAACAACGTCTGCCTGGTCAGCTAGTATTCTATATTTTATCGGAAGATATTTTTTTAGAAAACCCAAAATTAAGCAAATAAATGATATTTAATGATTATCTTACATTTAAATAACGCCATATTAGTATATCCTATCCAAGCGTAGTTTTTACTTTTTGTTTTATTTGAAAAATTTGGCATTGCACTCTATATTCGTGAAGTTTCATTACAATCGATTCAACCGTTCTAAAGATGAGCCCCGAAAGACAGACAAACAGACATTTTTTTAAAATCGTTATTCATGTCTTTATGGCATGCAAATAACGCTCTCACCTTAACATAAGTTCAAAGTCAGTTATTTCTATATTACAGACATACACTTAAATTTTAGCGAACTCGTAAACCCTGAAACGTGATAGCTCAGGGGCTAAACGCTCGCTGCAAATTTCACAGTACGCGAGCAACTCGGGTTCGATTCCCGCCGGCACCAGTAAAGTTGTTAATTGCAAATTGAAGTGCTGATTTACCACGTGCTCGGGCGTAATGAAAACATCGTGAGGTAATATGCATATCTGAGAAATAAGAAAAAAATATTTCGAAGACATGTGAAGTTCGACGTCGACATTTCCTTGCCCTAAAACCCTCTCAGAAATGAGAGGAGGCTTGTACCCAGTAGTGGTACGTATATAGGCTGTAACTTTAAGTTTATTATCTGTGGCAGATAAAATTCCTCAGTTGCCTGTGTGGCACAACAATGACGCGCTCTCTACCGACCTCCCGGATTTCGCGCTCTCACCGCAGGAGTACATCACAGAGGTCAGTTGGATTACCTACTCGTTTTCAAACGTTAGTAGATTAAAAGTACAATATAAAAAATAAAAAGTATAAAAGTATGCCTACAAGTAGTTGTTCCGGGTCTGAATGTTTATCCTCGTACGACTTATGTTTGTAAACTGACTTCACGATATAGGAGAAAATTTTTCTTAAAAAATATGAACGAAATTTTAGACTTTTACGTCTAAAACATTAACTTTTAATAAAAAATAATGCCCACTTCTAAGAACTAAAGAAAGAACGAAAGAGGGTAAAGAAGAATTATAGCCTCGTGTTCAACTCATAAAGCAATAATATGTTGTAGTAATTATTGTATGATAAATAGTTAATAGATGGCGCTGTAATGTATGAATTGTAAAAAGGGATTGGTGAAAATAAATCATTTTGTGTAAAAGGTACTATTTGGGACTTAATAATGGTTTCAGAAACAGAAATTGTGAAATTATTTTATTATTTTCTACCGACTTCAAAAAGGAAGAGGTACTCAATTTGACTGTATGCTTTTTTATGTGTTACCTCATAACTTTTTTCTGGGTAAACCGATTTCGATGATTCTTTTTTGATTTGAAAGCTGGTGCTTTTCATGTGGTCCCATATAAATTTGATAAAGGTCTGACCAGTAGTTTTTGAGTTATCCTTAATAATTTATATTGAACTCTTGGTTATACAAAATTTTTTTTTAAAAATATTAGTTGTTTGAAGTCAGCTTTTACTTTTTATTAAAAGTAGTGATATTTTTTAAATCATGCCAAGGAATATCACAAAAGTCGTCAAAATAGTTATATAATAAGCATATTTTTTATAGAATAAGGGTGACACACGAGCACACTGTCCACCTGATGGTAAGTGGATGCTGTGGCCCATAAACATTCACATCTACCCTCTATTAAGAATGAAAGAGGAATCTGAAGACTGTCACCTTGTAAAAAAATATAATATTATATACTAGTTAAAAGGGTCTCCGGTTTTCTGCACTCACCAACCGAAACACAGTTGCATTACGCGAATAAGGGTGACAAACGAGCACACATTCCACCTGATGGTAAGTGTATATGGTGGCCCTTAGACATTTACATTTATTGTCAACTAAGAATCATAATGCAGATGCGTTGTCACCCCTGAGGACTGAGATGGAATGCCTCTTTTCCAGTAAAAAGTGTCTCCGGTTCTCTACACTCACCATACAAACACGGCAGCGTTAAGCTGCCATTTTACGCTGGTATTCTGTGAGAGCGTGATCCTACCCTGGTCGAGCCGACACATTCGTGCTGCAACCACAATATTGTTGCAGCATTGCTCTACCACGTAAAACTGTTTGGATGACTCGCTTTGGGTCCTTTTTTAAAACTTTAATTGTAAAATTACATGAAAAATGACTTTTATATACATAAAATAACAATTACTTATACATCGGTCTATAACATATCATGGTCCTTCGAGCCGGCCAATTAATGTTTTGTTATAATATTGCTTCCTTATGTAAAATTAGTCACGTACGAAGTACTGGTTTCACGCTGATATCTGATATCACGCTGGTAGTGTGAGTGTGGTCCTTCCCTGGTCGAGCCAATAAAATTCGTGCTGCAGCTATACACTGCAACGTGGCTCCACCGCGTAGCAATCGTTACGTCACGACAGGTTATGCCAACATCCAATTCTTTAGAGCACATCTGCTTTCAGATCGGCCAATACTTGATGACGCTACCGCAGCATCTTGAGATGCACCTGCCGGAGAAACAAGCGCCATGGCAATTCTTATCTGAGGTAATATAACAGTTTGTTTTCTTATATTTATGCGAATACTACACAATAAATGAAACTACTTTTACGGATTTTATGGCGTTTAATTTTAACTTTAATTCCTCACGTTTCGGGACGCTCTGCGAAGTCTGCAGTCTGTGAACATGTTCAACATCGTCCCCAATATTACATCAGATTTGATAGACCACAAATCCTCGCAAAAGAACACCGATTCGTACCAACGATGATTCGCTAGGCTGTTAAATCAAAAACATCCTAATTTCATTAGAGAAGATTGATGGGTACTTTTTTTATATATAGGATAGGGTAACAAACGAGTACGCAGTCCACCTTATGGTAAGTGATTGCTGCAGCCCATAGACATCTACATCTATCCTCGTTTGCGAATCAAAATGCAGATGCGGTGTCACCCGTGAGAACTAAGATGGAATACCTCTTTTCCCAATAAAAAGGGTCTCCGGTTCTCTACACTCACCATACGAAACACAGCAGTGTTAAGCTGCTATTTAATGCAGGTATTCTGTGTGTACTGGCATTTGCTTGAGATCCTATAATTAATAAAATTAAATCGAAACCCAAGCATACCACTGCAAGACTTCGTGATACTGTAAACTCGTTCTGCGTAGATCGGACCAAAAATTTATTAATTTAATTTAATGATCGTTTGTTACAGGGAATATACTTATAGTATATAGATTTAGCAATGTTTAACTACCCCCATGATTTTAGTCTAAACTGTTAATTTTTAATTTGTTCTCGTTACTGTGGGTAGTCTGAATGTGTCGAAAAGGCACATATGGCAATTCATAATGCTTTGTTAGTTCATACCTTAATGTATGGTAGTGAAAGTTGGGTTTGGGAAAAGAATAAAAAGAGCGAGAAGAATCACGAGATTAGAATTAGCTCTGAATGATGAGAAAAGTGTGGTTTGCAAGATGTTGTGACCAGGTTCAAGATGGGACTGCTTCGATGGTTTGGACATGTAGAGAATAATTGACGAAATACTGACAGATGTGCCGTGTAGTTGCGGTCAAGAATATCCACTACCCCATATCCTCCCGTGGGTGTCGTAAAAGGCGACAAAGGGAAACAGGCAGGAGCTGGGCAGCAGAATCTTCCTGATAATAGCCAAAATTACAATAAAAAAACTGCGGTTGCCAACCCGCTCGCCAAGCGTGGCAACTATGGCAAATACCCCCCTATGAATGTAACAAAGAGACGGCCCCCAGTCCCCGGCGGCCCCGCTATTCCTGGCTACGGTGGCGACCATGGTAACGGCGGGGCAGGGGGTGCTAAGAATCTCCGGTGGAGGTTCGGTTGCCACCTTAGACGACTCGACCTGGCAACGTACAACGCACGCACCCTGAGGACTGACGAGAAGATCGTGGAGCTGGAAGAAGAGATTGCGCTGGCATATTATAGGATTATCCGAAGTCCGAAGAGAGGGGGAGGACACGGTAATCATCGAATCCGGCAACTTGCTCTATCACCGGGAGGGCGACCATCTGTCCCAAGGAGGTGTCGGATTTATCGTCCACAAGTCTCTCGTTAACAACGTTGTAAAGATCGGGAGTGTGTCGACGAGGGTTGCGTACCTTATACTCAGAATCACCAAACGGTATTCGCTGGAGGTCATACAGGTTTACGCACCAACCTCGGCACACCCCGATGAGGAGGTGGAGGAAATGTATGAGGATATCTCTAGAGCCATGCATTCCTCCAAAACCCAATATACGGTGTTAATGGGAGATTTCAATGCAAAACTAGGCACAATAGAGAACGGTGAGCTGAAAGTAGGGAAATTTGGAATAGGGCAACGGAACTCAAGGGGCCAGCAGCTGGCCGACTTCATGGAGAAAGAGGGACTCTTTATGATGAACTCTTTCTTCCAGAAGCGGCCCCACAGGAAGTGGACCTGGTCGAGCCCCGACGGTTCGACAAAAAATGAGATTGACTTCATTATGACGACCAGACGACAACTGTTCAGTGATGTCTCCGTGATCGCGAGGGTGAAAACTGGTAGCGATCACCGAATGGTTAGAGGCACACTGAACCTAAACGTTAAGTTGGAGAGGTCTCGTCTAATGAAGTCAACGCTCCGTCCCCCTCGTGCTCTGTTCCAAAGTCCCGAAACCTTTCAGCTCGAGTTACAAAACCGTTTTCAGTGCCTAGAAGACTGCAATGAAGTGGACGATATGAATGACAAGCTCGTGGAAACTGTCCATGCGGTCGGAGCTAAGTTCTGCAAGACCCGCCGCAGAAGAACACAAAAACTCTCCGATCACACTCTTAATCTCATGGCTGTTAGACGGGAGATGAAGCTACATTCTTCAACAGACCTGACAGCATACAGGCATCTGAACAGACAGATCTCCAAATGCATGCGGCGGGACTTACGCAACTTCAATACAGCTCGTATTGAAGAATCGATCGAGCGGAACCAAGGCTCCAAAGTCTTTGCCAGAGATCTGTCTGCCAGAAAGAGCCACCTGTCAAAGCTGAAGACAGAATGTGGCAGCATCGTTTCCGGGACACCTGAGATTTTGAGTGAGATTGAGAGGTTCTATGGGCAGCTGTACACGTCATCGTTGGAGCCACACGTAAGTGTGAGTAACGATCCAAGAGCGAGTCTCATCCGACACTATTCCGAAGATATCCCGGACGTCAGTCTGAGCGAGATTAGAATGGCTCTCCAGCACCTTAAAAACGGTAAGGCCCCAGGCGAGGATGGAATTACAGCGGAGCTTCTGAAAGCGGATGGAAGACCGGTACTTGAAGTCCTTCAGAAGCTCTTTAATTCCGTCCTCCATGGTGGCATTACACCGGAGGCGTGGAGCAGAAGTGCGGTGGTGTTGTTCTTCAAGAAAGATGACAACGCTCTCTTGAAGAACTACAGACCGATTTCCCTTCTGAGCCGCGTCTACGTGCTGTTTTCGAGAGTCATTACGAATCGTCTCGCGCGCAGACTTGACGACTTCCAGCCTCCCGAACAAGCCGGTTTCCGAAAGGGCTTTAGCACCATAGACCACATACATACCCTCCGGCAAATTGTACAGAAGTCCGAAGAGTACAATTTGCCACTATGTCTGGCGTATGTGGACTATGAGAAAGCCTTTGATTCCGTCGAAATTTGGGCGGTGCTGCAGTCCCTTCAGCGGTGCCAAGTTGACTGTCGGTATATCGAAGTGTTGAAGTGCTTGTACAGTAGGGCTACGATGGCTATCCGAGTACAGAACCAGAGTACGAAACCTATCCAATTGCAGAGAGGTGTAAGACAGGGTGACGTCATATCCCCGAAACTCTTCGCCGCTGCATTGGAAGACGTTTTCAAGCTTCTGGACTGGAAAGGATACGGTATCAACATCAATGGCGAGTACATCACTCACCTTCAATTTGCCGACGATATAGTCCTTATGGCAGAATCGCTGGAGGACCTAAGCACTATGCTCAATGACCTCAATAGTGTTTCCCAACGGATAGGTCTTAAGATGAACATGGACAAAACAAAGATCATGTTCAATGTCCATGTCACACCTATGCGGGTAGTTGTTGGAAGCACTAAGCTCGAAGTTGTTGACGAGTATGTTTACCTGGGACAAATAGTCCGACTAGGTAAGTCCAACTTCGACCGAGAGGTCAATCGACGGATTCAACTCGGCTGGGCAGCGTTCGGGAAGCTACGACACATCTTCTCGTCAGACATACCTCAAAACCTGAAAACGAAATTGTACAACCAGTGCGTGTTGCCAGTGATGACTTATGGAACTGAGACGTGGTCCTTCACTGCTGGCCGTATGAGGAAGCTCAAGGTCGCTCAGCGAGCTATGTAGAGGGCTATGCTCGGAGTTTCTCTGCGTGATAAACTTAGGAATGAGGATATCCGCAGTAGAACCAGAGTAACCGACATAGCCCAACGGATTAGTAAGCTGAAGTGGCAGTGGGCCGGCCATATAGCTCGAAGAACCGACAACCGATGGGGAAGAAAGGTTCTCGAGTGGCAGCCTCGTACCGGTAGGCGAAGTGTAGGGCGTCCCCCCACGAGATGGAGTGACGACCTGGTAAGACATGCAGGAAGTCGATGGATGCAGGTGGCTCAGGACCGTGCTTTGTGGCATTCTTTGGGGGAGGCCTATGTTCAGCAGTGGACTTGTGAAGGGCTGTAATGATGATGATGATGACAGATAAAATTATTGTTACAAAAGTGAGGGGCAGAGTTGGCAAGGGAAGCACTGAATGAAAATTTGAGATGGCCAAATTAAGAGTACCCTTCACCGACGACCATTTATGCAAAGGTATAAGGATGTGAAGGAGGCGAGAGAAGTGTGTCAGGATCGTGCCAAATGGAAGTCTTTAGTGTCTCCCTCTAGGTGATATACGCGAGTGTTTATGTAATGTTATGTCGTTGCACGCATTAAAAATACAGAAAATTTGATAAATCTTTATATATACATAATCGTTTGTGCATCGGTTAGTGATCGAGTAACTTCATTACTTGATCGATTCAGGTCATATTCGGACAATTTTTTTTATAGAATGACGGTGATAAACGAGCACATAGTTCGTCTCACTGTAAGTGGGTGATGTAGCACATAGAAATTTACATCTATCCTAGATTAAGAATCAAAATGCAGATGGGTTTTCACACCTGAGGACTAAGATGGAATTCCTCGTATATAGTAAAGAGGGTTTCCGGTTCTTTACACACAATACTAAACACAGCAGCACTTTTCCGCTGTTGCTCATAGAGGGAATATTTGCATAGCACGCTGCTCCGCGGGCGGGTTGACAACTCAATTTTTAGGGTTCCGTACCCAATACGTAACCAACGGGACCCTATTACTAAGCCTCCGCTGTCCATCCGTTCGTCCGTCCGTCTGTCTGTCAGCGGGCTGTATCTCATGATCCGTAATATGTAGACTGCTGAAATTTTCACATAATGTGTATTTCTGTTGTCGCTATCACAACAAATAATAAAAATAAATTTAAAAAACCATGAGTGTCGTGGAATACTCGGTTGGAATAAAGTTTTTTTCGTAGTATATTATTATTGATAAACCTATTATATTATTGATTAACTAATACAAATAAATGAATTACTAGGGTGTATTAAAAAGAAGCGTCATTTAAAATAAAATAATATTTCTTTCATGGCAAGATAAGAAAACGTGCGAGAGAGATGGATATTACTCCATCTCGCTTCCTTATAGCCGCCAAGGTCTATAAGGAAGCTAAACTTACGTCAGAAGGGGTCGTGACGGAAAATCTTACACTTTTTCTCGCTTAGCCCTCATCCGTCAAATTTGTACCACCCGATAAGGAACTTCGTTCCAATTAAATGGGGCTCCCCTACCAGAAACGTGTTTTACGATGGTGCGGAACCCTTCATGCGCGAGTCCGAATAGCACTTGGCCGGTTATTTTTAGTCGTTATTAGGAAGACGCTGCTGCCCATCTCCTGATTAATTTGTTTCCCTCTGTCGCCTCTTACAACATCCACGGGGTGATGTGGGGTAGTGGATACTTGCATCACCAATAATCAAATACAATTTTTCCAGGTTTGCACGCACACGTGCGAAGTTTACGCTGAGAAAATCCTGAACATACGCAACATGGACGTTCTTGGTACGAAGCGCTGCCTCACCGATATTGGTAATTATTATCATTTATACATTTATTCAACCATTGTAGCTTAGGGGCTATCCGTTCGCTGTAAATTTCACAGTACGCGAGCAACCCGGGTTCGATACCCGCCGGCACCAGTGAAATTGTTGATTGCAATTTTAAGTGCCGATTTACTAAGTGTCTGAGAAATAAGAAAAAAAGTATTTCGAAGACGTGAACTACCTACTAACGACTGAAAACGCAGAAAAATTGGTCGTTCTGTACCATAATCTGCCACTGCTAAATTTTAATTACGATATTTCAAGTTCATAGTTCATATATTCATTTATCTGATATTTTTATGATTACTTTGATAAAGATACATCATTATGAAATAAATCAATTGTTTATGCCCAAATTTGGTCATTTTTGAACGCCATCCAATTGCGTTCGAGCTGGCGCGTCACCCGATGGTATGTAAGTGAAAAAAACCGTATGACTCCTTAAGAGATCGCATTAGTTCCCTATTTATAATTTTGTGATAAGTGAATCCGGGACATTGAATGTCGAATTTTGAACTACTGTCCTTACTGTGTCGGATATCACGTGTTCGATTCTACGATGAATGTGGAATTAGGCGAGTTTAAGTTAGTTAAATGTACAATGAAGCTAATAGACTGAAATAGTGACAATGAAGAAAGAAATGGTCCAGCGGTGGAGCCTGCTGGAGCGATGCAGCATTGTGGGGCAGCCTGGAACTCGGCCGCTGTCGCCTAAGCTGGTCCAGGTCTCAGACATTTACACATCACTAAACACTACTTGCCATGCACCTCACACCCACTTACGGCCTGACCGAGCCTTGGGGCGATCTAAGAGTCGGAAACAGGTAAGTACTATATTTCCCTAGCCTTCTCCCATATAGCTTAGTATTATAGGAAATTCTTCCACCAGGCCGTTGGGCCCCGTCCCTCTGCTGCCCGTCGATGGGATTACTCATGGGCCCTAGTCCCGTCAACCTTTGTTGGGGCAGCTAGGGGCGTGTACATCAATATTTTCCACAAACTAATAAGAAGTTCATAACATAACATAAACACTCACGCCTGTCACGGGTAGGCAGAGACTACGGACTTCCATTTGGCGCGATCCTGACACACCTCTCTCGCCTCTTTTACATCCATATATCAACGCATACACGCTCGTCGGTAAAGGGTACTCCTAATCTGGCCCATTTTTAATGTATCGCCGATTTGGTCGATAAACCTACGTCTAGGGCGCCCCTTCCCGACCCTGCCGTTCACTTCTGCAACATAAATATGCTTTGTCACTCTTTACTCGTTCATTCTTTCTAGAGCTACAGAAGCTACAGTACTATGGTGTCAAGAACACAGCGTTTATTATTTCATATTTAAGTAATAGAAAACAGAAGGTTATTATCAATGGTAAAAGTTCTTCCGGGTCACCTGTACCAATGGGTGTTCCTCAGGGCTCGATTCTCGGCCCATTCCTGTTTCTGGTGTATATTAATGACTTACCTCACCTTGTAGGGGATAGTCATGATATAGTATTATTTGCTGATGATACTTCCTTGATTTTTAAACTTAAACGTCAATCATTTAAATGTGACGAAGTGAATAATGCTATATCAAAATTAGTGCCTTAGTTTAACGTTAATAATCTGCATTTGAACGGAAATAAAACTAATTGTGTTAAATTTACAACAACGAATGTAAAAAATCTGAATACCAATGTGTTTTTAAATGGGGAGGAATTGAGCCCTGTTGTATCCACTGTTTTTCTTGGCATCACTCTTGACGCAAAGCTCCAGTGGGGCCCCCATATATCCAAATTAGCAAGCAGACTAAGTTCTGCAGCCTATGCTGTAAAAAAGATTAGAGGTCTCACTAGTGTCGAGACAGCTAGATTAGTTTATTTTAGTTATTTCCATAACATAATGTCTTATGGGATTTTGCTATGGGGAAATGCGGCTGATTCAGAAACTATTTTTGTTTTACAGAAGAGGGCCATTAGAGCTATTTACAATCTAAAACCGAGAGAGTCTCTTAGAGATAAATTTAAAGAAATTAATATATTAACTTTGGCCTCTCAGTATATTTACGAAAATTTAATGTATGTTCACAAAAACAAAGATAGTTTTAGTAAAAAAAAGTGATATACATTCTGTAAACACTAGGAACAAACACAAGCTAGTGATGTCAGTTTCTCAACTCCACAGAGTCAGTAATTCATTCTTGGGGCAATGTATACGCTATTACAACAAGGTCCCGGAAAGTGTACAGGTTCTCTCTATTACCAAGTTTAAATGTTTTATTAAGCTGAAACTGTATAAAAAGGGTTATTATAGTATAAATGAATACATGGTTGATAATAACCCCTGGGAATGAGGTGGTCACTTCCAAGCAGTTTCTAAAATAAATTGTGTAAATAGTTCGTAATCATTTATATTGTAAAATTTATTTAAAAAAAAGTCCCGCTGGGTTTCTTGCTGGTTCTTCCCAGGACAGAGTTCACTAGACATTCTAGGACTTTAGATTTTAGGTCTAGGATTTGTGACGAGCTCTCCTTGCTGGAGAGCTTCCCAGGGACTTATTGGGTCCGACTCAGAATCTGTATAAGAGCATTCGACAATATTAGCTAGTGCGGCCTTTGATATTCTAGAAATAACTGTTACTACGCGAAACGGTAGTGACCTTTGATCCGGACACTCCGTGTTCGTTTTGTGCGTTAACCTTATAACAAACGAGAGTTAGTGGCTTCTGTAAATTAGTTAATCGTACGATAGAGTTAATGGACTTTCATCGTGACGAACGAGGAAAGTGACTGTGGACAACGCCGCGGAAGGTTCCCTCAATTTGGAGCGGTGTCGACGCCCGAGCTGTTGCCGCCGGCCAAGGTCTACTCGGGTCAATCACCATCAGTCACACCCAGATACACATCACATCACCTTATTTCCCTTGCACTACACAACCACATGCGACCTGACCGACTCCGGAGGGACCAGTCGCCTTGGATATAGGTAAGTAAGCTCCGTCTAATATTCTCCCGATCGAATTGCCGTAGTATAGAACGCTCCCCCATATAGTTTAGTGTAGTTAGAGATTTTCCACTTTGGCCTGGAGGAGGCCCGACCTACGTCAGCTCGTCGAAACTCAGCTGAATGGGCCCCTGAGGATTTGACCTTTAAGGGAGCAGCCGTAGGCCGTAACAGCATATTATGTTGATTATAGTGAATGATTATCAGGAATAATGAAGTTTTAATGGAATGTTTAATTGTGAATAGTGTGGGAATAATCACAAGTCTGATGAATGAGTGTAAGTATTTGTGTGTAGTATGTTTTATTTGTTGGTTTGTAAGTTTGTGTAGTGTTTGTGTTGAGAAACTAAATTTTAAAACTAATCTTATAATTATCATTATGAAAAACGAACGAAGAAATAAACCTTAAAATTAACATGCAGTAACGTAAGGAATAGTTAAAAATAATTTTAAGGCAAAATGAAGCAATATCTAGTCATTCATATTTTAGATCCTCAAATTGGGCTTCATTTCTAATTCATATCGCAGGTGATCCGTCTGATTTTCGTATGAATACTTTTCCGTTTGCAGTCCAGCAAAACTTGTACATTTTTTCTTTTGAATACTGGCGTGCCAAGTAGCATATTTTCTTCGTACTAGGGGTTAGATATTCGGATACGTACACTGGAGCGGCACTAGTATTTATACCAAAATGTGACGCATTAAGTTTTTTACTGGGGTTGTTCTTATTAAAGGATTTCACAGAGCTAAGTATTGTCTGCTTTTGTGAGACGTTTGCTAATTCAACAATCAGAGGTCTAATGGAACCCTTTTTTCCGGGGCCACGAAACATATCCTTAACATCACACGATTGCAAATTAATATTAATTAATGTTTTCGAGAGGTGCATCACTAATTGTGTTAAATCATCTCTGTTTTCTTTTTCTTTTTCAGGAATATTACGTATCTCTATGCCATTTCTTCTGCTGTTTCGATAGAGTTCCTCAACTTTTTCTTCCAGAGACATAATATATTTATGGTTATCTTTACACTGTTTTTCAAGCGATATTATTTTCTTTTGCATATCCTCATATTTCAGGAATATAAGTTCTATGTCCGTATTATCTTGACTTTTCTATGTCCGTATTTATCTTCTTGATATTTGTAAGACTATTTTCCATTTTAGATAGTTTGTTGTCGTGATCAGTTTTCCATGATTTCAGCATTTGCATAACTTATTCCTTAAACGAAATAAAGTCATCCCTTGAGAGTTCTTCGTGGCGTCTTTTTTGTCTTGAAACCGCAAACGAAGAAGGAGTTATCGGTTGTTTGGAGATATCGGAGTCTGATCCAGCTTTATTAGGTAAACGAAGCATGTTGATTTTTAAATATATCGAGCAAAGCAATAATTTTCTGAAGATTAGCTATTTTATAACACACCTCTCTCGCCTCCTTTACTTCCATATATCTACGCATACACGCTCGTCGGTTAAAGGTACTCCTAATCTAGCCCATTTTTAATGTATCGCCTATTTGGTCGATAAACCTTCGTAGGGAGTCCCTTCCCGACCCCGCCGTTCACTTCTGCAACATAAATTTGCTTTGTCCTTCTTTCCTCGTTCATTCTTTCTACATGACCAAATCACCAAAGCATTCCTTTCTTAATCCTTGTCACAACATCATCTTGCAAACCACACTTTTCTCTTATCACACTATTTCCCACCCTGTCGGCTGAATCTTTAGCGTAACAAAACAAAAATAACTAAAATAAAACACTATTTATATATTCATATATATTTAAATTACTACCTTGAATACAGTTGTGAGTTCTCACGAAAACTTGACACAGTTGACAGACAATTACCAACTGAAGTTGTCGCTTTTAGGTTTCCGCGCGCGCGGACATCGTAACAACTTCATAGTGTCGTTTTTTGAGTGTCGTTGTGCGTACGCATCGTAAAAAATTCACTCTTATCATTTTTCTCAAACGCGACTATAAAAGTATAACTTTTAAAACCTTTTAATTTTTCAGTATACTTGTCAAGTGTGGTCGAAGACCTGGGCACCAGCGTCACACCTGCGTTGAAGAACTTGGAGAAGTCACTACGTGCCGCTACTCCAAGTCAATGAATATGACTTAAAAATGTTCAAATTGTATTTATAAAGTAATGTAATATAATATATTTTTTAGCCATTCTAAAATTTAAAATCTTTTTGAAATCGTGAACCTTAACATAAAAGTATAAATACTTAAAGTAAAAACTAACTTCTAAGAACTAAAAATAAATAATTTTACATTTTGAAATTGGCGCTAAGAGATAGTCAGCGCCTGATTTAGGATTCTAACAGCCTTAAGCTAAATATGAATATGTGCATCCTCACCTCGGCCTGTCCTGCCTGTGAATGCCCGAACCATCAATATCAATTTAATAATACTTACTAGATTTTTATAATTCACTTAAAATCCAAATCCTTGGGGTTTCGCCCACATTAAATTTTCTCGTGAGAATAAGGTATTGTCCGCAGTAAAAGATCTTTCTGTATCTCCTTGCCTAATTGAAATCTGTTCAGCAAATGACAGACAGTCACGACAGACTGATTTATTTGGCATTTATAATATTAGTATGTGTATGGATATAGTTTTTAAATATTTAATTATATGTTAATTAATTATTATCAAGTCTTTTGTAATGCGTGCAGCAGAGGAGTGGAATAATTTGCCGACGTCTATCTTTCCGTCCGAATACAATCTGGGCGTCTTCAAGGAAAGAGTGAATAGGCTTTTGTTACGATAAGACAGTGCGATTTATCATCTAGGGCTGCATCACCACTTACCATCAGGTGGGATTGTGGTCAAGCACTGGCTTATAATAAGTAAAAAAAAATGGTTTCTAGTAACTAATCAAATTAGAGGTAAAGAAGAGAGCTTAAGCAATTAATTTAAAATCTTTGACGATAGAGGAAAGGCACTAAATAATTCAAATTCTTATTACAAGGGGCACACTGAAATGATCGGGAATAAGAAAAACCACATGCACGGTATAGCTAAATTGTATTTTATTGTTTTTCGAAGTATTCTCCGTTCACTTTATGCACTTTTCCATTCGTGCAAACCAATCATTAAAACAGTAATTCCAGTCTGAAGTTGATGTTGACAAAATGGCTGATTTGTACGCTTCCACAGCTGCTTCGGGGTCTTCAAACCGTTGACCGCGTAATAAATCTGTCATTCTAGGGAATGTAAAGAAATCGTTTGGGCTCAGGTCAGTACTGTACGGAGGATGGCTCATCAGCTCAACGTTTTCCTGCTTCTAAAAATCATTTGTCTTCCGAGCCGTATGGGAGCTCGCATTATCGTGATGTAAGATGATGCGACGTTTCGGGTTATTTTTTCGGAGTGAGGATACCATTTCTGGCAAACAAACCGTGATATACCACTCAGCGGTAACCGTTCTGCTTTCCTGTAAAAGAATTATAGTAACATGCCCTTTTTTCGAGATAAACGTTGCAACCATTTTCTTTGACACGCTGCGAGAGCGAACCACTTTCGTTTGTTTGACCTCGTCTTGGAAAACCCAAACTGCTGACTAATGTTTTCTTTCAGGTTCGTATGAATAAATCCATGATTCGTCACCTGAGACGATATTATAGACGGCATTTGACTTCCCTCCGTTGAAGCTTAGCAGAGTATTCCGGCACCATCTACACGAGCCGCCTTTTGCTCTCCAGCGGGAAACTAGCTTTCTTACACACAGCTCATTATGTAATATCGACTGAATTGCAGTCATTCCGATACTGATAACAGCCCAAATCTGATCGTATTTCACATGACGGTCATTTAATATAATAGTTCGCACAGCTGCGATGTTTTCAGGCGTGACCGCTGTTCTTGGTCGACCTGCAGAAGAAACAGTGCTGAGCGACACACGACCGCGTCGGAACTCGGCATACCAGCGGTATATAGTCGTTTGACTCGGTGCTTCAACATCATAAATCGAAACAAGTTCGCTGAGACATTTATCTTGAGATAAGCCGCGATGAAAATTGTGATAAATTACGGCACGGAAATGTTCACGCGTGAGCTCCATTTCTGTTAACGACGTATCAACTTTAAACCAACATAGTTTTTGTTTTTAAACATATTTTTTTTTTATTTTTTGAATGTCATTAAGATTGTAATTAATAATTGTAAGGATTCAAATTCTAAAAAACGTTTTATTGTAACTCAATCCGAAATATTCTATTCCCGATCATTTCAGTTTGCCACTCGTATAACAATCTATTTCTTTACAAGTAAAATGCTTGCGGCACTTGCTCTCTTATTTCTTGCTCTATTATATAAATTAGTGATTTATGAGAAATATTATATAAAATATATTCTGTCAATAAGTGATGTTTGCAAAAAATGGCTTAACGACCCCTCGGTTCTTGCGCCAGAGGTTTTCACCGGTGGGCCAATCAGTGTGCCTAGTGCGAGTTCCACAAAATAATTCGAATGACTTCACCATCGCGTTAACCGAGTTAACGCCATACCTATCGACAAGTGAAGACAAGCGAGTGTGTGTTACAATCGAAGCTAACCTTTCGATTCGCGTTTACTCACCGTGAATCGCGTTCGTTCCTTCTCTTATGTTGGTAACACGTTAGCGTCGTGAAATAAACTAACCAAGTTTAGGATGACATAGTTACTTAGTCGTCTTAATATTAGAAGCTGTCTATCAAAGTTGTGGTTATTATAGCATCTTTCATATACTTTGACAGTTTGTTTGTTGTGAACTTACGATTATTGAAAATATTAAATTATAATTATAAGTAAAAAAATATGAAGACTAGTTCGTCCCAATTCGATTTGATGGTGACAATTATGGAGCAGTAAGTTGAATTTAATTTATTTAGTGTTTAGGGAACATATTAATATGTTGTTGTATATTTTGTAACTAAGTTTATTGGTTTTAGGCATGGAGATCTCAGCAAACCATCCAATAATGCAAGAGGTAGGATGGCTTGTATAAAAAACTGGGAGGAATTAGCTCAATTTTTGAATAGTGATGGTAGTGGTGATACAAAAAGTACTGAGAAATGGAAGAAGGTACGTCTAAATGATTATTTATTTTTATATATTTTGGTTTAAACTGGGTTTTGGTTCTCTAATTCTATGAAACATTGAAGTCCGTAGTCTGCCTACCCCTCTGGGTGACAGGCATGAGTGTTTATGTATGTATTTGCTTCAAAAAAAAAGCCAACTTGTTTGTCTTTTTGGTTCTTGTACACAACTACTAGGTATATTGATTTTGTTGAAAGTTTCATTTATATTTTTCATATTTAAGGTTCTCAATCTTGGAACGACCCAGGGCAATCAACACAACCTCATGTTGCCAAGAAAGTCAACCAGGGCCTGCTTTGTCGGGGCAAACTACACCTTGCCGTGCAAGACCAATTCGTACTCGAGGATCACCTCGAAGACGAGTGAGGCCAGCACACACAAAGCAGGCAGCACAAGGGACTCCGGTTCTCTACACTCACCATATGAAACACAGCAGTGTTAGGCTGCTATTTTACGCTGGTATTCTGTGAGAGCGTGGTCCTTCCCCGGTCGAGCCGACCTATTCGTGCTACAACTATACTACTATTATAGCTGTAGCATGGCTCTACAAAATAATTTAGATTACTTTTCTGTTCTGTTTCAATGTTCTTGTAATTATTAAATTATTGTATTAAGTTGTAATTGTAATTATTTAATTAAATTTGTGATAAAATTTAAGGCTGGTTATAAATAAAAGAAAGATTTAAGCTTATTCAAATTTATTTATTTAATCCCTATAGTAACCTTCTTGCTAATTGATCTCTTAATATTCTACCTTGAATTAAATCAGAGGTAGGTTCTCTTTCTGTGTAACTTATTTGATCAGATTCCACCATTCTTTCAAATTGCAGACCTAAAAATAAATCATAATTAATAAGTTTACTGTTTATAAGTTAGCTTAATATATTATAGTAATTCAATTTAAAATTAAGATACCTACCTATATTTTCCTCTGTATCCTCAACACCAAAATTAATAATTATGTTATGTAACACAGAGCATGCTAAAATAATGTGTGCACATTTTACGGGCTTGTAGTGCAAAACTCTATCCTTGTGCAGACATCGTCATCGATTTTTCAGCCTTGAAAATGTGTTCTCAATAACAACTTGAGCTCTCATGTGTTTTTCATTATAATTATTGGACTCAGTGTCTAAAATGGTGTCATAAGCCATGGGCGTTGGGGATATCCACAATCTCCTAGAGTTAAAATATACATGTTATTGTCAATAATATAGATAGAAATTATTTAGTAATGTTTTACTTAAAAATACTTCATATAACTCAAAACATCCCAATAAGTTATACTGTGGATATATTACCTAAAAGCCAGACAATTTCTCCATTTTGGTGCAAAGATTGCATGTATGTGTTTAAATTACTGTTTTCCCATATAAAGGAATCATGATTAGCACCTCCAAACTTGGAATTCACATTTAAAATTCTATATTCATCATCACATACCTGAAAAGAAGACATTTTGTTTATTTTCTACCCCTTTTTAACCAAGGAAAAATAAAAAAACTTAATATTTACCATTTGAACATTAAGTGAATGGTAGTGCTTACAACTATAATACAAATGTTCCTCTTCTTTTGGTGGGGCAACTATTTTAAAATGACTTCCATCAATACAACCTACCACTCCAGGGATTTCATATTTTCTGTAAAAACTGAATTTTAAAATAAATATTAACTGAATCTAATGATTAATTTGCATTAGATTGTTTAAAAATAAGCATATATTTATTATCGTTGACTAACTGCTTGTCTAGCAGCTGGAGTATCAGGGAACCGAATATATTTATTTATTATATTTTTGTGTGTCAGCGCTGGGTAACTTCTTCTATGTGCACACTACACATTATTTGAGACGTGTGCTTTGTAACCCCAACTGGCATTTGGTAGGATCCAGTTGCAAAAAAGAATAGAGCAGTGAGCACCTGCAATTAAAAAGAGAACAAACTTATATTTAAACTTGCACTTGTTTTAAACTTGAGTTGCAAAAATGTGAATACTTTAATGATCGATACATACTTTATGTTCCAAGGAAACGCGTTGAGAGGACCTAAGATTTGTCAAACTCCTTAGCTCTTTACACAAAAACTTGAAGACTTTCTTGGAAATGCGATATATATCTTTAAAGTGCCTCCCCGTGAGGTGTAACAAAGGGTTCAAAGATGCACGAGTTCTTCTTTCAACATTGGCTTTATAATTGCGCTCATCTTGTGCCTTAGCGGCTGTAAACATCCTCCATGCGAAAAAAAACGTCCTGCCATAATTAAATATTGTTCACACAAACCGAAATAAAATTAAACCTTCAACAATCGTTCTCACTATGCTTTCTCACTGTCAAAATGTAGGTGAAAACTTTTTCGATATCGACCGCGTAAACTTTATAAAAATTGGAACTCGCACTCGCAAAATTCTTGAAACAACCAATCACGTGCGTTTACGTTCTCGCTGTCGAATGCGAGTGAATGCTCGAATCGATCGATCGAGCAGCTCGATGGTCGATATCGACGACGTAATAAACTCGCACTCATGAACTGTGATTCCGATTATTGCCACTAGTTGGCGCTGATTTTATTCCATACAAATTGTAGTTAACTTTCTCGCTATCGAGCGCGTAAAAAAACTCGCACTAGGCACACAGGCCCTGGACATAATGCATAGAAGAATGAAAGGATTCAGAATGTGAAATTATTTTACGGTTTTTACTTTTTATTAAAAGAAATTGTTTTGCTAACCTTCTATTTATTCAAATAAACTATTAATAAATAGCTAATTGTTATTACATGTTTGCGTTTTATTTCTATAATTGTTTGAGAAAAGTCTATGTGGTAGAACTCTGAACTGCCTAATGCACTTACATTCAGTTGGAAGGGCAGAATGTAAGTTTCGTTGGCCGTTTAGAAATGATGTTGTTTGCTCAAACTGATTTATTGCAATTATGATGTATTGTTTACTAAAGCAATGAAGAAACCCTTGTCATTAATAAACAATAAAAAAATTATATTATGAAACTTTGTATCTCCAATTTCTCAATTATTTTTAATCTTTAAAAAAACATTACCTCCACACTAGGATTTTCTCCTGTATTGGCGGGGGCAGTTTACATACATAGATTTCACAAGGACAAACATCCAGACCCAGAACAATTATTTGTAGGCTATACAAATACTTGTTCCGTGCGGGATTCCAACCCACGGCCCTTAGCGCTGCAACTCATTGCTAAGCCACTACGCCAAGGAGCGTTGAATAGACTTGGGCACAAATTGAGCTGTTCACAATTGGACAACCAAGCTTTAGGCGGTTGTTGTCGTATATTCCAAGCATACTAACCAAACAATTTGCTTCGTCTTTCGTAATGCATACAGCAACGGAGTGAATAATCTGCCAGCATATGTCTTTCAATCTGCAGTCATGCACTTACTTATAATAGGTAAAAAAAAACCAGTACTCACATTTACATTTTGTCATAAAATTTAAGTTTAGTTTAAACATATCCAGCATGTTGACTATTATATTATAGTTGAGTATTATATTATAAAAATTAGTTCATTGCCTGCATGAGTGAAAACTATAAAATCTTTGATGTATGGTAGAGCCATGTTGCAGGTATATTATGGATGTATCACTAATGGGTCAGCTCGACCGAGGAAGGTTTATCCTTCCTTGGTTTAAGTTTAAAAAATAAAAGAAAATAATTTCATTTAAGATCATTTTATCAGTTATTTTCACAAAACAAAAATAACGATTCAAAACATACCTGTATATTTCATAATTTCCAATTTGCAAAAGTCTTGCTAAGTTGATTCACGACCGCTATTTAGTGCCGAACTAAATTGCTATAATTCTCTTTCAATCTACCTACATCATTATTTATTTTTAGTGGGTAGACAAACATCACTACGCAACGCGTAAACGCGTCACTGGCGTCCGGTACATAACTTTAATGATTCAGTTCTTGGGCATTACTTTTAAATGTTATGCAATTGATTAGATAGTTTTTCCTACGTTCTCTGGTAAATATATCTTCAGCACAGTCATGGTAAGATATTGGGTCAAAAATAAACTCTAATGAACATAGTCATAACATTTTTTTCAATGGTTATCAAACAGCAATTTTAGACGTTTTAAGACGTCACCAGCGTCTCGAACATAATTTTGAATCACGTTTTGATGCGTTGTTGGCGGTCAATGGGTTAAAAAATAAAAAGTAATATTTTTCTAATATGATTATGATGAATTTTTCATGACGTTTAGTGTGATCAGTCAGCTTAGGACAGGATAGACACTGCACAGGAAATGAAATTGATGGACTTTCAGCATGATTCTCAGTTTTCCTTGAAATGAAAAACTGTGAACTTAAAAAATGTACCCACATTTTGAATCTACCGTACCAACCAACAAAAGCTCTGATGATAATATACCACAAACACTGCCACAACTACCACAACATAAAATAATAAAAAAACCAACTATGGAAAATTCCCCCCAGGAGGCAAAATGTGGTAATTCTATGTTAAGCGGTGGACTTTTATAGGCTGTAGTGGATGAGACCACAAACATTTTTGAGGCTGAGAATAGAGAAATAAGCTTAACTATGTAATAAAGAAGGGTTAGATCATTGCTGTTTTGCATTGTATATTACTGTTTTTACGGCATTTTAATAAAAAGGCATATTTCGAAAATATATAATTAACATGTAACATTTAACGTTAACACATCAATCACCTTAAAATCTTATATCACACAAATTCAAAATAGTTGTAATGCTTAAAATAAAATAATCACACTTCATTTCACATCAGTCATCCCATATTTCATGATTAGGGTCAGTCTCTGGTAAATAATCCTTCTGTAAAATAGGTTTTGGTGTAGTCAGTGATCCTTTTAGTTTTGGAGGCTTGTCTTGAGGAAATATAGCATTTTTAGATGGGCAGTTTAGAACATGACTTCTAATTTCAAGTTTTGGAACCCGATGTGTAGCGTTGTACGGGCATATGTCAAGTTCTGGGTAGTTTGGCTGACACTTTACAATATGAGCTTGAATCCGCGAGCGAGGTACACGATGAGCAAAGTTATAAGGGCACGCAACGAATGGATCATCCATGGTAAAGTACCTGCCGGCAAATTAAATTTTTAATCCACTTTGAATATTACACGTTAAACGGTTATTTCTTATACGTCAATGTACTCGTAAATTTGTAAACCTGAATAAATCTTAACAGAAAAATAACAAACTCCGAAAAGAATAACAAAACTAAACGTAATATAAAGCTAAACTTTTATAGGTAACTTTTTTAATGTTTTTATTTTTATGTCAAAAGTAACTTCTTAATCTTCTTCTTAATAACCGGCTTTACGGCTCTGGGATCTAGCCCTTATGAGCCTGAAGTTGCAATATATTATATTAACTATCCTTCATATTATACTGCTTCACAATATGTTGATGCGTCACGTTGTGCAGCCCTTGGGAGATTTTGATGGCAACTTGAGCCAGCAGACAGCTGACGGTTGGCAATGGTATCTCAAGGCGCCTAAGCAGACAGACACTTTATCTTGAGGATCACATCACCATCAGAGCACTTGTTTCATAGTTTCCACTAATAGTTCACATGCGCAGACACTTAATACACAAAATCGCACCACTTTTACATATCAAAGTCCACTTCAAACCATTATTTAAACAATAATACAGGAGCAGCAAACCACCGCCGGTTAAGCTCCCGCCAAAACCTCTGTCAAAAGTAAGCAGTGCTGCCAGCCACAGACTAATGCCGCGTTTTCACTATACGAGTACTCTCGGACCGAGTGCGCTCGGATGCCTACTCGGACGCTACTCGCGGTGTGAAAACACGTAATCCGAGCGTACTCGGACAGCATCATCCGATCAGAGTGGAGTTGGATGTGGTTCTATTTTTACGAGGACACTCGGATAATTTTATGGTGACAATATGGCGTCAACTAAAAAAAAAAGTGGAATGAACATGTCACCCTGAGGTTTGTGGAACTATATGAAGCGGAAGAAGTGTTGTGGAATTGCTTCATTTTACGCTTTTTAACTACAGGTTTCGTTGCTGCTTGCAGAAGCATAGGTGAAGTGTCTTTAAGTGTGATTTGTCTGGTTCGACGTGTTGTCGTGTTTGACATTAGTGTGTGTCTAGAATAACTTGTGGATGGTGTTACAGAAACTATTGGTGAAGGTGTTTCAGGTATATAAAATGATACTGGGGCTAGAGACTTAGTGGGGAGTGGAAAGGATTCATCTTGAGCCGTCTCTAGTAGCTGTTCTTCAGTAATGTAATGTTCGATATCGGTACATTTCTGATAATTATTGTCTTCACTGCCACTCAAATCATCTAATAAGTCATATAGTAAGGGAGAAATTGTTGGAATGAAGACTAATCACTATTACGAAAGCGAAAAAACTCACGTTGCTCAAGGTTGATGACTTCTAAATCGCCATCAGACTCAATATCTGACCCTTCAGAATCTGATAGAGGTATGAGTGATAAGATTTTCTTTGATCTACAAGCCATGTTACTGTAAAATAAAATAAAAATAGTTGAAAATATAATTTTGTAATGAAGACATTGCAAGTGACAACTTATTGGCGACGTCCGTTTCATAGGACAGTCAAAAGAAACACTAACAAGTAGGCCCAAATGGCAATGTCCGTTACATGGGACACACAAACAATACCCTAGTTGATAGTTTAAGCTGGCAATGTCCGTTTTATGGGACCTTATAAATAAACCAAATTTTCGAAAATAATTACAGTAATGTTTACATAAAAAATATCATAGTACAATACTTTTATTCATATTCTAACTAAAAAAAACAACGCCATAGATTAAACAACCAAAATACTCACCGTTATTATCAAATTTATCAGGAGCGTAAATAAGTCCGACAGTTGCACTTTTTAAATGATTATTGCTCGCGACCGTTCCTTACTGCATCATCGATACATGCACGAGCGCAAAAGAGATAGCTAGTTCGATGCTGTAACGTATTTTTACAGCACTTATGTGTCTTAAAACAGTCTCCGTGTGCGTGTGAACACTATGTCCTTTAAAACGGACGAAATCAATTTAAGGGTTAAGATAACTATATTATTGTTAGGTACCTTCTTTCTTTTACAAGGTTGTTGCCGTTTTTCATTCCATAGACACCTCTATTGATGTGACATTAGCGAAACAAAAAACGTTATCCATAAATACATTTAGTCTATGACTTGGTAAAATTAGGGATTTTTTGTTAGTCCAGTTCGTATAGGACAGTTACTATACTCTTTGAGTTCGTAATACTTGAAAGTTTTAATGAAAGTTTATGGAAGCTTCATCTGATATCTTACAACAAAAACGTAGTCGAATAAGGCGGAATTTTGTACTATCGTTGTATAATTGAAAATATATCGTGAAAAGGTCACTATGAAATCTACTTAAATTCAGCCGGAATCCGCAAAATTATTTCACAGGCAATATTAACTGTGTTTGTTTAATGGACGCTGAAACAAGCCCCACGCACAAACTATATAGAAACACTAGCCCCACGGAACGCACACAGAGTACACAGTACACAGAGCACTGTTATGATAGTACAATAACAGCGGTGGTTTGCCTTCTCTTTTGTCGCTACTATATGTAATTACATACATACGTATTCATAGAGTGAATCTACAATTCTATATAAATTGAGTTAATATACTTGTTTCGCTTTTTCTAATTTAATGCTCAAATAGGGCAAAAAGAGACAAATTCTGAAAGATGTTGCGTGTAATTCATGCGTGGAAATAGAAATGTCAAATGTTCATCTTTAATAAACTGCTCACTTTCGAACAATATGTAGGAGAGAAATGCCAGGATGGTATTAGGTCGCACCTAAAATATCTAATAATATGCATTATACATATTTTTTGTCTGGTGCTTGGGTCGCTTAAATAAGGCATGTTATTTTAAAGCTTGTGAAAAAAACCACATTTCACTTAGATGAAAACGTTTTCATTATGATAAAATATTATGTAAATCCAAAAACGGAGAGTCGGAATGTCATTTTTTAAAAAATATGTTCTGTTTTTTGTCAGACAATGAATGGCGACAATAAGCCCTCTTTAACCCTAGAAAGATAACCTACGTCGCAGAGGCGCCCGCGCTGCAGTGCTTCCAGATTCACTGTAATTACAGTAGATCTACTGTATTTTATACTTTTCTACTGTATACTGTAATGATAAAATATAGTGTATGGAATATACTATATTTAATTTTCATATAGCTTTATCAATTTTAATACGTATAACGGAACGCAGCTAATCTACACACAGCAAATGTAGTGATTATATTCACTTTGACACCCTTTATCCATAGACAATGTACAGCAGGTTTGTAACAAAGTTGCGGGGAATTTCCTGGCAAATCGGAACTTACGTGGAGCATTCTGGGACGCAACTGGCAATAAGTAGCAGTCTGTCTTACAAAGTAACATTGCATTTTTCGTCTAATTCATTACACTTAAAGTGGAAGCTCCAGGGTGGCCCGCGAAATTCAAATTTTCTTACGTTTTTTGCAATTTGCAGGTCATTGTCAGGTTGTATGTTTAACAAAATATGATTCGCGAGGGTAACGAGTATGTATTTACAGAATTATAATCATTATAATCATCAATACAACCGTCTATGTTCGTATAATTCCAATGTATGGCTATTTCTAGAAAAACTCATTCAAAGGAATCTAATCTAAATGTATGTTTTTATTTATTTAATAACTTATAGCAATTTGTATTGATAAACAAAGTCATAAAGCAGCTTATTTTTCTATCAATATTTAAACAAAGTTTTACTGTAATTTCACTGTAATCGATTTTGAAGTATTGTTTTTAGAAACTCCTGTATTTTTTAACTGGCAACACTGTAATTTTACTTTTGGGATCTGGAAGCACTGCCGCGCTGCAAAGATATTGCTTTCTCTTTCCAATCGACACGCATATTGACTTGTCCGTCGTAGCCAATTCAGTCACCGGTGGGCTCTATCGCGGGACGGCTGTTTCTATGCGGTAAGAGTTATAGTTTCGTAGTTATGACCAGTGGATGCGCTCGCGAGGCGTATGGTTATCTTTTGTGTAACTTTTAGTGTGTTAATATTTACTACTGTGACATGAATTTTATTTATTTCTGTTTTATTTTTACTTTTTTAAGCCTACTGCACAGGTTTCCATGGATGAAGAAGAGGAACCGTCAGCCAAAAAAAGACGTTATTGCAGCTACTGATCGTCAAAACAAAAAAAGAATGTCAAAGATGACATGTGCAAAAAGCCCGTTTGTGGCGAACATAAGATTGAAGTTTGCCAAGACTGTATAAATACCAAATATTAGGAGTAATTTGTACGTAAATTGTATCATTACATCTATCGTCAACTTATTTGTAAGAAAAAAAGCCATTTTTTGTGATAATTTACGGGATTCATCCCCATAAACGAAGGCTGTTGATTTTAGTTATTGTTTCGTAGAGGTCTAATGATTTATGTTTAAAAATTCATAAAATATAAAAAATTATAAAAGTAATGCATTTTATTTCTTTATAAATAAAATGACTAGATTAATTTTGGCGAAAATGCGATATTCAGAATAATAGCCGCATTAGAAACTCATGCGCCTCTGAAGCGTATGGTTATCTTTTAAGTACGTTGTCATATGGTTATCTTTCTAGGGTTAAAGCGAATCATTTCGAAGTATAAAGTAAGGAAAATGTAGGGACACAGTAGTTACATACATTTTGCTGAATTGACACTGCACTTGAGTACGGAGTGCACTCAGCGGTGACCGCCAATCGTTCCCCGTCACTGCCCACGCTAGGTCGCTATCGAATAGGAATTATTATTGTATCGCCACTAACATATATCTTAACCTGTAAAATTGCGATTTCTGAATACAACATCAGTGACATTTAAGATTTTAATTATTGTACCCGATAGGCACCTTCTGCACATTCTGTGAGTCACGTCGCAAGATTATCAGGCATAAGTAACTAGTACATTATTAGCCAATAACACGCACATTCCCGCACATATCTCCTACAAAGAAATTTGCAAAGTAATTAGCAAAGGTATACTGGAATAAAGTGAAGAGTTTGAAAGATCATCACAAAAATAACAGACACCAAAACCTTGAAGGTGTGATTTGACTTTTGTTAGCACTGTCGTCGTCAACGCTCAGATGGAAAGATTATTCATTGTACTAAAATCGTAAAATCCGACAAAAGAAATAAACCCATAATTAAACCCTCCATGGCTTGTTGCACACCAAACTCGACATGATAGGCTGGCTCCAACAATGCTATGACTGCAACTAAAAAAGCCACGTTAGTACTTCAGCTTCAGCATCAGCATCATATCTAAGTAATAATCGATTTGTGTTCGTAGAAAATCGCTTTATTAAAATAAAAAAAAATAAAAAGATAATGTTTTTGTTTTATTTCTAACTTCCAATTTTACGCCCTAAATGAAGAACATTTTGGTATTTAGGGCAAGATAATTGGCCTAAATACTTCAATTTTCGGAGACTAAATTGAGGTATTTTAGCGCAATTGTCCAAAATCTAGGGCTATATTAAAACCTAATAGTGGAAACACTGCCTCTTAGTAGTAACGGTGGGTAGTGGCTGCTGTTTTGCGTAACGAAACGAAACTATCCATCGAATTTTGAAACACTCTATTTGAATAGCGGCTTCAATAGAGTGTTTAACGACGTGTTTAATTGAAAAAGGGACATTGAAACGATGGTCGTTTCACGAGAAAGCTTGATTATTTTGTTTTGTGTTCTTGTTTCCTTTGTTCTATTATCGAGATGTTAGTGTTAAGAAGATTTATATTGCAATGAGATTTCTTTATTATTACCTATAATATCACATTTATCCGAAAGTAATAGAGGTCATAGATCAAATGCAAAAGCAATATATGTGTAGGTGGGTGTGAAAGAGATAAAACGTGCCAACCGCGCTCTCTCGACATTCGATGGCCGGTGGTAATTCAACAACCGAAGCCTTTGCCGATGCGTCGCGAAAATAGCAAAATAAACGATTTGTTACATTTCGTTCTAAACGCTCGATCGTAAAATCATATTACTGAGTAAAATGTCCACTGTAATAGATAGTTTCGTTGGACTGCAGTAACCCGCTACCCGCTATTGTATGTACAGATAGTTTTAATAACTGGTTACGTTTTGTAACGACCACTTCTACTTAGTAGTCTATGCATGTCAGATGTCACTGTCACAATTTTTGAAAGTTTGAATTTGAAATAAGCTGGTGATTTGTGATCTACCCATATCCACATCAATAAAGATAAATATCAATTTATAATATATTTTTATATAAGAATAATGAACAGTTTCAATAAACGAGCAGAAAAAATGTTAGGTGCGTACGTTTATTGCTTTTCAGTTATTTATTGAGAAAGATTATAATCTAACTACCTGTAAATTAATACCTACCTATTACTTTCTATAGATATTTTAGATAAAAGTAATACGCTTCATAATTTTCTTATTTTTAGTTTGAAATGACGAATATAGCGAAACAATACAAAAAATTAATTAAAAAATAGAGTTTTCAGACTAAGACTAACGAAGAAAGATTAAAGGAACGCTGTGTACATTTCAAGTAACGCCGAAATCATGCTCAACTTCTTAACACGCATAATGCACGTATATTTTTTCTTTCATTTTTTACAGCCTGCAAAAATCCACGACTGCACATATGCATAATATAAAACCATGTTGTTGGTTGTAAGTGATTTTGGATGCGTGTGTTGAGTAAGAGTCCTAACTATAAGTTGTGCATGGTTTTGCATTGGTTTTAGCATCTCTTGAAATGTATGCAGCACTCTGTCCTGCCTGCCTATCGTTCTTAGTTGATCTGAGATGGAGATAGACTTGTTATTTAGCTAATTAATTTACTTCATGTTGCAGTTGTACTCTGTACTAATGATACAACTTGAGTACATTTTTAATCAAAGTTAAAGATTCATAGTTATTCAGCAATTTCTATTGTATACCACTTGAGTAAATAAGTAACTTGAAAGGTGCTTAACTTGGTTCATGCAAGATTTGTTTCACAATAAATTTGAGGCTTAACTTAATTAAACATCACATATAACTAATCAGACATTTAATAACACAAAAGTTTTAAGTCTTCAACATTTTGATTAAAAATAATTAAATAAAATAATATTAGAAATAACTTACAGAAACCAATGATTATAATTTATATAATATAATAATATTAATAAACATTAATTTCTCCCTCATTTTACACAGTTACAGTTCTTTCATAAATAGTTTAAGAATGTTTAGTTGTTGTGGGAGACAGGAGCTCAAACTAGAAGATATATATATATAAAGAAGATACTATGGCTTTGCTTTATCTTGTAGATAAATCAAAATTGTCCTTGTTTTTGCCCCAGTTATTGATTTGATGTAATAGTCATGTTCACGTAGTATAGCCACCCTGCAGTTATAATTATGGTTGTAGCATGAATGGGTTGACTCTAGTCTTGGGCATAGTCGGTCGCCATTGGGAGCGCTCAATTTAGTTTGTAGTCCTAAAGCGAACTAGTTCGCTCATTTAGTTTGTTAGTTCTTTTTTAATTTTTCAGTAGATCTTATTAAAAAAGATGAGTTTATTGAATGTCAGTAAATAACAATTAATTGAATTTACGTTAAAAAAAAAATTAATGCTTTAATTAGTATGTAATATACTACATAATGTATAATATATGCATGATACTTATCAAGAACTATTTGATGATATGGACATTAAAATAAAATGTAATAAACGAAGCTAAACATGTTTTTATATTTTTGAAGTGTATTGGATTATTGAAAATAACGCAACTGTAATTTAAAGAATACATGTCGCTAATTAATGTAACATAGTAACACAGTGTAACCTTGATATAACAAACCTCAATATAACGAATTCCTCGGTTTAACGAATTTTTCGAAATCCCCTAGAACTGCCTGTAAGAGCTAATGCAAAATGTAACTCTACATTACGAATAGATTTTATCAGAAACATCTTTATATCGAATTTTTAATTATTGCGGAATATATAGAGAAGATATTATTTATCTCTTTTTAACCAATTTTCTCAACTTGAAATCTTGACATAACATATACTATTAATTATTCCTACTTAATTTCACAGTAAATCATGTCTTGGCAGGTTCAGGTAAAGATGACTATTTACATAATGTTGAGATTAATAAACAAGTTTTCTTACCTTGTTAAAATGCATTGTAGTTCCACCTAACCTCTATATAACAAACCTCATTATAACGAATTACTTGGTATAATAACGAATACTTTCTAATTCCATTCAGTTTCGTTATATTGAGGTTGCACTGTATTCGAGTATTTAATAAAATTAGTGAAAAAAGAAATGTAAAATATTAATTTTGAATAAACTTACCGTAAAATCGAATTGAGAACTATACGGTAATTATATACTGCTTACTATCACTTTCATATTAATATTGTGAGCCAGCAATATTTGTTATTTGTTGTGAATTGTGCACTAATAAAACTAAGTATAGACTATTAATTATATATTTTAATAAGAAACTCTGGTAAGAACGGTAAGAATAAAAATAAATCAGTCGGTTAGCCATGTATCTCCATAATAGAGTGGACGCAAGAAAAATAAATAATTAAAGAACTAAGAGCGTGATTGTCGACGAACTAGTTCGCATAGTTCACCTAAAAGAGAGCTCTTCCAACCTAGGTCGTTCGTGAACTACCCAAGACTAGTTGACTCAACTGGTGTAGGACCATGCTCTCACAGAATAACAGCATAAAATAGCAGCTTAACGCTGCTGTGTTTCGTATGGTGAATGTAACTGGAGACTCTTTTTACTGGAAATAAAGCTTTCCATCTTAATTTTTAGGGGTGGCAATGCATTTGCATTTTGATTCTTAATCAAGGATAAATGTACATGTCTATGGGTCATAACACACCATCATGTGGACTGAATGCTTGTTTGTTAGCCTTATTCTATATTAAAAAAATTATATATTCTTCTTGTATTTGCGAGTGGGCTAAAAAGACAATTGTTTATTACTTGGTGCATTCCTAGAATTTCCAAAAAATATTTAATGTGGTCTATAAACAGTTTTATAATAATAATAAGTAATTTTCAAACTCACCCAAATGGGTACCTGCCTTGTCGTGGTGGGACTTAGTAACCTTGGCTTGGTGTTGTGTGTGGTTAGTGTGTTCACCCAGTGTGTACAAAGAGGACCACTGATATAGTGAACTAAGAGGAACCCACATGGCTGGCCAGAGGTGGCCGCTTCAAGTGTGTGTGTATATTTTGATTATTTGAGCCACCTGAGCTACTCGAGGGATTTAAATAATTTCTTTATGTTTTATATATATTATATGATGTCTTCGTCTAATATGAACAATTTTTTATAATTACTTATTGAAATGAGAACTTGTTTAGGCATGTTTGGCACTTTTAGGATGTGGAAATAGCACAGATCTTGTGTGACCGTCACATTCAGATATACAAAAATAATGTTTACAAGTTTGTGAAGCTAAGAAGTTTTCACTACTGACTGCATGTTTTATGTTTTTTATTAAAAAGGTTACTTTTCAGGATTGAAAATGGAGAAATAATTCTACACCCTTTTGGATTTCGCCAAATGTGTTCATTACATCACTAAGGGTGTGGGATTATTTCTTCCTATTTCAAATTATGTGAATAACTTTTTTTTCAGATGGTCACACACCTAAAAGAGTTAAAAGAGAGTGTACTTATGGAGATAAATGCTACAGATTGAACCCAGCACATTTGAGAGAGTTCAGTCACCCTCACTGTTAGTAGTTGTTCTTTATCTATTTCTTTGGGCCGTAAAGAATTCCGAGAGCCGTGGTAGCTAAATTGTTAATTGCAGTGCTGATTTACCACATGCTTGGCAGTGAAGGAAAACATTGTGAAGAAACCTGCTTGTCTTAAGATTAAAAATATTTTTGTATAGATGTGAAGTCAGCACTGAGGTAGCGTGGCAGACTAACTTCCCCATAACACTCTCAAACATGAGAGGTGGACTGTGCTGGCAGTGGGACGTATAGAAGCTGTAATTTTACTTTTCCTTTAATTAATAATAAATGAATATATGTGGTAGAATCAGTAAAATAGCAGCTTAATGCTGCTGTGTTTCATATGGTGAATGTAGAGAACCGGAGACCCTGTTTTACTGTAACCAATACATTCCATCTTAGTCCATGGTGGTGACAACACATTTGCATTTTGATTCTTAATTGAGGATAAGTGTAAATGTCAATGGGCTACAGTATCGACTTACAATCAGGTGGACTGTGTTCTTTTTTGTCACCCTTATTCTATAAAAAAAGGAACGAAATATATTTATCTATTTATTTTCTTCGACTTAAAATAAAATTTCATTAGTCACATGTCACAATTTTTAATCTATTATCGTTTCTACATGAGGTCCCTCTGACCGGAGAAGAAACTGCAAAAGATATCCTATGATAACTGCTGGTATGCTCATTTTTCTGCTTGTTGTGTTAAGAAACAATATGCCTTACCCTTACGTTTGCCTGCTATTGGAGATGCCCCTGTCCATAAGTCTACGGTTTACAGATTGTTGAGAACTGAGAAGGTTGAGGGGAATGAGAAAGGTCTACGTCCACAATATTATTTCTATACTAGTAATTGGTTGGCTCTGTGAAATGATATGACATACATTAATTTCTTGGATGCCATTTTTTAAATTTACTTAATCTACTACCTATTTACTGCTACGCATAATATTTTTCCATTTTTGCTTTGTAGTAGTGCGATAAGAGAATCTAATACCCCATATCATTACTTGTTTGTCCAAACTGCCCAGAAGATGGGCAGCAGCATCGTCCTAATAAGTGGTTATCTATACAGTTATTTTTCAATGCGTAGCCAAATTTGAAATTGAAGTTGAAATATATAAATAATGACAATCGTTATTGCAGTTTTTAAAAATACGAGTAAATAAGGCTTTTATTTGAAATTATCCTAAATTGAATGTGATTTATGAGCAACAACTACGCTTATGCGCTCTCCTCTGTGTGCGATTCAATTCCCAACGTTTTTGCCGACCGAGCGACCCTTAACAATGACAAAAAATTAAAATGCATTACCATGCATTTTGAATTTAAAAGATAAAAAGGACAGAATGTTTGAGATTTTTTAAATTAATTTTTCTTCACTATTTACCTATATTACTTATTCTGTACCTTCTCCGCAAATTTGGCCGGTTATTGCAAAGTAACCCTGTAGTAGTCTCGCTTTTGGAATTGCACAAGGCGTTAGGACTAAGTTCAGCTTAGGTTTATCTATTTCTGCCACCATATAGCGTTGCTTGCACCGTTGTATTTCAGTCTGGAGGGTATAGAAAGTCAATAAAATTACAGACTGTGAGGCATTCCTTCTTAGTCCATTGAGGTGACAATGCATCTGTAGCCCTCTTTGTTTGAAGTGAAGCAGGTGTCCATAAACTGAAGTAGCCACTTACCATAAAGTGGATATGGACAAAAATGTTATTAGATTTTGACGTTTGGAGGAGTTTTAAATAGTCGATGCTTTATTACATTACATACATTACATTATTATTATTTATTTAATTGATTTTATACTCTCAGCAAGTCGGGAAGAGCTGATTACACGGGCCTAAGCCAAGTGATTATCAATTGGATTAAATACGGTCACATGTACAATTGCACAGAAAATGGTAGTGCATTTGTCTTTTGATCTGGGTTTTCTGGTTCACATTGCAGAAACTTTCTAACGAGAGTAGAGATAGGTATTTGCAGGTAAGTTGAGAGAATTAAGGGACTGGTGAAGTTGTTTCGGTATTACTCCTGTTGTAGGAAACTTGGTGTTCTTGCAAGGTTGCGGCGGTACTTCACGCTGGGTCAGCTTCTTACCTTATATAAAGTGCAAGTCCGGTCGTGCATGGAGTACTGCTGTCACATATGGTCTGGTGCTGCAAAATGCCACCTGGCAGCGTTGGATTCAGTGGAGAGACGTGATAAGAGGCTCATTGGTGACCTTGACCTTGATTTGGTTGAAATCAATTTTGTCAGCCTCAAGCACAGGCACAGAGTAGCCAGTCTCTCGGTATTTTATAGGGTGCATTTCGGTGAGTGTGTGCAGGAATTACACGCTATAATTACTTCCTCTCCTTTTCACCATCGGACAACCAGGCGGTCGGCGGGTCTTCACCCCTTTATTGTTGATATTCCACGCATTAGAACCAAACTGTTAACTTCGTCTTGTGTAATGCGTAGCAAAGGAGTGGAATAATTTGCCGGCGTATATCTTTCCGTCCGATTACAATCTGGGCGTCTTCAAGGCAATGGTGAATAGGCTTTTGTTACGCTAAGACAGTGCGATTTACCATCTGAGGCCACTTACCACCAGGTGGGATTGTGGTCAAGCAATGGCTTATGATAAGTAAAAATAATAATAATTAGAAAACTGTTTTTTTTTTAATAATACTCAGTTATTTATACAAATTTTATCACTGACAGTGGAATCAATATTAGACAACTACAGCGGCGAAGGTGACTATCCAATACCAAAGGAACTGCAGCCGCAAAGGCATCTTATTATGGACCAATTGCAAGTTATTACAGAAAAACAACTGTATGTACCTGTGAGTGGTAATGTACAGGAACAAAAGACAGAGTAAGTTGTTTTTATATTTTTTTTTATAAAATAAGGGTGACAAACGAGCATGGTCCATATACATCTATATTTATCCTCGATTAAGAATTAAAATGCAGTTGCATTGTCACCAATAAAGGCTGTGATGCAATGCCTCGTTTTCAGTAAAAAGAGTCTCCGGTTCTCTCCACTCACCATACAAAAAGGTTCACACAACAGTTATATACAATAGCATAATATTAATTTTTTGTGTTCTGGCGGAAACTTGGACGCCGGTGCATTGTTGCTCGTGTATTATTTTTTTAAGTAAAGATATGAAGTAGATTTTGATACGTAAAAAAAGGTGCGTTTTTATGTATTAAATATCTGCGTGATCTTGATCAAGATGTAAACCTCAAGTTATTGTGTATGCTTAGGTGCCATGCGATACCATTGTCATTTAATGTTTGCTGGCTCAAGCGCCGCAAGAACAGAGGTTTGTGGTCGCAGTTGTCAAGCGCGAGGCCAGGCGGATTTTTTTAATTATGTAGGCGGATTGCAGTTTGTATTGAGTTTAGGTTTAGGAACCCTTGATTTTTTATCAGCGCTCGCCGAACAGGGTATGATAAATAAAGGTAGCGCGATCTCTTTGGGCGCGGAGACTTTCGTTCGGAGCGGACGGCTCACGCAAAATATTATCACGGTTTGTTGACTATCTACTAATAACTACACACCTACTCTGGATATCATTGGTCATAAGTAAAAATTTTAGGTAATCAATATTTTGCCCCCATGATAATCACACAAGTTTAATCGGCATTGAATGTGGAGTACATCACTTGGCACAACACACGGCCGTTCGACACCATTGCCCTTAGTTCGATTTTTAACCGACTTCAAGAAAAAAAGGAGATTTTTTATATTGGAGGGATATTTTTTTATGTATGTTCAGTGATAATTCTTTACAGGATTATTCCGAACACGTTTCAGATCTAGTGGCACAGAACACATGTTGTACGTATCGTCTACTTGACCGCAAATACTTTTTCAGATCAGAAAGCACAGACAAAAAAGAAAACGAATCAAATAAAAATGTACCATACACTAGTTCTACCAGAGAATCAAATAGTAGCGGTTCAACACCAAGTCACAATATAACAGAATCATGTAGTAGTAATAAAGAAGTAAAAAGAAAAGCAGAAACAGCAGGTGAAAGCTTAAAAGTAAAACAAAGGGAGAAGAGCAAATCACCAACAAATCAGTTGGTGGTACATAAAGGTAACAACATTAAACTGTATTAAAAATAGTTGCTTATTTGCATAATTTCTCGTACTATTTTAAAGCAGTTTTGGCTATTATTAAAAGAATTTCTTGAGAAGTTTTAAAATATAAATATGCATATCACATCAATTGAAATAAATTTCTTATCATATTACATTAATATATGTCATTCATCAATTAATCACTTCATTATTTAATTCCAGATGACTACCGTCCTATAATACCGCCGACCCGAAGACCGGAACAATTCCTCAAAGTTGTGCTTCCTTCCGGTGGGATGGCGGCGAAGCATGCTGCTAGTGCCCCCTATCATATTTTCTACACAACAATAACTGACAGCAGAGAAACGCATAAGATGCCGTACTCGATCACATTCCTAGGTATAACTTTTTTTTTCAGAGCAATTAACAAGTTTGCAATATCCGGCTCGAGGGACCACTGAAATATTAACTTTTCGGATGTATTAAATGAATCTAATTTTTTTCGGATGTAGATGTGATATGATAATAAACTGTAGATTGACTGAAAATTTATTCGAACACTTCATTGGAGAATCTATGCTTGAATTATAAATATTGATGTAATATTGATATTATAATATCATTTTTATAGTTTTTTTTACATGGTAGTGCCACGTTGAAGCTATATTATGGTTGTAGCACGAATGGGCCTGCTCGACCTGGGAAGGACCACGCTCTCACAAAATACCAGTGTAAAATAGCAGCTTAATGTTGCTGTGTTTTGTATGGTGAGTGTAGAGAACCGGAGACCCGTTTTACTGGAAACGCGGCATTCCATCTTAGTCCTCAGGGGTAACAACGTATCTGCATTTTGATTCTTAATCGAAGACAAATGTAGATGTCTATGGGCCATCCACTTAACATCAGGTGGACTGTGTGCTCGTTTGTCACCCCATTCTATACAAAGAAAAATAATTTTGCTTGGTTTACATACCCAACGTACGATAGACGCACTGAAACGATTGGGAATAGAATATTTCGGATTGACTTACAATAAAACCTTTTTTAGAATTTGAATACTGGCCTCTTAGAATCTTAATGACATACAAACAATTATAAATAATGTTTAAAACAAAAACTATGTTTGTTTAAAGTTGACACGTCGTTAACAGAAATGGAGCTCACGCGTGAACATTTCCGTGCCATAATTTATCACAATTTTCATCGCGGCTTATCTCAAGATAAATGTCTCAGCGAACTTGTTTCGATTTGAGATGTTGAAGCACCGAGTTAAACGACAATATACCGCTGGTATGCCGAGTTCCGATGCGGTCGTGTGTCGCTCAGCACTGTTTCTTCTGTAGGTCGACCAAGAACAGCGGTCACGCCTGAAAACATCGCAGCTGTGCGAACTATTATATTAAATGACCGTCATATGACATACGAGTAGATTCGGGCTGTTATCAGTATCGGAATGACTGCAATCCAGTCGATATTACATAATGAGCTGTGTGTAAAAAAGCTAGTTTCCCGCTGGGTTTCCCACAATTTGTCCGAAGAGCAAAAGGCGGCTCGTGTAGATGGTGCCGGAATACTCTGCAAAGCTTCAACGGAGGGAAGTCAAATGCCGTCTATAATATCGTCTCAGGTGACGAATCATGGAATTATTCATACGAACCTGAAAGAAAACATCAGTCAGCAGTTTGGGTCTTCGAAGACGAGGTCAAACCAACGAAAGTGGTTCGCTCCCGCAGCGTGTCATAGAAAATGGTCGCTACGTTTGTCTCGAAAAAGGGGCATGTTGCTACAATTCCTTTACAGGAACGCAGAACGGTTACCGCTGAGTAGGTATATCATGGTTTGTTTGCCAGAAATGATAGCCGAACTCCGAAAAAATAACCCGAAACGTCGCATCATCTTACATCACGATAATGCGAGCTCCCATACGGCTCAGAAGACAAAATGATTTTTTGAAGCAGGAAAACATTGAGCTGATGAGCCATCCTCCGTCCAGTCCTGACCTGAGCCCAAACGATTTCTTTACATTCCCTAAAATGAAAGATTTATTACGCGGTCAACGGTTTGACCACCCCGAAGCAGCTGGTGGAAGTGTACAAATCAGCCATTTTGTCAACATCGACTTCGGACTGGAATTACTGTTTTAATGATTGGTTTGCACGAATGGAAAAGTGCATTAAGTTGAACGGAGAATACTTCGAAAAATAATAAAATACAATTTAGCTATACCGTTTTTTCTTATTCTCGATCATTTCAGTTTGCCCCTCGTATAAATTTCATCAAGATCTGAGTTTGAGTTATCCTTAATAATGCGCATTTAATTGTCTTCGACCACATTGATGATGTTCTCATTTTATTTATATTGAAGTCGGTTGTACAAAAATTTTAATTTTACCACTTGTTCATCTTGTTACTAGTGTTGTAAAAGAAATGTATTACATTCAATAACAATACTTGATTGTTGTTACAGAAATCCTGGATCGTAGTCTAGGTGAGCTGAAGTGCTCATTGCAAATCAATTTCATGGTGGAAATTGGATGGTTACTTGCTCAGTACTATTTCGCTGGTTACAGGTACATTTTTTTTTAATTTTTCGAAGAATTGCGGTAGCGACTTGCTTGCTTTGACTTTTGTTTCTTGTAAATCTATTTTGTAGGATAATTTTAGGAATCAAAAGTAAGTTAAGATTAACGGGAATCGGTAACTTTTATTATATATATTTATATTTAAAAAAACTATAATTAGTGCAGAAGCCATGGTAGCTCAGTAAATTTTACAGTACACGAATAACCCTGGTTGGATCCTCGCTAGCACCAATGAAATTGTTGATTGCAATTTTAAGTGCTGATTTACCACGTGCTCGGCATTGTATGAAAACATCGTAAAACCTGCATGTCTGAGAAATAAGAAAAAAAATATTTCGATACATGTGAAGTTTGCCAACATGCGTTGGGTCAGCGCGACGGATATTTCCTTGCCCTAAAACCCTCTCAGAAATGAGAGAAGGCCTGTGCCTAGCAGTAGGACGTGTAGTAGGGAGTGTAATCCCTAAAGAATCTTGTGAATTTGGTTTTGAGACGGGCATTTGTAAGCCCAAACGTCATAAATTGAAAGACTAGTTTTTTAATTAGTGTCAATTTTTCAGTGGAAAGAAGTTAACAATACTCTATGGCGATGACTGCGCAGATATGAAGACCATAAACAAGAAGAAACCGAACGTTGACGCACACTACGTGTCTATGGCCACACCTTTCGGGAAGCATCACACGTGAGGCTGCTTTGTTGAAACATATAAGAAATGTGTAGGCCTTACATTGTATTTTTCCGCACTAAGATAGTCTAGATGGTTAGGTTTCTTTTAAAACTAGAAAAGTCTTGGTGTTTTTTTTTTAAGTAGGTAACGAACTTAAAATCCACTTGATGGTAAGTGGCTACTACAGCTAGGGTTGCCACCTTTTTTTTGAACAAATATAGTATTTTTCCCAAAAAAGATGCTTGCAGTGCCGCAGTCAAACTCTTAACCACATTTGACATTGTATCAATAATTGATTATACTACTGGCATTTTGTATCCTTTTTTTTTAAGAAACGGTCAATGGGCCCTTGCCATTCTTTTGCCTCAATTTTGGCTATTTTTCAAATTCGTGTTTATTCGTTTGCCAAATATGGGTTTCGATAGTGTTTAATATTTCCAACAAAAGATTACATAGTTATATTCTACTTTTTTCAGTGCATTTTTTTTTATAGGATAGGGTGACAAACGAGCACACAGTATACCTGATGGTAAGTGGTTGCTGTGGCCCATAGACATCTACATCTATCCTCGTTTGCGAATCAAACTGCAGATGCGTTGTCATCCGTGAGGACTAAGATGGAATGCCTCGTTTCCAGTAAAAAGGGTCTCCGGTTCTCTACACTCACCATTCGAAACACAGCAGTGTTAAGCTGCTATTTTGCGCTGGTATTCTGTGAGAGCGTGGTCCTACCCCGGTCGAGCCGACCCATTCGTGCTGCAACTATACTACTAATATAGCCGCAGCATGGCTCTAGTACGTGTAAAATCTTCCATTTTGAAAACCTTTAATATTTTTCTCAAAGTAATTTTATGTGATTTTTACATTGTTTATATGGTAAAACTTAGCTGCTGAGTATTTTAGATGCATTGCGAATGGGTTGGCCCTTCCCTTGGTTGCAGAAACCAGCATGACAGTGCTGCGTTTCGTATTACGGGTGACAAGAACTAGAGACCTTTGTTACTGGTAACGAGGTATTTCATCTTAGTCCTCGGTTTTCATTTTTAATCGAGATCTTTATGTAGTAATATATTTTAACTGAAAAGGACAGGAAGAGAAAGCGGACAGTTTGACTTTATATTTAAGAAACTGATATAATTTAGAGAAGTGAGGTGGCTGAGTTGACCGAAGTGAGGTGGCTGAGTTGACTGAATAACTCTAACTAACCAAGTTAATATACGCGATAAAATCCGTAAAAACTAGGTTTTATTTAAATGTGCAGTGTTCGCGTAAATATAATAATTGACTAAGCTGGGACTGTTCTATTAAAAGAATGTAAAACAAGCTAAAATAATTTATTGCACTATTTACAAGGAATCACTACAACTACTTAATTTTCAAACACTAATGAGGGTTAATCCACGACTTTTTCTGCCACCAGGGCGGCACCACTTTGCAATGAGGTAAAACATTTTGACAGATTTCATAGCGAGGACGATAATTTCTTAGGAAAATGTAAACTTTAATATTTTTTCCGTATTATTAGTTATATTAATTGGATTAGAAATGAATAAACCAAATTCTAAATATAACTAAAAGTAGAAAAATTAAAAAAAAGATTAAAAAAGTACAAAAAATTAAAAATCAACCCTGACGCATTGTGTTGTGTATTAATATAATACACAATACAATGCGTCTAAATTTAGATAATGATAAACTATTATTTAAAACTCATTTCTCAATTAAGTGACATTGTGTAACAAAAAACTTTACCTCAGTCACAACTAACGACATCTGGTAAGTGGAAGGTTATTAGCTCTCATTATACTATAGGGAGCACTAGAGCTATTTGTTCTTGTTTTTTATTTTTCTTCATTACTGGAGCTCTTCTTTGCCGCGAATGGTCTCCGCCGGCCAGGTTCCCGCCTTATATTATTCCCGCGGCGGGCGTCGCACAGTCGACGGTCTCCCACGCGGACTTGAAGCGCGCTGATTGGTTGCGCTCGTCTGATTATGTCGCAGTGCGGGGCGCGGGGGCCGGCGGTTCCCCTCGCCGTCCGTAACAATAACCATTAGCTATTCGGGAACTAGCGATGACAGCGGGCCGTGTAGTGACGGTTTAAACGAATCCACTACCTAATACCATCCCGTTGGTGTCGTAAGAGGCGTCGGAGGGAAGCCGAAGCGGGAGATGGGAAAATAATCACAAACTACGGTTGCTAATCAGTCTGCCAAGCGTGGCAACTATGAGGGAGGCCTATGTTCAGCTGTGGAGTTTTGAAGAATTATAAATTGTGGCTCTAATGTTGCAGGAAGATGATGATTCTCTGCTATGAAGACGGGTCGTTAAGAGTAGTCGTGTCGACCGCCAACCTCTATGTCGATGACTGGGAGAACAGAACACAGGGGTAAGTAACCTTTATTACATACTAGCTGTTCCCCGCGAATTCGCCCGCGTGTAATTTAGGTTTTAAATTTTTCTGCGCGGAACCCTAATTCTTTTTCTAAAATAAAAGCAGCCTAAGTTACTCCTTATAAAATCAGCTGTCTGCCGGTTGAAAGTCCCATCAAAATCGGTCCAGTCGTTTCGGAGATTAGCCGGAACAAACAGACAGAAAAAAATTAAAAAAAATTGCGTTTTTGTGATAAGTACCGTATATACTCTCATATTCATTTATTGAAAAACTGTTTATTTTGATATTAAAAAGAGACACTCCAATTTTATTTATTTGTATAGATGACACTTCGAGAATTGTTCTTCTATTTATGCTTTTCATAGTATCGAAAACATTATATGGTTATCGCTTATCGAAAACTAGAACGTTAAAGTTTTTTCCAGCGATTGAATTGTATTTTTTTTTATCACGATTAATAGTGAAATTAGTATTTCATGTTTGCGCATATTTTTTCTAAGCATAACCTATTACAAGAAGTATCAATTCTCGCGTGTCGTTTTATCTATATACTATATCTTAGCATCAACAACAGAGGGTGAAATTACATTTTTTTTTGTTTTTGAAGGTTTTACTTTTTGTTAAAAGTTATTTTTTTAAATATTTTGAGCGGACCAAGGAATGTCGCTCAATATTGTCTAAGTAGTTACATTAAAAACTTCATCCCCTATTTGGCCACACTTAGCGGTGGTATTTTTTTCTCTAAATTCTATGGAACCTTCACGGGTGGCACAGCCTAAGAACATACAGTCGGTCATCGCGTTTGATTGGAGCGCTCCACCCGCGTCTCGGCCCGCACCATACCGCGCGATTTTCCCGTCTGGACGCCTTTGATGACCCACTGTCAGTAGTAGTTAAACTGTGCCGGAAGTATAACCTATTTAATAATAAAGGAATCATCAAACTCAGTTCACAATTGGCTACCAATCTGACGTTTATCTTCGCTATAAGAGAAGAGGCCTAAGTCCAACAATGAGCTCTTATCTGCTGATGCAAGGAGGAAATCATTTTAGAATGTTCTTTATTCCAGGTTGTGGTTCAGTCCCCGCTGTCCCCCCTTACCTGCGGGTGCTATGCCCCACGACGGCGAGTCCCCCACCATGTTCAAACGGTCGCTGCTTCGATACCTCCACCACTACCAGATACCCCAGCTTTCGTACTACGTGGATTGGGTCAAGAAATGCGACTTCAGCCATATTAAGTATGTATGTATGTAACCCCTGTGGTTCCCGTTAATTGCGTTTTTAGCATATTCAAACATATAGAAATAACGTTTCATTAGAAAACTCCACTATAAAAAAAAAACAATTTTCATTTAAATACGGTTTTATTTGCAAATTGTATGTAGGTTTATTACCTCTGTGTATGCCGGGGAGTAAGAGATTGTCAAAGACCCCGCTTTACTAGTTGTGTTGTGTTCAGGTGTTAACAACATTTTTTTCACTTAGTTAAATTTAGTAATTTACCTAAACACTAAAATTCCTTTAATAATGACCAAAAGTGTCGTCAATGCCATGCACATCTACACATCGCCAAAAGGACCACCGGGTTTTTTTGTTAAACACTGTATATAAATTCAAATGGGTTGTTTTTTTTATATGTAACTATAACGTCTTTTACTGGTATTCTTTTACCATTTATAAAATATTTTTGTTTTGCTTTTATAGAAGTACGGGTGACAAACGAGCACACAGTCCACCTGATGGTGAGTGGATGCTATGGTCCATAGATATCTCCTTCTATCCTCGGTTAAGAATCAAAATGCAGATGCATTGTCACCCCTGAGAACTAAGATGGAATGGCTCATAGTTGTAGTTACACTATACTTGATGAACACAGCAGTGCAAGCGAGTTGCAAGGGAGTTCTATCGCCTAGGAATGTACTATGTAATGATAATACAAACGCCTCTTCCCTGCAGCTATATTAGTAGTTTAGTTGTAGCACGAATGAGTCGGCTCGACCGGGGATGGACCACGCTCTCACAGAATACCAGCGTAAAATAGTAGCTTAACACTGCTGTGTTTCGTATGGTGAGTGTAGAGAACCGGAGACCCTTTTTTCTGGCAAAGAGGCATTCCATCTTAGTCCTCACGGGAGACAACGCGTCTGTATCTTAAATCTTTATTGAGGATAGATGTAGATGTCTATGGATCACAGTAACCACTTACCATCAGGTGGACTGTGTGCTCGTTTGGTACCCTATCCTATAAAAAAATCTCTTAGTACTTAATAGAAATTAGAAAATATTAGCATGAATAGCTACTGAAAAATTCGTAAGGGATTATTTAGATTATTGTTAAAATTTTGAGCTTGCATATAAAATTTTGTTATATTATTATACAAAAGTACATGATTTGACATAAAATTAAGGAAAATTCCAATAAGATCGGAAATATGAACGTCGTGTACGTAACGAAACGACATCAAAATGGCGGCGCTCTCTCCTCTGCCGCACGCGATGCGCCATACTTCTCACTCAATGTAAGGAATACTTCGATCGTTTAGCTATCAATTGGTGTAATTAAATTTTGAATGTAAATTATAGATATGCATCAATTTTATGAATTGCCTCCCACTATTAAAGTTAATATGAAGACGAATTCACGTCAAAATCATCTTCCCCAGCGTGTTCTTGGTGGCTTCTGCCCCGGGATCCCATTTTGACACGGAGTGGGGAATGACCCGTGCGGGCAGTTTGCTGCGGCAGCATTGTCGCGTCCCGCCGCATGAAAACTCAAAGTGGCCGCTAATTGCACAAGCTAGTAGCTTAGGCAGTTACGGGAAGGAACCGAAGGTGAGTTGGTCTCGGTATCTTGCTTCGGCACCATCCGGAGAACACAATTCGCTTTATGTGCGTTATGTGGGTTATTTCAGTGGCTTCGTTAAAAAAAAATAGAGTACCATCAACTATGATCTTTTACATTTGACGGGCGTCCTGTGACGGCCAACTGACCGTTAACGAATGGGTCACATTGACCGGGGAAGGACCACAATCTCATCGAATACCAGCGTGAAATAGCAGCTCAAGGACCACACGCCATTAGTACTGAAGTGATGATACAACTTCAACGTAGCTCTACAACGTATAATAATAATGTCATTCACACCGAGTTTTGATCACGGCGATAATTCCCAACGTGGACTAGCCATCTGCGCAAGACAACATTATAGTGCTTAAGCGTATGCGCAAGCACAGGATGGCACCATGGCAGTCTTCCAGTTCCAGACTTCCAGTCTCCGGCCTGTTACTGAGAACTTCACAGTGATGTACATTCTGTAAATACTAGGAACAAGCACAAATTAGTTATACCAGTTACTCGACTCCGAAGAGTCAGTAATTCCATCATGGGGCAATGTATACGCTTTTACAACAGTCCCAAAAATATGCAGACTTTATCTGTCAAAAGGTTTGAAATATATACTAAGCAACAATTGTTTAGTAAACGTTATAATTATACTACTAAAGAGTACATGATTGATAATGACCAATAGGAATGAGGTGCTCGCTACCATGCTGTTTCTAAATATTTTGATACTAATTGTATAAATATTGTATTGTAAGTTATGCTTTAAAAAAAAGTCCCGCTGGGTTTCTTGCTGGGTCTTCCCAGGACTGAAGTTTTTTCCGAACCAGTGGTAACAGTTAAAAATGACTTTTAATAATTCAATCATTCATTCATTCATTACAGCCCTTCACAAGTCCACTGCTGTACATAGGCCTCCCCCAAAGAATGCCACAAAGCACGGTCCTGAGCCACCTGCATCCATCGACTTCCTGCATGTCTTACCAGGTCGTCACTCCATCTCGTGGGGGGACGCCCTACACTTCGCCTACCGGTACGAGGCTGCCACTCGAGAACCTTTCTTCCCCATCTGTTGTCGGTTCTTCGAGCTATATGACCGGCCCACTGCCACTTCAGCTTACTAATCCGTTGGGCTATGTCGGTTACTCTGGTTCTACAGCGGATATCCTCATTCCTAAGTTTATCACGCAGAGAAACTCCGAGCATAGCCCTCTCCATAGCTCGCTGAGCGACCTTGAGCTTCCTCATACGGCCAGCAGTGAAGGACCACGTCTCAGTTCCGTAAGTCATCACTGGCAATACGCACTGGTTGTACAACTTAGTTTTAAGGTTTTGAGGTATGTCTGACGAGAAGATGTGTCGTAGCTTCCCGAACGCTGCCCAGCCGAGTTGAATCCGTCGATTGGCGGATTCTCGGTCGAAGTTGGACTTCCTAGTCGGACTATTTGTCCCAGGTAAACATACTCGTCAACAACTTCGAGCTTAGTGCTTCCAACAACTACCGGCATAGGTGTGACATGGACATTAAACATGATCTTTGTTTTGTCCATGTTCATCTTAAGACCTATCCGTTGGGAAACACTATTGAGGTCATGGAGCATAGTGCTTAGGTCCTCCAGCGATTGTGCCATAAGGACTATATCGTCGGCAAATCGAAGGTGAGTGATGTACTCGCCATTGATGTTGATACCGTATCCTTTCCAGTCCAGAAGCTTGAAAACGTCTTTCAATGCAGCGGTGAAGAGTTTCGGGGATATGACGTCACCCTGTCTTACACTTCTCTGCAATTAGAAAGGTTTCGTACTCTGGTTCTGTACTCGGATAGCCGTCGTAGCCCTACTGTACAAGTACTTCAACACTTCGATATACCGACAGTCAACTTGGCACCGCTGAAGGGACTGCAGCACCGCCCAAATTGCGACGGAATCAAAGGCTTTCTCATAGTCCACATACGCCAGACATAGTGGCAAATTGTACTCTTCGGACGTCTGTACAATTTGCCGAAGGGTATGTATGTGGTTTATGGTGCTAAAGCCCTTTCTAAAACCGGCTTGTTCGGGAGGCTGGAAGTCGTCAAGTCTGCGCGCGAGACGATTCGTAATGACTCTCGAAAACAGCACGTAGACGCGGCTCAGAAGGGAAATCGGTCTGTAGTTCTTCAAGAGAGCGTTGTCACCTTTCTTGAAGAACAAGACCACCGCACTTCTGCTCCACGCCTCCGGTGTAATGCCACCATGGAGGACGGAATTAAAGAGCTTCTGAAAGACTTCAAGTACCGGTCTTCCACCCGCTTTCAAAAGCTCCGCTGTAAAGCTGCAATTCCATCCTCGCCTGGGGCCTTACCGTTTTTAAGGTGCTGGAGAGCCATTCTAATCTCGCTCAGACTGACGTCCGGGATATCTTCGGAATAGTGTCGGATGAGACTATACAAATAAATAAAATTGAAGTGTCTGTTTGTAATGAGAAAATAACAACTCTTGACTAAATGAATAGGAAAGTATAAACGGTACTTATAACAAAAATGGGTATACGGTACTTATAACAGAATTTTGACGGGACTTTCACTGGCAGACGTATAATAATAATGAAAAGTAACTTATGCTACTTTTAGTTTGGAAAAAGAATTAGGAATCCGCACAAAAAAATTAAAAGCCATGAAATTCAATCTTAATTAATTCCACGCGGACAAAGTCGTGGGGAACAACTAGTATTAAATAAAAATGATTCTATTCTATTGTATTCTAAACACCCAATAACCGATGTTGTCTCAATCCAGGATTCGAACCTCGGAACTACATGCTAGACTAGTCCAACGAGGCATTGTAACACTTTATTTTGTATTCTTTTTGTAGAATATTGATGAATGAGGTACTAGTCTTAAGATACTATATCCAACTGTATTATATCCTACTTATTATAACCTACACTAGATGGTAGAACTCCTTTGTGCCGAGCCCGTCTGGGTAGGCACCGTCCTCTTATCTTTTTTTAACTGGTTTTACGGCTCTGGGTTCCAGCCCTTTTGAGCCTGAAGTTACAATGTATAATTATCCTTCATAGTACATTGCTTCACAATATGTTAATGCGTCACATAGTGCAGACCATGGGAGAATTTGACGGCAACTTGAGCCAACAGACAGCTGACAGTTGGCGATGGTATCTCAAGACGCCTAAGCAGACAGACACCTTATCTTGAGAATCACATCACCATCAGAGCATTTGTTTCGCCGTTTCCACTAATAGTTCACATGCGCAGACACTTGATACAGAAAGTTGCACCAATTTTGCATATCAAAATCCACTTCAAACCATTATTCAAACAATAATACAGTCAAGTTCCCGCCAAAAACTTCTCTTATCTATTTCAATCACCAAACAGTAGTGCGTACATTGCTGTGTTCCGGTCTGAAGGGTTTAAGTACGAGTGGGCTGTAACAGGTACAATCGTATACCTGTCTTGCCTGTTCCAGTTCCACATAAATAACCGTTCCAAAGACCTGTTACAAAATAGCAGTCTGTTACTACAGTCTTGGTAGGTACTTCTCTTTCTAACTAAGGTGTTGAAGCTATGCGAGAAAAGGATAGAGCTTATGACAACGGTAACAGGATGTCGCAGTGTAACGGTAACATTTTTTTTATTATCCTAATAAAGCTACTGTCATATGTATACATAAAGAGAAGCTTGTGACTGTTGTGTAATGAATTTTGTTATCTCGGGGAACAGGAGCTGTTCTTTCAATTTGTCACAGTGACGGGTTGCTATTTAAGACACCCCTTTTTTATCTGTTACGATAAATACGCCTCGCACCTAGTATAGAGAACTAGTATAGTAACAGGCTATGAGGCATTTCAGCTAAGCCTTCAGAAGTCTCAACGCATCTGTAGTCTTTGTGCGAAGTTGGTTGCAGGTGTGCATGCCTGCAGCTGCCACTTACCATCAGGTGGACTGTAAGTTAGTTTGTCACTTCGGTTTTATAAAACAAATGTCCTGTTAGAGTTAATAAAGCGTTTTTCTTTATATCGTAATATCGTTGTGTATCAGTATATCGATACAAAACTAAGTATTGAGCATCACTAGTCAGACTCTAATCCTGTTACGTCATTGTGATATTTATTAAATTTTCATGTGTGGCAGCTATGGCTGACAGGGGACTTTCTTCATAACTTTACGAAGATTAAAGATCAACCTCAAATGCTGTCCACACCGGCGGAGTTAAAATTGATCTACCCGTCCTTGGGTAAGTTCCAGTTGAATCATTTTTAGTAGATATGAAAGAAATTTCCAAAGAAGTTTCTTATACGTGGTAGACTCATGACATATATAATGGTTGCAGAATACGTCGGCTCGAACAGGGAAGGACCACGCTCTCACAGAATACAAGCGGGAAAGCTTAATACTGCTGATTTTCGTATGGTAAGTGTAGAGAACCGGAGACCCTTTTTACTGGAAATGAGAGATTCTATCTTGGTTCTCAGGGGTATATGTAGATGTCTATGGGGCACAGCACCCACTTACCATCAGAATATTTGACAAAATTGATATTTAACATTTATTTTTGATCTATAACATCTTTGCTCTCGCTTTCCCGCCATCTGTGGGAGTGATTTTGTGAAAAGCGACGGAAGTGTGTAACAGGAAGATGGGGAAAGGAGGGCACCACCATTTTCATAGTGGATTTTAATTATTTTAATGCGATTTTCGAGCGAAATTGAATTCATTGTAGCAATTGCCAAAGCATCTACTACGAATAGGTCAAAAAACTAAATGTCAAAACTGTCATGTTTTTGGTGTTGCCCCAATTGAAAAACAAAGTTCTTGTTGAAAAACCCATTAGATATGCGGTTTTTTTATTATTACTTTATTATTTTGGATTATTACTCCTCTATTATTGTTTAAATAGGGGTTCGAAGTGGATACGTACAAGTAGTGTAATTTTGTGTATTAAGTGCCTGCGCATATGAACTATTAGTGTAAACGGTGAAACAAGTGCTCCGATGGTGATGTGAATCTCAAGATAAGATGTGTGTCTGCTTAGGCGCGTTGATGTACTATCGCCAACTGTCTGTCTCAGAAGTAATTTAATAAGGGTCTTGAATTTGAACAGAACTGACGCAGGCACATTACATAATATTTTATCCTAACCAAATGGCGACGATGCGAAAGTTCTGTTCGAATCCATGACCCACTAGTATAATAAGTAATAACTAACGTTATATGAGTAAGTGATGTATGTTATGGTACGAGGGCGGCACTGAAAATTTCGAGAATCAAGGAAGTGACACAACATTACTATTTAAAAATGTATTTATTGCTTTTCGAAGTATTCTCCGCGAAATTTGACACATTTTTCCATACGATGGAACCAATCATTGAAGCGACCATTCCATTCGGAAGTTGGGGTCTCCAAAATGGCCGTTTTGTAGGCGTCCACAGCTTCTTCAGGTGATGAAAATCTCTGTCCACGCAATTTTTTCTTTATTTTACGGAAAGTATAGAAATCATTAGGGCTTAGGTCGGGGCTGTACGGCGGATGGTCTAATAATTCTATGTTTTCTTGCTCTAAAAACTCTTTTGTTCTGTGTGCGGTGTGAGAACTCGCATTGTCGTGATGGAGGATGATGCGGCGGTTGCAGTTCTCTTTACGGAGTTCAAAAACGACCTGTGGCAAACAAATGCTAGCATACCATTCTGCATTAACCGTTCTTTGTCCCTCAAGAGGAATAGTCGTAACATGGCCGGTTTTGGAGACAAACGTGGCCACGATTTTTTTTGCAACACTTCGTGAACGAACAATTTTTGTTGGCTTTAACTCATTTTCGAACACCCAAACTCGTGACTGGTTGTTTCGGGTTCATACGCGTATATCCAGGATTCGTCACCTGATAAGATGTTGTATACAACATTTGAGGATATTGCGTGGAATCTTTCGAGAGTTCTGACGCACCAAGTAACGCGAGCCGCTTTTTGCTCTTCACAGAGCGAATGCGGTATCCATCGGGAAAACAACTTTTTTACACCTAATTTTTCATGCAAGATTATTTGTATTTGACTCATGCCAATGTCTAAAGTTGCCTGAATTTCGCGGTATGTCACATGTCGATCTTCCTCAATCAGCTTACGCACAGCATCAACGTTTTCTTGGGTGACTGCAGTTTTTGGACGACCTTGAGGGGGATCATCACTGAGCTTGACACGTCCAAGTTGAAATTCAGCAAACCAGCGATAAATTGTGGTTTTTGATGGGGCTTCATCACCAAATGCAGAAATCATCCGGTGAACACACTGTTTTTGTGTTAAACCACTTCGAAAGTCATAATAAATCATCGCTCTTGACTTTTCTCGAGTCAATTCCATTTTCTCAACGACTAAACAAGTTTGACAAAACCTTGTGACAAGACCGAGAATATTTTTTTAAATAAATAAATGGTATTCGATTTTTAAAACCAAGGGGTTTTCAATTAAAAAGATTTTAATATGACAGGAACAGTGGAAATATTCCATTCCCGATACTTTTAGTGCAGCCTATGTATGATGGGACTGACATACGCTAAGTGGTAAATGTCCCTTAAATGATTGTAGATTTAAAATAAATATCTGGCTCAAGTTGCCGTCAAAATCTCCCAAAAACTACGCAATGTGACGCATCAACATTCACCAACATTCATATTGTGAAGTAGTGTACTATAAAGGATTATTATCCCTTGATACTGAAAATCTATAAAAACGAAGATCTATAATGAAATGAAGACGTCTTAAAGGACAAACATCCAAGCCAAGAAATCTTAATTAAAAAAAATTATAGATCTGCCGCTTTTTTCTTGTTTATATTACACGCCAAGTCGCGGGTAGAAGCTAATGTCTAATAAATGAATTTATTTTCGCAGAGAATGTGAAGCAATCGCATGACGGCTTGCTGGGCGGCGGCTGCCTCCCATATGCAGCTGACGCCCATGCGAAGCAGCCCTGGCTGAATGATTTTCTATTGTAAGTTTCGTAATTTTGGTCCTTTAATTTTGAATTTTTGAATATTTTTACTAGGTCCTACTTTGCCTATTTTTTTTTTATAGATTAAGAATGAAAAACAAGCACACATTCCACCTGATGTAGTGGGCCATAGACATCTACATCTATCCTCGAATAAGAACCAAAATGTAGATGCGTTGTTGTTCTTGATAACTAAGATGGAATGCCTCGTTTCCAGTAAAAAGGGTCTCCGGTTCTCTACACTCGCCATACGAAACACAGCAGCATTAAGCTGGTATTCTGTGAGAGTGTGGTCTTTTCCCGGTCGAGCCGACCCATTCGTGGTACAACCATAATATAGCTGCAGTATGGCTCTACCATATAGAATAAGGAAGCTAAGGAAGTGCTTGCTCTGATGTGTTCCGATCCGAATGTGTAAGGCAATTTATCTTTGTTTTTTTTATTTCTTACATTACTCGAATTTTTCCTACTATAGGTTGTTCTCACGCCCAACAGTGGACTGTGGAAGCCGATAAAGAGATACACAGTCATTTTATTCCATTTCAGCCAGTGGCGAGCGACTTCAACACATCGAAATAAGGCGATGCCACACATAAAGACTTACACGCGGATCTCACCAAACAACAAGATGGCCGCGTTCTTTCTTCTGACTTCCGCCAACGTTAGCAAAGCGGCCTGGGGCTCTCTGAACAAAGGCAACAAGGCGCTAAGGGTCATGAGCTATGAAGCTGGTGTGCTGTTCCTGCCCAAGTTTATTGTAAGTACCCTCCATTGCCTTCAATCTCCAATCTTTTAAAATTTTGATGCATAATCGATTTTTAACATTTTCAACTTCAACTCCATTTTGCAATAAAATTTGACCATGTAGTTAGTGGCGGTGTAAGAATATCATTTACTCCATATCGTTTTGTGGGTGTCGTCAAGAAGCGATGGAGGGAAACAAACCAAGAGATGATGCCTGCTTGTAATGATGATGATGGTGATGTATGTAGAGATATAGAAAACTGATTTTATGCTACAGTTTCTAATTTATTAATTTTAAAATACGACCTCACCTCACTTTGTAAATATTAAATCATAATTTAGAGAATAGTTTACTTTTGCATAGATCATTGCTATTTAATATTGCTAACACCTAACTTTATTTTTACCGTGTAGTTGCGGTGTAAGAATATGCAATACCCCATATCATCCCGTGGGTGTCGTAAGAGGCGACAGAAGGAAACAAATTAGGAGATGGGCAGCAGCGTGTTCCTAATAACAACTAAAAATATAAAAAACTGTGGTTGCCAACCCGCTAGCCAAGCATTGCAACTATGGCGAATATCCCCCTACGAGGCAATTTATGGCCTAACTTTGAAAATAAAACAAAATTTGGAAAATTGTTTACTTTTGCATAAGGCATTACAAGTAAATAACATATTATCCTTCCGAGTTTTTAGTAGGAACTTGGCTGGCGGCGAATTGCTGCTCTTGTTTTATTGTGTAAATAATGATTTTGTGTAGCGTATTGTGTCTACGCATGTGATTAATGGAAACGATGAAACAACTGTTTCGATGGTGATGTGAATCTCAAGTTATTATGTCTAAGGCCCCTTGACATATTATCTTCATCGAACGTTTGCTGGCTCAAGCTGCCGTAGAAATCTCCCAAAGACTTTACAATGGGACTCATCAATATATTGTGAAGAAGTTATTAATCAAATCGGCAAAAGTACAACCGTGCGAGTCCATTACAAAGAAAAAAAAAACCTGACCTGCCATCGGATCAATACATATAACCCTGCATATTTTTTTAATGCTAGCGATATTATTAATATTTGACCATTCCTGGTAAGCTTAAAATGCTTGTGTTAAGAGTGGTTCACGACAATAGTCGAATGGCTGATTCGAACCAGCGATCTTTATAGTTCCCTGTCCGCATTACTATTAGGCTAGTGTCGCTATAAATTATATTGGGTGAGTGGGGGGAAGATGAAAAACGGGGTAAGACAAAAAGGCATCAGTAAAAACAGATTTTGTGTAATTTATCCAATGCAGGTAACATTCATAAGACCGCCATTTTGTTACGTACCACACCTAAGTCGGCACTTGTCGTTTTGAGGGATCGGTTGTGTGTTATAAGGGAATATCTACGCTGTGAATTTTACGCGAGCAAGTGGGGTGTTTTAATCTTACCCCGTGTCGTGTAACTTGATTTACGAGGTAGGTACGAGTTTTTTATTTGTATACATACTCGTACTTATTATTTTTAATTGGTAGTTATGTTGCTATGTCTAAATATCGCTACTTGTTGGATTTTAGGATTTATTGTAACATTTCGTCTTTACCCGCCAATATTTGACGGGGTAAGATAAACATATAAAAGTTTCCATCTTGCCCCGTTTTCAAAAGTCATACAAATGGTCTCATGTTCTCAAACTGTACCTGAAAAAATGTTTTGTTTTGTTACAGCCATTATATAAATTGTCAGCGGCACAATTTCAGCTAATATTATCTATTTTAATTGTTGTATATTATAAGAAAGGCAAAAAGAGCAAGCGGGTCACCTGATGGCTAAGTGATTTCACCGCTGCCCATAGACACAAGAAACCACAGAAGTGTTACTTGTGCGTTGCCTTCTCATAAGGTATAGGAACAGGATTCGTAGGAATGAAAGTAGGAACTTAAAGGAAGGGGAAAGACCACCAGACACTCGTTAGTAAATGCAACATCACAGCTCCTAGAACAATGCAACGTCACATCGGTTTATCTAGCAAACTTCAACATTCGGGTGGCCTTAAGAAAAGGGGAAAAGGAACGGGCATCCGGAACTCTCAATCACCAGACGAAACATGGCAGCCACTAAGAAGCTAAACACTTCACGTTGATTTTCTGTGAGAGGGTAGTATCGCACCGGTCGACCCTGCTCATTTATGTGTTACAGTGAACTGTAGACGTGGATCTACTACAATTTTTTATTAATGTTTAGATAATATTTTTTTAGAAGTTTTTCTATGTTTTTAGTTGTGGCATTTTTTTAAGATCTTATTAATTGGTTAGCTGTTTAATTTTGAAATATTAGATTTTTTACGTTTTGTGCTACATATTTTGTTGACCAAAATGGTAAAAGGTACATGTACGTAATTGTGTTTAAAATTATCTTGGCATTAATAATAAAAAAAAATATATGATTGATATCTTTCATTTTCTGTATAATCTTATCCAAGTAAAGTGAAAAGTTTGAGAATGAGAATGAGAATGAGAATGATTTTTATTCAATATGGATTATTACATAATACTTATTGAAAGTCATTATTTTATTTATCACTGGTTCGGAAAATACCTCTGTCCTGGGAAGAACCAGCAAGAAACCCAGCGGGACTTTTTTTTTTAAACATAATTTCACTTAACAATAATTTTGTTTATACAATTTTAAATGAATTTTCATAGAACCAGCATGGTGGCGATCACCTTATTCCCAGGGGTTATTTTCATTCATGTATTCCTTGATATTATAATAACCCTTTTTGTACAGTTTTTCTTTAATAAAACTTTTAAACTTGTTTATTGACAAACTTTGACCCCCCCCCCCATAAATGAATTACTAATTCTGTGGAGTCTAGTAAATGGCATTACAAGCTTATGTTTGTTCCTACTGTTTAAGGTATGAACATCCTTATTCTTATTAAAGCTATTTATGTTTTTATGTACATACATTACATTTTCATAAATGTATTGCGATGCCAAAGTTAATATGTTTATTTCTTTAAATTTTTCTCTAAGGGACTCTTTACAATTTAGATTATAAATATATAATTGAGAAACTCTAGTTCAATCTTTCCCCGGCGGGGCAAGATTGAAATATAAAAAACAAATAATTTGTGTTATCTGTGTTATTTGAAGGTATTTTGATATTATAGACAGTTCTGAAGTGTCAGGACAATTAAAATTGTAGCCTACTGACCGTCAATATCGTCTGACATTAATTTGAACGATTTTAGAAACTACTTCGATCTTACCCCACCACCCTTTCATCTTTCCCCCTGTTTTTTACTTTCGATAAAAACATTGTAATTAATTTATTTTTGCTTTCGAATAAATATAACAGGGATTTATCGATATGACATAAAAATATGCTCTTTGTACTTTATTCACTATAGATATAATTTTAGCTTAAGTTAATATGTACTGTTCTACAAGACGTCAAACTCAACACTGCTCATCTCATCAAAAAACCGTTCGATCTTCCCCCCACTCACCCTAAATTTATCTAGGCTTAGGTAATATATATATATATTTTTAATTGCGATATATCGATATTTGTTTAAGAGTATCGATATCGTATCAATTTCGTTATATTTTAAAATGTTGTATTAGGTAATCGACAAAACATTAAGCAACAAAAGCATGCTGTTGTCGTTGTTTTCGTCGTCCAACCGTCAGTAATGAAATTTTGGGCCTTATCCCAGTACATTATGCAAAACATAACAATATATCGATATATATCGATACTGTTTCAAAATATTTTTTTTTCATTTGCCCATCCCTAAATTTATCACTATAATGTTTATACTTATAATGTTTGTACTTGTACATGAAATTGTCGTCAAAGCGTTTTTTTATTTTTCAGATAAACGAAGATCTGTTCCCGTTGGAAGAGAACGCCAAGAACCGCCTCATTTTGCCTTACGACGTGCCGCCTGTCAGATACACCAGTGATATGTCGCCGTGGGTTTTTGATTATCTGTCATAAAATTAAAAATAAAAACTTTATATTTATAAATAAATACGTTATTTTTATAATTGTGGTTTTCATTTCTGTGGTAGTTTGCTTTAATAAAAGTGGGAGCAAACGAGCATACGGCTCACCTGATGGTAAGTCTCGACCGCCGCCCAGAACGACTGCAACGCAAGGGAAATTGCAGGTGTGTTGCCGGACAAAAAGGAGTAAGTTTTTTTTGACGATTCCTAATGCTCTGGTTTCGACGTTATGATTGCGGTGCCGCTGCATGACGGTCGTAATAAAGCGGTGAATGACGTCACTGACCAAACCTGAAATTAACAATTGTAAAAATGTGAAGGGAAGGGAAACCACTTTGCATTATCAAATAGCAACAATGGGGTACACTTCCCTTTGCGTTAAAAAAAACATACTTTTGATGAAAAACTTAATTCCCTTATGTCTAAGTGTTAATAGAATAGAATAGAATCAGTTTTATTTAATATAGATTATAAACTAATGTAGCTGTTTCAACACATGTAATGTAGATCTTAAACTTTTTTAGTTACAGAACTAACTTTCACTCATTCTGCCAGCTAACCTTTGGTAGTGTGGTGAGGGCTATGGGCAGAGCCTCAACAGAAAAAAAAACTAACTTTTTTTCACATATTATTCAAAAATATAATATAATATTACAGAGAGTTGGCTAGCGTAACCGTGGCCGTCTGAGGGATAAACTTCTGCCAGAGCTTTAATGAATGCATTGTGCTAAAAATTCGTTACCGGAACTCATTAACTTGTGGCACCCAACTTAGATCGTCAGCCAAAACGACCTTAACCTTAGGTAGATGTAGATAGTCGAGTCGACATGTAATTTTTCTGCTGCCTATGATTATAACCTGTGTTTTGGTAGGATTTAATATAAGTCCATGACAGCTTGCCCACTGATGAACTGCAGCAAGTTCCAAATTCATTTTGTCCACAGATACATTTATGTCATTTACACTAAAATACTAATACAGTTGGACATCATCTGTGTACAGATGATACTTGCTGAAATTTATTACGGAAACAAGTGCATTGATAAACACAGAAAAAAGCAACGGAGATAGAACACCGCCTTGAGGAACACCGGCAACAATGTTACATCAGTAGGAGAACTTATCATCAACATGTATGCGTTGCCGGCATCCCCGAAGATAGGAACTGAACCATTGTACAACTGATGATGTTAAATTCAGGGATTGCAGAATTGCTAACAGTATGTCATAGTCAACACAATTAAACGCATTACTAAAGTCTAGAAGGAAAAGCAGAGTAAGTTAACGACTATCCATCGCAAAGCAGATATCATCAGTTATTTTAATTAAGGCCGTGGAAGTACTGTGCAGTGGTCGGAAACCAGACTGGAAAGGTTTGAAGAGATTGTTTTTGTTTAGAAATTTTGTGAGTTAGTAATGAACAACCTGAGTTGATCTAAATGCATGTATTTTTAATTTTGATGTTACTAGCTTTACAACAGTGTCAAATGTCAATGCTGTTTTCTGCATCAGACTCTTCAATGCCCTGGATTAAAAGAAATTGATGCCTGCTCCTGTTGTCAATGTCAGTCAAGAGTGTAAGGGACTGAACTTGTTTTTTTTATATATGATATCCAGGGCAGTCTTCATAGTCTCTTTGAAGGATAAAATCATTGGTGAGAGAAGTGATATTAGGTTGAGAACTTCCCAACCAGGCTTCAAACGAAGACATGCACTCTTCATACTTTTTTTCAAGTGTTTTGACGGCATCTTCCGGATTAGTTTTATCAAGATTTCGTCTTCCAGCTATAGTGAAGTGTTGAAGTGCAGTACTGAAGAATAGTATTTGCAGCAGATGTGTTGCAAACTAATACATACATACATACATAAACACTCACGCCTGTCACCCAGAAGGGTAGGCAGAGATTATGGACTTCCATTGGGCACGATCCTGACACACCTCTCTTGCTTCCTCCACATCCATATACCTACGCATACACGCTCGTCGATTAAAGGTCTCTTGACTGACATTGACAACAGGAGCAGGCATCAATTTCTTTTAATCCAGGGCATTGAAGAGTCTGATGCAGAAAACGCATTGACATGTGCTATGGAATGATATCCAAGATTTAAGATAAGTAAATTTTAATAGATTATATTAAAAAATATTGTTGCGCGCCACAATTAATACATGGTACATGGCGACACTATAATCCTTAACAGGGTTATGGGCCCAGTACGGCCATCAGTTTTATAGTGGATTAATAAGTGTTAAAGGACAGAAAATGTCAAAAGAAAAATATCAAACTGCCCCTTTCGCGAGGGACAATTACAACGCATGGGAGTTCCGATTAAAAAGTATCCTGCGGGATAATGGAGCAATAGAGGCGATCGAAAAGGAGGATTCCAGTAAATCTACGGATAACAAGCAATTGCAATTGGAAGCTAAGACCCACGCTATCATAATAGCGGCAACCGCCGACAGTCACCTCGAATACTTAAAGGACAGATCCGCTTATGAAATTATTAAAAGCATGGAAGACAGCTTTAAGAAGATAGGTACACGATCAAAATTATTTATAAGAAGAGAGTTGTCCGATATGAAATTCGACGAACGGAAACCTTTAATGGAACATTTTATTGACATGGAAAAGCTATTTGCACAACTCGGGGATTCTGGCAGTGAGCTTTCGGAGGAAGAAAAGGTTAACTATTTACTCCTATCCATGCCGAAATCTTATGAAGGCATTATCACGGCTTTGGAAACTGTTGAGGAATTGAAAATGGACTTCGTGAAAAACAGACTGCTTGGGGAAGAGGAAAAACGGAACAGAGGAGCGACCAAATCCCTTGACTCTTCAATCTTCGTGTGTTAAGGATGTGGACGCCCCGGACACAAAAAATCCCAGTGTAGAAGCACTCAGCAGGCACGACACAGGACTGGCGACTGGAGACTTCACGGCCGTGGACGTAGCGACTGGAAGTACAACGGAAGTCGAGACGACAGTAAAGCAACTCGTCATCAGACCCAGGGGAGAGGTAGAGGAAAGTCATTTCTTACAGGCACTGAAAATACTGAAGGTAACAAATTCGTACCGACACCGAACAGGAGAATAAAAATAGTTTTAAATGGGTTGTTGACTCAGGTTCATTTCATCTTGTAAATGAAATTAGTTTATTCTTTAATTATTGTAAACTGGATAAGCCAATTAAAATTTCAGCTGCCAAAAATGGCGTTGATTTAGAGGCTGTTGGTGTATGAACAATAAAATGTTATTTAAGTGATTTATAGTTGATATTATATTAAATGATGTTTATTATGTACACAATTAAGAAAAAAATTATTATCTGTTTCCAAAATGGAAAAGCATGGTTTAAAGATCATCTTCAATAAAGGGGAAGTTAAAGTTATATCACAAACCAATGAATTGCTTATGGTTGGGCATAGACTAGGGTCCCTTTATTTTGTAGAATTTAAAGTAATATTTAAATTATGGTGCAAAATAAGACACCAATGATAATTCAGTAGAAATTTGCCACAAACGATTTTCTCACTTAAGCTACAGTAGTTTGAAAACTTTAGAAAATAAAAATATGGTTGATGGTTTTTCTGATTTGAAAGAAAAAAATTAGAAAATAGGCATTGTGAACCATGCATACTTGCTAAGATTACACGCCTTCCTTTTAATGGGAAAATGTATAAGGCTAGGAAGCCCTTAGAACTAGTACATACCGATGTTTGTTCTGTTAGCCCTTCTACGTGGGACGGGTATAAACACTTTGTTACTTTCATAGACGATTTTACATACTTCACCGCAGTTTACTTATTAAGAGACAAGTCTGAGGTTTTTGAATATTTTAAGACTTATAATTATGCTAGTAATTATTTTGGTTATGGTATCTTGAAGTTAAAATCAGATAATGGTGGTGAGTATATTTCTAGAAATTTTAAATCCTTTTGCGATGAAAAAGGCATAGTATTGCAGTATACTGCGGCATATGATCCCGAAAGCGGCGTAGTAGTCCTGAGAAAACCAAAACCCATTTAATTTCTGATAAAACCCAAACCCATGGTACTGAGAAAATTTTAACTTCTGATAATAATTTAGAGTCATTACAACCTGAGGGAAGGGATACAGATAATGTTAATTCTAGGGAGAAAAGAAAGAAAACTAAACCAAAATATTTACAAGATTTTGTCACTGATGATTCAGATTTAGGTGATATATTAATGGCATCATTTTTATCTTGTTCTAATGGTAATGTCCCAGAAAAGTATAATGATATAGATTCTTATGACGATAAAAATAGGTGGTATGAAGCGGTAAATGAAGAAATTAAATCTTTAGAGGATAACAAGACTTGGGAAGTTGTAGAAAGATCAAACGTTGCTAAGTTAATTGATTGTAGATGGGTTATTACAAAAAAGGCGGGTAATGTATATAAAGCTAGATTAGTTGCAAGGGGGTTTCAACAGGAAGGTAGTTTTACCGAAATTTATTCCCCCGTTTTGAAATTACAAACTCTCCGAGTTCTTTTATCATTAGCTGTTCAAAGGAACTAGTTAATTCATCAAATGGATGTTAAAAGCTTGACACCATCGATGGCAGAAAAGAATGTGTAGAAAGAACTTGGCAGAACCTTAGGGATGGAATGGTAAGTGCAGCGGAAGAAGTGTGTGGAACAATAAAAAGAGGCAGTAGTAAAAGAAGAGATGCATGGTGGAATGATGAAGTGAAAGAAGCTGTAAAGAAGAAGAAGAAAGCATGGTTAGACTACTTGGCCTCTAGTAATGATAAGGATATGAGAGAGAAGATGAAAGAAAGATATAGGCTGCAGAAAGTTCATACGAAAGCACTGATTGAGGAAGTGCGTGAAAGGTGTAGAATGGAAGCGGACGAAAGGTTGCCGCACAACTTCTAGGAGAACTCCAAACTCTTCTGGAAAGAGGTTGGAAGGACCCGAAGTGGTGCGACGGCCTTAAGAATGAACAAAGTGATTTCGAGAACTAAT